TTTACTATGCACGCGTAAATGTTATAGATTCCTGTTGGTTTTCTATCACATTGCCAACAAATCATTAAGCTTTTCTTTTCTTTTTTAAAATACAACTAACTATTGTCCTCATAATCAGTAATGATTATACTGAAGGTTATAATATAAGGAAGCCTTGGTCATTATTGGTTACTAATGTTAAAAGCATTGTAATAATAAATCATAGATGATAAACATCTATTTGTTTTTCACAGATTGAACTCATGAGTCAGTTGAAGCTAGACCACCACTGAAAACCTGGAAGCACTGGACGGCCGTTTCGTCCTAGTACGGGACTCCTCAGCAGTGCGCATCCACAACCCCGCACCACCCGGGGCTCGAACCCAGGACCTACTGGCTTCGCGCGCGAGCACTTAACCATTAGACCACTGAGCTGGCATCCAACGGTATTAATGTCTAACTTCAACCAATCCACGAAGTTGCGCTACCGTACACCATTGTCTTCAGTGAGTTCCTATCTCACAACAGACCTGGTTGAACTTCACTGGTAACGACTTCTCACTAGAACTCCAGAAGTGTCTCCTGAAGTCAGTCACTAGTGAGCAGGTGATTGTTATTATCAGAATGTGTTTTGTGGAGATTTTTTGAAATTTTCACAGATTGAACTCATGAGTCAGTTGAAGCTAGACCACCATTGAAAACCTGGAAGCACTGGACGGCCGTTTCGTCCTAGTATGGGACTCCTCAGCAGTGCGCATCCACGACCCCGCACCACCCGGGGCGGTTTATTTATCATTAGTTAAATAAAAACGTTTGTTTATATGTTTTATTAATCTGAAAATGTTTGATCTATCTCCATTAGAAATTAATGGTTTGTATCATATAAAATGTTTTAGTTGAAAGGTATGCTGAATGAATGATTGATTTTAACTAGATTACTGTTGAAAATCTGGTGTGTGTGTGTGTGTTCCGTTATATTATAAGACTTTATAACGATGTGGCACTCATAGTTATACCAAGAATAAATACAATAGTCTTGAGGCTTTATGGCTATTGTGTTACATTTAAACCATTGAATAGCTTTTCAAAAGTACTAATTTTCATTTGTTAATTCCAACTTAATTCATTTTTATATTGATTGTTTGAATCGTTCCATTGATGTTTAAGACTGCAATTGATCAGTCTCTTATTATTGGCATATGTGCATCCTGTACGGATTGTTTCGATATTTTCTTCATTCATAAGCATTGTAAGCAAAGATAGATAGTAGCTAACAATGGAATCCAGGACTCGTCAGTACAAGTTATTTATGCTTTATTGATTACTGTCGAATGACTATCTTATTCGTGGTTGTGTTACACATTATGGGTTAACTTAATCTAGATATGTATGAAATGCCAGGGTAGTGGTACATTACTCTACGAGGCGTGAAATTTCTCGATTTATTCTCTACCATGGTTCTAGTTGCACATTCCTGTGGATTTCTGTTCTAATATAAAACAACTATCTAGTAATCCCTGGTATATAGCAGCTGGGTAGCTAGGGTTAATCCATAATACATACTTTGCTTAGCTTAAGCTATCATCATAAATGAATTGATTTCTCGGTACGTTATTTCGATTGTTTGTTCTTGAGGCCTAAAGGGGTTTTTAGGTTGTCAACAGCCACTTTTTATAATACCGCTAATTGCTGATGTCATACATTTAACATTTTTATCAGTATAGGTTTTTGATTGAGATCATGAACCGATTGATGTTAGACCACCGTTGGAAACCTGGAAGCGATGGACGGTCGTTTCGTCCTATTGCGCGACTCCTCAGCAGTGCGCATACACGATACCGCTCGTGGGATTCGGACGCATAACCTATCAGTCTCGAGCGTCAGCGCTTAACCACTAAACCACTGAGCTGGCCAGTATCCAACGGTGTTAATACTTAACTTTAACCAATCCATGAAATCGAGCGACACATTCACCATTGTCTTCAATGAGCTACTATCTCACAAGTATCCTAATCACTGCTTCTCACTAGAATTTCAGATTTTCGATGGTAGTCTAGCTTCAATTGACTCATGGTATCGACTATTGAAATATAAATATATTTGAAGATAATCGCACAATTTCGAGGATTAATTTAAGGTAGACATTAACACCGTTGGATACCGGCTCAGTGATCTAAAATTTAGGCGTTCTCATATAAGACCTAAAGTCCTAGTTTCAATTCCCTTGTTCAGAGTTGTGGATACACACTGCCAATGAGTCTCATTTTAGGATAAAACAGCAATTCAGTCAGTTAGCTACAACGTAGGACCAGGCACATATATGCATCGGTCCAAGTTGTCACACCTCCATTAGCACAAGAACATGAACACCGGATTCATAGAAGCAGTTACTTCAATTTTAGTAATATATAAAAGAAAGATTGTGTACAAGGATATGATACAGGAAGAACAAAAGATATGAAGTGATTTTTATATCATAGTGTAAAGGAAGACATAGAGTGTATACACACCTACACCATTGTGATCGATTCTGAGCTATGCCATTTAGAGTCTCCAATCATTGATTACGATAGTCACGTGAACCCTAACCAAATAGTTTGCAACTACCGCTATGTCTCAGACTATAAGTTAATGACTTCAAGCATTGATGCCATATTTTGATTTAGCCACCCTCTCACTTTCTTTCAACCATCCCTAACACTAATAATAGTCAGTCAGTCAGTAACAACTTAAATCAATTTAACCATGTCAACTGATTCCAACTTTCTCAAAAAAAGAAAAGAAAAGAAAAAGAATCAAAATGACAAATCATACTATTCTAAAATAGTGATTTTATGTGTCATACAATAATGAATTGTTAGTTAAGGAATGTTTACATAAAGGAATGAATGAATGAATGAGTGAATGGTAATACATAAATAATCAAAGTTAACCTGATACAATTACAATTCATAAAAGCCTACTCTTATAAATATCTATATATATATATTCTTTATTAAAAGATTCATGTATTATTCTATTTAATTCGATTAACTAAGTCTTGTTTTTGTCTACATTCAAAACTTGATGCTAGACTACCAATGGGAATATCTGGAAGCATTGGATGGTTGTTTTATTCAACTATGTGGTTTATAGGTTAGGCGTTCGCTTACGATATTGTATAGGTTTTTGATTTGAACCATACAAGACGGGATCGTGGATGTGCATTGCTGAGAAGTTTCATAATAGGATGAAACGGTCAACTAGTTTTTTTATTATGGTGGTCTAACTTCAATTGACTTATGATTTCAACTGTTGAAATTATTATAATATCTACAAAAATCCATTCAGATACAAATATTTATTTATTTAAACTCATAAACATGAGTACAAGGAGGTACCGAATACATATGCGCGACATAGTTTGTTCAATTTGTATGAGGGCTGAGATACTGTCCAGGTGCCCAAACCGAAGCAGGTGGATTTCTTAGGGACCACACCCAGAGCCTTCGTTCTAAAGATCTGATCTATAAGTTAGGAGAGCAACGTAAGGAGATACAGTCCCATGGTAGTCGGTGACCATTGATTGGTTCATACGCCATTTGATGCTTCAGGATACTGGAGTCCATGTGCACCATTGGTTTGTAATCAGGGTTTTTCAACTCTCTTATCTAGATCCTCCATATCCACTAACCCGGTTAGAGCATTAAAGATTTGCTTTTTGTCCTCTTAGTTTTGTAAACAACACCCCCACCACGAGAAGGCAGTGAGTAGGAATTTCCTGGTAGTGGCTGTATACGTGTGGCCATGTGATGAGAGTGTTTGGAAGAAGGAGAGTGGACTCTCCCCACCCCCGATTCATCAGGGCATTTGGCGACAAGCTTTAAGTTGCAATAACACCAAGTCATAGTGTAGATTTTGACCTACTACTTAGATATATAGGTAAACGAAATTGAACAATTTAATGTTGAAGCCTACTGCCGCTACACTAGTTGTCTTCATTTGCATTTGTTCATGTGTGTGGGATAGAAGTGCTTGGTCTTTGCGAAGTCCATTCATCCAGTTCCATCCAACCTGTCCATTGTATTTCGTGTTTCTACTCACATGTGGAGGTTTTCATAATCCACCACCGGAAGAAAGTAAAAGAGGGAGAGTACGCAGCCTTGTCTCACTCCGGTTCTCACTTGGAATGCGTCTGTCAGCTATCCTCTATGCACCACTTTGCAGTGTAGTTCATTGTATGAATTCCGAATGATGTTGACGATTTTCTCAGGTACACCATGGTGTTGAAGAAGGTTCCATAAGGTCATTCTATCCATACCTTCAAACGCTTTCTCACAGTCAACGATGTTGATGTGTAGTGACAAGTTCCACTCAATTAATTGTTCAACGATGATCCATAGTGTCGCGATTTGTTCTGTGCACGACTGACCCATACGGAATCTAGCTTGTTGATTCTGAAGGTAAGCGTCTACTGAGTCTTTCACCCGGTTAAGTAACACTGTTAAAAACTTTCTCTGGTATCGATACTGCTGTTATGCCTCTTTAGTTTCCTCATTTGCTCAGATCTCCTTTGTCTGGTATCTTGATGAGGTATTGTTCTTAGACATAGGGGAAGAATGTCTTACTATTTATTTTCGTTTGGCTTCAGTGCATACCCTTTGAATATATCTACATACAGAAGTACACATGCCGCAACTCACGCAATTCATATGTATATGCATACACAATGGGCATCCTCTTTACGATGCCTCGAAGTAGGGTCTTCGCGAATCCAGGTTACAATAGAATAGTAGATTAGTTTGATCTCCACCGATCACCCAAGTTAGCTAATAAGGTGGCCCTCATTACCTAGCAGCTCCACATAGAAACCCTAGGTCAGATTTCACTGCCTTATTTAATTGTACTAAGAACAACACTCAAGATGAAATCGTTGTGTTTGTTTGAAACAATTTGAAGATTTCTAGTATTCCTCAATTGCGTTGATACGTTTGATCAAAAGTCTTATTAAAATTTACTTCTACGAATTATTTATTCTATAGACAAGAGAAACAGTACATCATTGATCAATGGCAATATCTTCGTCCAGGAGATTTTGTTCGTTTACATACTAATGATATAATTCCAGCTGATATTTTATTATTAGCTACATCAAATAGTACTGGGATTTGTCATATTGAAACATCAAATTTAGACGGTGAATCTAATTTAAAACAACGTGAAATTATTTCTAACTTGTTGAATAAAGTAAGTTAAAAATAAACCATTTAGATATAGATTTAATTTACAATTACCAATTCTATTAACTAAACTTAATGTAAGTTAGTTTTTTAAGTATGAGACTGATCAATTGTAGTCCTAAATAACAATGGGAAGATACAAGCAAGTGGCTATCATGACTCAGTAGCTAAGTGGATAACACGATGAAGTTGGAAGAGAACGGTACTGGATTCAAGTCCCAGGATGAACATCAACTCTGGGATGCAGGTACATTCAATTGATGAGTCCAAAATAGGACGAAGTGTCACACATTCTGGATTCTACTGCTAATCACTATCCATCTTTACTTAAAAATAACTTGTGACTTAATGCTATATCGAGGCAATCGGCACAGTCTTCACATATGCCAACAAGAGACTGATCAATTGCAATCCTAAATAACAGTGGTAAGATACAAGTAAAACAACACCAAGTGAATTTAGGTTATTGTTTTGCAAGGCTGTATGAAGGAATTTAATAGTTACATCAAATGTTATCATAAGTTTCTAACGTCTCCATTTCATATGGGGTTAGTAAGATAACTGTAGGTTAGTGTAAAATATCTTCCTCTCTAAATGGAAATTGTTACTTTAGGAATGGGCTGCATCAACACTTAAACGAAGGATAGGGAGTGAATTAGTCGAACGCGTCGACAACTTCACTTATCTTGGAAGTTTGATCAGCCTTAATGGGTTGGTGTCTGACAAAATCTCTATGCGGATTCAAAAAGCTTGTTTGGCTTTTTTAATATACGTCACCAATGACGAAGGCGAGATATCCGTTTATCAACTAAAGAACGAGTATGCTTCGCTACAGTTCGTTCTGTTCTACTTTATGGCTGCGAATCGTGGCCGTTAGTAGTAGAAGATATTCGTAAGCTACTAGTATTTGATCACAGATGTCTTAGAAATATTGCTCGTATCTGTTGGGAACACCAGGTAAGTAGTAGTGAGGTTAGATACAGGGTATTAGGGAATGATGGTAAATCAGTTGGTGAGGTTGTGAATCTTCATCGGGTAAGATGGTTGGGCCACGTGTTACGTATGCCTGGACACCGATTACCACGGCGTGCAATGCTAACCGGTGTTGGAGATGGTTGAACGAAGGTTAGGGGCGGCCGAACCAAAACGTGGCATCAGTCCTTGAAGTCACAAACTTCTATTCTGAGTCATGTTGGTAGATGCAGACTACTTGGTTGGGGTCCTCGTGACTATCGTAACCAATAGTTGGAGACTCTAGATGGCATAGCTCGGAATCGATCACAATAGTGTACGTGTATATACTCTTTATCTTTCATTAAACCGTTAGATTCTAATTGTTTTATACCTTTCTTTCTACCAACAAATTCTTTCTCCCTGTATCATATCCTAACATTTATTTATTCATGATAACAATGTAAACTCAATAATCTTCACAACCATATACTGATATTTATGAGTTATCATTTGAATTCATCTATATTACAATGAGTGTTCTGGATTATGCAATCTGTCATCAAATAATGCTCACTATTACAATAAGTAACCTAGTGTATTGTGTTAATAATAATGTAATCATAGTACATTTAAACTGACGAATCCTGACTATTTCCACGTCTAATTCCCCCCTAAGTATTTCAGCAAGTATATCAAGAAATTTGTTTAAAACTAACATCTCTCATTGATGATTTATCATGATAGTTTTATGTAAACAGTAAATTGTTATTAGTCATATATATATATCAGAAGGGGATAGTGGATGCACACTACTGAGGAGTCCCACAATAGGATGAAATAACCGTCCAGTGCTTCCAGGTTTTCCATGGTGGTCTAGCTTCAATTGACTCATGATCTCAACTGTTGAAAGTCATATATATCTTAATTTATTTTTTTTATTTACTTCCAAGGATGAATTTTCACCATTGACATTTCTTTATCCAATTGAAGTAGAAGCTCCAAGTGCTGAATTATATAAATTCCATGGGAAAATGTAAGTTATTATCATATTAATCTAACTTGATATTTGTTGTAATAATAGTCAAATAGTTCAGTTTATAACCAAAGATTTTATCTGTTTCATCAATTTGATATTCTTTAATGAGTTTACTTTATTAGAAGGTGAATTATTCACTTATTGTTTGAGATCAATCTGATGACATCAGTGTAGGTTGACGAAAAAAAATAGGGTAATTAATGTATTTAGGTATTGAGATGGCGGAGAAGGTTTGTAGCTCATATGGATGATTTTGATGAGGTTTCATTCTTTGAGCTGGATGGTTTGGTTGTGGAGCTTTCATTGTTCGTCTGAACGACATCATCAGCACAAACTTCAGGTAGAAGTCAACAGTATATTTGTATAAGTACTAGTGTATTTCCATTATCTATTTTAAAGCTTTTCATACTTCAAATTAATGTGATTTAGATATACAATGTGTGATTGATGACTGACTCGTAGCTTAACTATATAACATTACAAACTGTCAAGAATAAGATTTTAAAACCGATGAGGACAAAAGTAAGTTGAAGTCGTATTTTGAAAACAAAAAACCAATAGAAGAGTAATTTCCAGTTCACTGACTTTAAAGTCATATATTTTTAACGAGAAATTTAGCATATGAACAGGAGTATGAAAATGTTTCACTCATTAAATACCATAATACATCTGTAGTTTTTGATCCAGATCATGAAACAATTGGTATTTGACCACCATTAAAAATCTGGAAGCACTGGACGGTTGTTTCATCCTATTGTGGGACTCCTCAGTAGTGTGCATCCACTATCCCACGGCCGTCCAGTGCTTCCAGGTTTTCAATGGTGGTCTGACACCAATCGGTTCATGATCTCAATCAAAAACTGAACAATTTCCACAACCCTATACTGATCTGTAGTTTTAACTAAGAATTAAGGTTCCTTATTGATATGTTGGGAATGTTAGATCCCTAGAACGCACTTGGTAAAGGCCTTATATTGGTAATGCTCTTTTAAAAATCTGAATATCTTGTTTTCGTGCCAAAAAAGCTCATTTTCACCTTCATTTCGTATTTCCTACTTGGGAGGATCTTAAACGCTATTGGTTCGTTGTATCTTTTAGTATGCTATTTTGTAACACTTCCCAAGGACATTCTTATGCTGTGCATATTCGCTTGATTTGTGCTTGTTGTTAGTGCTTCTGGTTGCTTGTGGAATATATCTGCCTATTTGAACGTGGATTTCTCACTCTAGTTAGCGGGGCTGGGGTGCGTCGGAATAGCTAGCTTATCTGTTATTGTGTCACAGAGTCTTCATTCCGTTCTCAGATTAGGTGAATTCGTAATCTCCTCAAACATAGCATGATATACGTTCAGTGTTCTTATGAATATAATTATGTTTTTTCCTTCTTTTGTCCTTGAAACGATGAATGAACACTTTACTAAATTTATCGAATTTGGTTGGAAGAAAGATAGGGGCTGCCAGACCAAAACATGGCACAAATTCATGAAGTCGCTGATAAGTGGACTGAGTCATGTTGATAGGTGTAGACTACCTGACTGGGGACCGCGAAACGATAGCAACCGATGGTTAGAGACCTTGAATGAAATGGCTCAAAATAGTTTGCAATTGTGCAGGTGCATCCACTCTTTGAGTTCTCCTAAATTCTAACCTCCTGAATCCTTCTTGTCTCTTTTTTCTCTTTCCAAATTTATTTCACTGGATTATACTTATTGAATAACATCTTCAAACCCTGATCTTTACGATTACTACTTATACGCTATTGCGATCATGAACCGATTTGAGTTAGACTAACATTTAAAACCTGGAAACACTAGACGGCCGTTTCGTCGTAGTATGGAACTCTTCAGCAGTGAGCATCAACTACTCATTGGTTTAGAGGTTAAGCGTTCGCGCACGAAACCGAAGAACCGGGGTTTGATTCCCGTGCGTATTGCTGAGGAGTCCCATACTCGATCGAAACGGGCATGTAGTGCTCCCATGTTTTGAATAGTGGTTTAACTTAAATCAATTCATGATCTCAGTGCATATTTTACATACTTTGATGAATGAGTTTGATTTTAAAACTCCAAAGGGAAGCATAGTGACCAAGAGAATGATTAACATATTCAACACAGTAATTAAGATTGTTTGTCATGTATATGCTCTAGTACGGCCGAGGAGGGGTAGAGTCAGCTCTAACATGGCTACACGTATACAGCCACTATCAGCGAATTCCTATTCACTGCCTTCTCGTGATGGTGATGTTGTTTGAAAAATTGAGAGGACGAAAAGCGAATATCCGGTGCTTTAACCAGGTTGGTTAACACGGAGAGTCCACCTATGTGAGTTGGAAAACTGTCATTCCAAACCAATGATGCACATGGGCTCCAGTATTCTAAAACATCAAATGGCGTATGAACCTACTGTTGGTCACCGACTACCATGGAACTACCTCTCCTAACGTTGCTACACTGACTTGTAGATCAGACATTTAGGTCGAAGTTTCCAGATGCGTCTCGCTATGAAAACCACCTGCTTCGATCTGGGTACATGAACAGTATCTCAGCCCTCACACAAATCAAATGACGATGTGTGGCGCATATTTATTTGTTGCCTACTTGTACTAATGTTTATATGTTTAAATAAATAAACATATATATTAACTCATTTTCATTTGCTTAATTTTATTATATTTCAATCAGGTTAAGATTAATAGCAATTTGCTTTTATGTAATGTATAGAATGTAAATATCTTAACTAGTGTCTTTTCATTTGTTCTACTATGATTTTCTTTTCAAGTATACTACCAGAAATACGTATTCCTATTCACAAGAATAATATGTTACTAAGAGGTTGTGTATTACGTAATACGGACTATGTGATAGGTATTGTTATTTATGCAGGTAAATTTCATGTTAATATATCTATGTGTTAATTTAATTATATACATATCAATAATCATTTATTTAAGTAGTCATGTTTACTTATTATAAAGTTTTATTCCAAATATAGTGAGTTAATTAAATATTGTTTACTTTAAGTTCTGGCTTAAATAATTCACAAAAAAGAAAATAATCAAAATATGACATCAAAACACCTACAGAAGTACCATTTATCTTAGATTCTTTTAGTTATTTGGATGAGACTATAATCTACGGACGACCTATAAGCGATGCTAAAGTGATCTTAAGAGTGTCTATCTACTTACTAGGACTAAATGAGGGTTATAAAGCAGTTTGTAGAATAAGGATTATGATTTACAATTGATGGTTAGAGTTAAAAATTAGATTTAGGGTTTTCATTACGATCTGACATCAACTATAAAACCAAGACTCTATTTAGCCGAATTGGTGAATGAATTTCGCGACAAAATCTAAGACCTGTTATTGTAAATTTGATTAATTCGTCCATAAACTATAGTCTTGCCGTTATCTGTTGATAACACTTTCCTTATCTAAATTTCCAAGGGTTGAACTTTTACCGGGAGATTCACTTTTTGACCTAGAATATGTCTATGACATAGTTCTGTTTGGTGAAGACTCTGACAAAATTCACAGTCTTCTGACCACTCTAAGCGACAATGCAAGCATGTTCGGGATGCGATTCTCCCCCTCGAAATGCAAAATGTTGCTTCAGGATTGGGTTGCATCGACAGTCGAACTAATGATAGGGAGTGAAGTAGTTGAGCGTGTCGACCGCTTCACTTATCTCGGAAGTCTCATCAGCCCTTGTGGTCTAGTGTGTGACGAAATCTCAGTACGGATACAGAAGGCTCGACTAGCTTTTGCCAACTTCCGTCATTTATGGCGTAGGCGAGATATCCGTCTACCAACCAAAGGACGTGTTTACTGCACAGTTCGTTCCGTCCTACTTTATTTATGGCAGTGAAACATGGCCGGTAAGAGTAGAGGATATTCGTAGGTTACTAGTATTCGATCATAGGTGTCTTCGAAACATTGCTCGTATATCCTGGGACCATCGAGTAAGTAACGCGGTTGTTAGGAAACGGGTACTAGGTAAGAATGGCAAATCAATTGATGAGGCAGTGAAACTTGATCTGTTGAAATGGCTGGGACACGTGTTACGTATGCCCATCGACCGACTGCCTCGACGTGCTATGATTTACGGTGTAGGTTGGAGGAAAGCTAAGGGTGGCCAGACCAAAATATGGCACAAGTCCATGAAGTCACTGACAAGTGGACTGAGTCATGTTGGTAGGTGTAGACTACCTGGTTGGGGACCGCGAGATGATAGCAACCGATGGTTAGAGACCCTGAATGACATGGCTGAAAATCGTTTGCAATGGCTCAGGTGCATCCACTCTTTGTGTTCTCCCAAATTTTAATCTTCTGATTCCTCCATGTCTCTTTTTTCTCTTCCCAAATTTATTTCACTGGATTATACTCTTTAAATAACATCTGCAAACCCTAATGTTTCCGATTACTGCTTATACTCTTACTACCTCTACCACTACTGGATTTGAATCGACAACTGTATCTCTGTGCTAATGTGGTATGGCAACTCGAACTGATGTACGTACGTACGTACGAAGTTCTACGTTGTTACTGACTGACTAACTGATCTATTGATAAAACATTTATTATACAATGAAATACTTCTGATTTTAACTGGCAATGAAAAAGATGTTTCCTTACAATTAAACCGTACTAAGCTAAGTTTCGATATGTTTCCCAGGGGTTTCTTGGTTTTTTTTTGCAACTAATTTTATGATGTCAAATAAATTTTAAGCAATAATTACTGTAGAATTGAATAATCACTTAGTAGTGAGCAATAGGATGTTTGTTTGGTCAATAGTTTTAATGGAATTCTATCTATAAATTTACTACATAGCCACTAGTCTAAGTGTATTGACATCGCATGCAATTTCTTTTAAAGAGTGTATACACGTAACATTAGTTACTATTCAGTGATTAGTTAATTTGAACATCACAGTTCTATTGGAGGTCATTTGCTGATCGAATATCTTGATAGTAATATCTCAAACTATAGAACTAGATAAGACAGGTTTGAATCCTTCGGGGAATGTTAGTTTTTTCAAGGTTCCAAGGATGATCAACATAACTTAACATGAAACCCAAATCCAGGTTTTCCTTCCGACTACCTCCAAATATCAAAATTCTTTATATTCTGGGTGAAACGGATTTATAGAGATTTGTTTAATTAGTAGGTTGTATTCACCATAGATTGATTTCAGTTCGGATACCATTGAAAGTCAGGAAGAACTACCTAATTGTTTTGTCTTGGTACACATACACTTTCACCAGTGGTCGAATTCAGGACCTTCAGATTTCACATCAAATGCCTAACCATTAAAACCACTAGGTTGTCGACATCCAACAATACAATTCCAACTTCCATGAACTTGCGATATAGCACGGTTATAATCTAATGTCATTGATGATTGTTTCATTGCTAACATGTTTAAACTCCAACAATAGCAACTCACAAGAACATCACGAACATCTTAAAATGAATCATTTGTTCTTCTAATCTGTTAATTCCTTATTATACTTCAATGGTATACGGACAACTTTTACTCCATTCATGACGAAAATATTGTCAGTTTGACTCATATGACTAATATTAGGCATAAATAAATGTAGCATAACTATCTTAAAGCCTGAGAGTTTTGAATATCTTAATGGGCATACATATTTGCCTGAGTCAAAGATTCTATTTTATTCATTGTGATGAGATAATTCTTAAATGATCCTAAACTGGGATAAACAAATGGTGAATACTATTTAGATTTATGTAACTGTTTGAGATTTAAAAAGGATTTTTGGCATGGATTTAAATTGATTGGGCAACTACAAAAGAGATCGAGGCATTTGACATTCGTTTCCTTTCACTTAGGATACCATTGTAGTGTACATTCACAGTGTGGTAAATATGGAAAAACAACTTAAGTTAATTTAAATAAATATTTCGGAAGATACAATATAAATCCCTAATCCAAAAAGAAGTCTACAGTTTCCAATTTTAAAATGTGCCTAAGAGAAATTATAAACCACAACATAGCAAGTACATTAGTATATCGTGATTAAGAAGTATCTTTTTTACTTACGCCTTTTACTCCTAATGGAGCATAGACCGCCGACCAGCATTCTCCAACCCACTCTGTCCTAGGCCTTCTTTTCTAATTCCATCCAATTCTTGTTCATTTTTCTCATGTCTATCTTCATTTCCCGGAGTAATGTGTTCTTTGGTCTTCATCTTTTCCTTTGGCCCTGAGCACTCCATGTGAGGGCTTGCCTTGTGACGCAGTTACGTGCTTCCCTAAATGTGTGTCCTATCCACCTCTAGTGCTTCTTCCTGATTTCTTCCTCCATTGGAATCTGGTTTGTTCTCTCCCATAGTAGGTTGTTGCTGATAGTGTAGTGTCTGGTCAACGGATCCGAAGTATTTTGCGTAGACAACTGTTAATAAACACTTGCATCTTGTGGATGGTGGCTTTCGTGGTTGTGCAAGTTTCCACCCCATACAGTAGAACTGTCTTGAGAGTTGAATTGAAAATCTTGACTTTGGTGTTGGTTGACAGTTGTTTTGAGTTCCAGATGTTCTTCAGTTGTAAATATGCTCCTCTTGCTTTTCCGATCCACGCCTTCACATCTGCATCAGACCCACCCTGTTCATCGATGATACTGCCCAAATATGTAAAGGTTTTTACATCTTCCAAACCTTCTCCGTCAATTGTGATTGGGTTGGTGCATGCTGTGTTGTGTCTGAGAATCTTGCTTTTCCCTTTGTGTATATTGAGACCTACTGCTGCTGAGGCTGTTGCTCCACTGGTCGTTTTCTCCTGCATTTGTTGTTGCGATTGCGATAGGAGGGCAGGATCATCTGTGAGGCTAGATCGCCTAATTGCATCCTAGATGTCCTTTGTATCCCGTGCTTCCCTTCAGATGTTGATGTCTTTATGATCCAATCGATCACCAGGAGAAAGAGAAAGGGTGAAAGTAAGCAACCTTGCCTGACACCGGTCTTTATCTCGAACGACTTTGTCAACTGTCCTCCATGCACGATTTTGCAGTTTAATCCATCATAGGAATTCTATATTATATTGACTATATTCTGAGGCACGTCGTAGTATAGAAGAAGAAGCTTCCATAGTGTTGTTCTGTCCACGCTATCAAATGCTTTCTTGTGGTCAATGAAGTTGATGTATAGTGATGAATTCCATTTAATTGATTGTTCCGCAATGATCCGTGGAGTTGCGATTTGGTCTGTACACGATCTATCTTTACGGAATCCTGCCTGTTGGTCTCGAAGTTGAGCGTCTACGATTCAGAAGTATAGAGTATTTGTATTCATTGTATACTCAACAAATGACTATAATCAAACACATTTGGTCTCGTAGTGATTACATTTCAATCCAACAAAAGGATCCAGGTAATCACATTTTCAAAGATCAACAATTTTATGACACCACAACCATTATCTAAGATTATCAGTGAGCCTCTATTTTCATTCAAAAATGAATTGACATGTTTTCCCTTTGAGAGTTGTAAACGTTTCGGTGTTATGAGCGCTGTTAGCTCTGATATTGAGCACTTCTATGGAGTTCGAAACTTGGAATAAATGAGTATTTAACATTTTTTTGACATTAAACATTTGTACAGAATAGAGTATTGACCATGTTTACATCATTCAAAACTTTTCAAATTCTATCACTGGGTGAATATTTTGAACTAAAAACCTGAACATTGTATATGTAAGTGATTAATATATGAAAAGTATTTAATAATAGCCTTGTATACTTCCCAGCTTTGATGGAATTCTGTCAGTTATATTACAATGTGGACACTGCATAGTCAATCATTTAAAAACGTTTAATGCTAAAAGAAGTCAGTCATAGACCATTAAATGCTATGGTACGGCCGAGGTTGGGAAGAGTCCTCTCTCTCTTGAAACGCTCTCACATTGCCACGCGTATACATCCACTGACAGGAAAATCCTACTCACTGCTTTCTCGTGGCGGGGGTGTTGTTAAGGAAATTTAGAAGAGAAAAGAAAATGTCCGACGCTTTAATCGGATTGGTGAACACGGAGGACCCACCTAGGGGGGTTGAAAAACCCTGATTCCAAATCAATAGCTCTAGGATCTTGAAGGAACAAACGGCGTATGAGCCTGTTGTTGGTCACCGGCTACTATGAGGCTACGTCTTCTGACGTTGCACCACCCCTATATAAATTAGACCTTTATGTCAAAGGCTCGTGGAGTGGCCCTCTAAAATAACCACGTGCTTCGATTTGGGCTCCTGGGCAGTATTCCAGCCTTCACACAAATGAATGATAACTACTACTGACCTCATTGTTATTGTGTTGCGCATATGTATTTGGTGCCTCCTTCTACTACTATTTACGTGTCCAAATAAGTAAATAAATATAATAAACAACTCATCAACAACATATTTAACTGTAATTGTAATTAATGTAGATTTAAGTCTCATACAGAACATAATTCCTTTCAAGATTATCAATAAATCATGATGACAGTTGACAATAGATACAAAATCAATCCTCATCGATTTTTTCCTATTGACCTCCAACTACTTAACAACAATCTTTGATTTCAATAAAAAGATCATTTACTTTAGAAATATTATAATTAAAAACTGTAAAACAACCCTCAAAGCAATAAAATTGATGGTTCTTACCACCTGCTGTTTTCTTTTTCTTAAAAACAAACAAACAAACAAATCATATCATTCATTATTTATTATAGAAAAGTCAAAAGGTTCGAAGTTACTAGGTAGGTAGGTAGGTAGGTAGGTATTTATTGATTTTTACTTGACTTTCATTTCGATATTCTCTGAACATTAGTGCTTAATCTATAGAGTATTTATCAATCGATTATGTAATTTAAGTTCACGATCAATTCATTTTCTCTCTCTCTCTCTCTCTCTTGGGTTGTATCAAAGTATGTGAGCAGACAAATCATTAAATTTAAATCATATCATTTCCAAGTCAAAAATGATCTCTCTTTTATTATTTTATATCATATGCTGGGTTTATTTTGACAACCACTAGAATCAAGAAATATTAGATAGCTGTTTCATTCTAGTTCGAAACCCAACAATAGATGAGTAGTCGATTTCCTGACTATCAAGCATCGAGGTGAATGTTTAAGTTTCATAATATTACTGAGTCTGTATTCAATTTGTTTACATTTTTAATTTTAGTCAGTTCACGATATTGTACAATTATCATCCATTGTCATTGATCTTATCAATGCCTGATGATAACAAACTTAAAATAATATCTGTGTTATAACCGGTCGCCGATGATTGTTGTGTCGGAAAAACTCTGATCACTTATACTAGGGACCTCTGCAATTCTCACGACGTGAATGTAGTAACACAAAGACTAGTATAAGTGAAGATTTATTAGCCTCAATACATTATAACGACGATGACCCTAGTTTAAAATACACTCATTTACATATTGATTGTATACCCATTTTGAATAATAATTAGGATTAAATCACATACTCAGTTATCATAAATCACTTCTGAGTATGGTTAATGTCAATTGAATGCCAGAATATCATATATTATACAGAATAAAATATCATACGGGGAAACAAAAAACGAATACTCCACTGAATAATTATCACATTGAATCAGAACGGAATTAATATTGAAACAAAACTCATAATGAGTAAATCAATCCAAAACTGGCTTTTCTTTCCATCATATCAAACTGACAGTCATCTTATCAATCATCATAGGTATGTAGTGGTAATATACATTTTTAAACCAAAAAAGTATTTTTTTTTCCTTCTGGTTAGCGTTTTTTTAGCGAGTTATTTTTCTACGGGATGGGGTAGCTAACCCTATGCCAAACCCTACTCCTTTATCCGGTCTTGGAGCCGGCAGTAGTCCCCGAAGGGACTCTAGGCGGAGTTAAAAAGAATTTTACTCAATAAAATTTTCTAATGTTCATATTCTATTTAAGGTTGTGAAACAAAGGCAGCTTTGAATAATTCTGGTGTTCGATTCAAAAGAAGTAAACTGGAAAAACAAATTAATTTAGATGTTATATGGTGTGTACTTATTCTAGTTGTAGTCTGTGTCACTGGAGCTATTGGTAAGTAAATGGTGACAGGCATAAGTTTACTTTATTTCGATAATTCACACAATTGGGGTAATAAGTTAATTGTAAATACATTAATAGTTTATAGCAATAATATCATAATTTGTATGACTGACCAGAAAACATGATGATATTGCAAAATGTTTGTTTATCATTAAACCATTAAATGGGAAGTGACCATAAGTTTCATATATCTGCGTTAAAGGTTTATATTGAACCATTTCGATCATCTTTCTTTGTTGAATGTGTCGGGGAGTTCCAAAATATGCTTACGAAACATCTTATCTAACCAGTGCTGAATAGAAGCTTTTAGAAAACAAAGAGCCATGGGTCACATTTCTGACTGGATGTTTATCTACGCTACTATTATATTCAGTATGTTTCTTCTCTAGGCTATTTAATTCTATCTAAACATAGCTATGCTTAAATATAGGTATTATTATGAGATATTAAAATATTTTGTTTGATTACTGTAGAAAGTAATTACTTATACACTATGTTATCAGTATAGGAGATTTCTGGAGAGTGTAATATTTTCACAGTTGAAATCATGAGTCGATCTAAGCTAGACCACTATTTAATATCTGAATCCACTGGAAAGCTGTACTCACTAGTGACTAGTTTCATAATGCAACTCTTGGACTTCCAATTAGAATCTGTGACCAATGGAGTTTAACTATGTCGGATGTGAGATAGTTATCCACCTCAAGTAATGGATGAAGGGTTTGACAAGATCATGAATTGATTGAAATTAGACATGAACACTATTGGATTGTGACTGAATCATGTAGATGTTGAGCGTTCTCGGATGAGACTGAAAGTACTGTGTTCGATTCGCTTATGTGGGATCATGTATATACACTGCTGAAGATTTTGTTACTAGGACGAAATGGGAGTCTAGCTTAGATTAACTCGTAATTTCAACCGTGAAAATATACTCTATGTGTTGAGATGGTAAAGATTTATCGCTTAGAAAAATGAAAGCTTCATGTGAATAAATCACCTAGGGTACAGAAAGTAATTTCAAAAAATCGTATTTTTTGTTTTTGTTTTAGGTAGCGCTGTTTGGCATCAGAATTTACCAGGTGATGATGTATTGTTCGTTGCACTTGACAGAAATTCTTCAACTTCAACACCTGCTTATCAAGGTTTTCTTAATTTTTGGAGATTTGTAATCATTTTTCAAGTGAGTTAATCGCATTAGATAAGCTTCAGTAATTATTCATAACAATATGTAAAGAAAGATTGACAACAAAAGCGCTACATATATATGGGCTAATAAGAACAGCCTGAACTGAAAGGATGGTATTCAACTAGCAATTACTTAACTAATGTTCATTGACAAGTAATTGAACTCTTTCTTCATTTCACATTTATCAGTATTCTGATAGAAACAATTCCAACCTTCAGATTACACTTTTATTTTTACTTCTAACTCAATCTTACACATACACACACACACACATTCATTCATTTATTTTCACATTGTGAACGTTTCACATGATCCATATATCATTGTCTCATGTTATCCTATTTACTAAAGTCAATATATAAATATGATTGGATTAGCCCAGTATAAATTTGATTTGATTGTTACAACGCTATATATTGATAAGTCGTGTAGGTTGAACGCTATATACGATTCCTAAGCTATTTCGGTAACCCGCAGTCTAGAACTACACAGCGACTTGAACTCCAGAGAGAAGACACAAGAACGAGAGAAAACACTTTATTCCAAGGTTCATTTTTGTACAGAAAATCATGGGTATTTATAGATTTTGGAGTCTGTTAAATCAACATCATTTTACAGCCAATCCGATAACAACACATTATGCTACCGACCAATAGTAGCACGCCACGTTGGAATTCTAGAACGTTCCATCACACTCTGATTGGGCAGGACTCTTCGGCTCCTTGTGGGCCTCTGGAGGCTCCGTTGAAGTTCTCCGGAAGCCGACCCAACATATATTTCTTTATCAGAAGGGGTTTGTGGAGATTTTTAGAAATTTTCACAGATTGAAATCATGAGTCAGTTGAAGCTAGACCACCATTGAAAACCTGGAAGCACTGGACGGCCGTTTCGTCATAGTATGGGACTCCTCAGCAGTGCGCATCCACGATCCCGCACCACGCGGGGCTCGGACCCAGGACCTACTGGCTTCGCGCGCGAGCTTTTAACCATTAGACCACTGAGCCGGCATCCAACGGTGTTAATGTCTAACTTCAACCAATCCACGAAGTTGCGCCACCATATACCATTGTCTTCAGTGAGCTGATATCTCACAACAGACCTGGTTGTACTCCACTGGTAACGGCTTCCCACTAGAACTCCAGGAGTATCTCTTGAAGTCAGTCACTAGTGAGCAGATGATTATTATCAGAAGGGGTTTGTGGAGATTTCCAATCTGTGAAAATTTCTAAAAATCTCCACAAACCCCTTCTGATAATAATCATCTGCTCACTAGTGACTGACTTCAAGAGATACTCCTGGAGTTCTAGTGGGAAGCCGTTACCAGTGGAGTACAACCAGGTCTGTTGTGAGATATCAGCTCACTGAAGACAATGGTATATGGTGGCGCAACTTCGTGGATTGGTCAAGTCAACACAGGTTGTGCAACCGGGCCATAGTATTATTGTGGTGAATGCTACTCACAAGATTGCTTACAAGTATTTTTTTAGTGGAACGTCACTTGGTAGTTGTAATAGACCGGCAGCGGAAGTGAAAATTTTCAGGAGATTGAAAAGCACCGGGGTAGGTAGAATCCTTTAGAGACTTGAATAAAAGCGAGAGAAGACAATCTAGAACCAACTCGGATTGCATGATACAATAGGATACCAATGGATGCAAATATTGCATAAGCATTTTGTGGATTCACTACATAAACATTCTTTCTACCTAGTGTCTTGTCCTACATTATCGGATGAACTTTGGGAAAGCTGAAACTTTCTGGGCTATTTTTCGGATTATTATTACTTATATCTTTATTGTATTAATTATTAGATAAATGTTGGATTTCTATAATACTCTTACTTAAGCTTTCGACTGTCGCTATAAATTTTATTATCCCTTAGTTATTTCTAATTATATATGCCTTTCCTGGTTAGCTACTGGATTAGATGGAACTTGAGGACCAATAAGTGTTAGGTCCTTGGATATAATTCATTGATCGGTATGTCAGCTCTTGTAATAGAAGGTAACCAGTCCTACTGACTACCATAGATTGCTGATAACAAGTAGTATTTCTAACCCTTTCAAAAGTGTATAGATAATAGCTGAGTATAAGAATTAAATTAGTTGGATGATCATTTTCATTAGTACTATTCCTTACATAGAATTAATAGAAATTAGAATCTTAACCAATATATGTACGTTTCATCGTTCAACGTTTTCATCTTTACTTATTTAGTCTTTTTATATGTAGAGAGAGTTCTTAATCATGAGAAGTTTCAAGATAGAAGAAAACACTCTTCTTGTAATTTGATCTTATCTATGCTAATAAAAGTAACTAACGGGAATGGCTATTACAAATTAGTCACCGAACGTTCTAATTATTAACTGAAAAAAGCACACAGTAAATAGCCTAAAATATAGGCTCAGCTTATAGACATTTTGATTACTCCTACGGCTGTGATCGAAACTGTGAATTCATGTTTTGTCGTATATGAAATCCTTCAATTTCAATTATCATTCAATATTTTAATATTCGTTTTCAGATTCTGTGGGCAACATTCCACTATCCAAACCCCTACTTACGCCTGTTATTCCTCATGGAGGAGCATAGGCCGCCCACGAGCACTTTCCATCCAATTCTGTCCTGGGCAGTCTTTTCCAGCTCTTTCCAGTGGTTATTCATCTAAACCTCCTAGGCTTGCTAAGTCTGTTTTTGATTTAAAACAGAGAATCAATAGACGATAGTGACCATTGATAACTAGAATTTAAAAGTAATTTCTTGATAAAGCATCTTGGTGTCAACATCAATGTTGAGCACTTATAAACTATTTATTCTGTGGATTTATCTACGGCTACAATTTAATGCTTTACATTTCTAACTCCAGTTGATTCCCCATATTTCGTGACCACTTTTTTTTCATTTCTATTGGTGAGTAACTGCCTCATATCTAACATGGTTAGACTCTAGTAGTTATGCCTTCCCACTAGGACTAAAGGTTAAATCTCCTATGCGTCGTAGATGCTCACTGCTGAGGAATCCTATACCAGGACGAAGCAGTTGTCAGTGCGTCCTGGTTTTCACTGGTGGCCTAGTGAAGATCAGTCCATGATGTAAGGTATTAAATTCTATAATCTCTCCGACCACCTTGTATTGATAATAACAAACGTTATTTTAGGCCTTAGTGTTTGTTAAATCCAATCGATTAAACTAGAATGGGATCACTTGTTCAAGCGAATTAACACCTGAAAACATTTCTGTTGATTTTGGGTGACCAGAGAGAATTGAGTTTCGTGATAATCAGCCCTTATCAGCTTGACAAACCTATCTTATTAAAGTAAATTTCGCTTCTCTTGGGAATCGAACACGTCTTACCAAATGTTATAGTTGAATGGTAACACCTACTGTAAAACAAATGAAGACGGATTCGAATGATCAGGGGATCATTTCACGCCTTGCTCACGAATGTCAACCACCTCAAATCCTGTTTAATTTTTCCTATTGACTAATTACTACCATTTAACGTTAGTCCGATTATGTAGACAAATTCTTCTAATTCAATGGATATATTAATTACTAATTTAATCATTTGTCTTTTAACTATTGTGTTATATGCTAAATCTTGCTTCGTCTGTTTTGTTTTTGATGTATGGTTAATATCACTAACTTTTCATACAAGAAATGTGATTTTAACTGTAAAAATATTGCAATCTTCACAAAGTCCCCAATGCTAATAATAATCATTTGCTCACTAGTGACTAGTTTCATGATATAACTCGTGAACTTTCAGTGAGAATCTGTAACCAATGGAGTTCAACCATGTCGCATCTGAGATAGTTATCTACCTCGAGCAATTGATGGAAGGTTGGACAAGATCATGAATTGATTAAAATTAGACATGTACACCATCGGATACCGGGTGATTGGTATAGATGTTGAACGTTCTCATATATGACCGAATGTATTGAATTCGATTCGCTTATGTAGAATCATGTATTGACACTGCTGATGAGTCTCATACTAGAACGAAACATACTTACTTACTTACGCCTGTTACTCCTCGTGAAGGAGCATAGGCCGCTCACCAGCATTCTCCATCCAACCCTGTCCTGGGCAATCCTTTCCAGCTCCTTCCAGTTGTAATTCATCTTTTTCATATCTGCTTCTATTATCCGACGTAATGTGTTCTTTGGCCTTCCTCTTTTCCGCTTCCCTTCAGGACTCCAAGTTAGGGGTTGTCTCGTGATACAGTTTGACGATTTGCGTAATGTATGTCCTATCCATTTCCATCGTCTTTTCCTAATTTCCTCTTCAGCTGGAAGTTGGTTTGTTCTCTCCCACAGAAGGCTATTGCTGATGGTATCCGGTCAATGGATGTTGAGTATCTTGCGTAGACAGCTATTTATAAATACTTGTACTTTCTTGATTGTGGTTGTTGTAGTTCTTCAAGTTTCAGCTCCATACAGTAGAACTGCCTTGAGAACGAAACATACAGATTTTCAATAATGGTCTAGTTAAGATCAGTTCATGATTTAAACTATGAGAACTGTATAACCTCCTCAAAATCCCCAATACTAATAACAAAAAAATTTGACCTGAAGTTAAATGACATTGACCTGGTAGATTGGTTACTAATTTAAGTTTTTTTTTTCTGTTCTATTTCTCTACTCCTGTTTATTATAATATTTGTATTGTATTGTATTGTATTGTATTGTTTGTTTGTTTTTCTAATAGACTATTATACCATTACCATTGTATGTAACCATTGAATTTGTTAAAATGCATCAAGTATGGCATATGAATAATGATTTACAATTATATGATAGTAATTTAGATAGACGTATTGAAATACGTACATTTAATATTCCTGAAGATTTAGGTCAAATTGAATATGTATTCACTGATAAAACAGGTACATTAACAGAGAATAAAATGCAATTTAAACGTGCCAGTATTAATGGAAAAGATTATTATACAGATGATGGTTAGTTGATTTATGATTTATCATTTATTATAATTGAATATGTTTTTTTTTCTTTAATTGATCTGATCTATTTTTATCAAAATATCATGAGTCAATTGAAGCTAGACTATCATGCAAAACCTGGAAGTATTGGACGACCATTTCGTCCTATTGTGAGACTCCTCAACTGTGCGCATCCATGATACCGCCTTGCGAGATTCGAACTCAGGACCTATCGGCCAGGACGAGACGGTCGTCTAGTGCTTCCAGGCTTTCCATGGTGGTTTATCCTCAATTGATTCATGATCTCAACTATTAAAATTAATATAATATCAGTAATATATATGTATAACAATATTTTGTTGATGTAACTAGTTAGTTTGATAACTGATTGCAAATTTTTGTTTTTAACTTAGAGACCTTTAGCTTTCTTGGAAAACATGATACAATTTAAGCAATGAGTTAGAAACATGGTGTTTTAATCTTTGACTTCAGTAAACTTCATACGCTAGAATTTAGAGAAATCTGTTTTCTAAGCTATTTACATAACCATACATGAGTATTATCAGGTGATTAGGTTCCATATAGTTGTATTTTTTCAAAATAATTTGAAGATAAATCACATCATCAGTTGGACTTACAAAAGTTACGTGAAATCTGTAATAGTTAGTCGGTTTATGTACACGTTATTGTCAAACCAATAAGATTAAAGATAGCGGCTACTGGATTTTAGCGCGATAGTGAAAAATATGATAATGAAAAAGCTTTTATTTAACTAAATACTTAACAAAACCTACCAATATTTATAAGCAAAGATGAATGGTGGCTACTAGTGAAATTCAGAACATGCATTTCATCTTATTTGAGACTCGTTACCTGGATGTATCTGCATTTCAAAGTTGATGTTCACTCTGGGACTTGAACCCAAATAAGACGAAACGCGAGTCCTGGATTCCATTGCTAGCCACTATCCATCTTTGTTTATAATGCTTGTGACTTAAGTCAATATCGAGGAAATTTGCACAATATGCACATATGCCAACATGAGATTGATCAATTGCAGTTCTGAACAACAATGGGGAGATACATGTAAACAACACTAAGTGAATCTAACAATATTCAGTTTCTGTGATTTTTAAAGGTTGATAAACATGATAGAACTAAGGAATAGAAACCATGGTTTATCAATTTTTGAAGGTAATTTAAAAAAGGTTTCGCTATTTTAAGATCAAAGAATTGACTGCGTAATTATTCGTCTGTATTAATCACAAAGTATCCATCTATTTCATCTCGAATCAATACTCTACCCAAACTCTTGACTCTAAAACCTAACCCTGAATCTTAATCTGAATTAAAACGTTTAAACCAAATTGTAGCTTGTTATAGGTATTTTATGTAATAGATTATTCTTCTTATTATTACTTGCATTCTGATTGACTGAAAAAATTCCCTGAAAGTCGATAGTCAAGTCGACTTTTGCCAAAAACTGTAATGAACAAGTTTCTATATAAAAGTATTACCAAAATCTGTATATGAATAGGGGGATGCTAGAGATGATAAATAACCATAGACTCATTGTCTATTAAAGATTACTAATTAAATTGTATGATATTTTTAAGAATTGAAGAGGCGCTAAAATAACCTTCATGTTTTTAATACAATAAACGTCCAAATAGAGTTTATCGAGTATACTCCTCGGCAGTTCGCTTTGTTTTACTTGATGGCAGCGAAACGTGGCCATTAAGAGTTGAAGATACTCGTAAGCTACTAGTATTTCACCACAGATGCCTTAGAAATATTGCTGGCATCTGTTGGGATCACCGGGTAAGTAATAGTGAGGTTAGACGCAGGGTATTAGGGAATGATGGTAAATCAGTTGATGAGGTTGTTGATCTCCATCGACTAAGATAGGTTGGGTCACGTGTTACGTGTGCCTGAACACCGATCACCACGTCGCGCAATGCTAACCGGTGTTGGAGATGGTTGGAAGAAAGTTAGGGGCGGCCAAACTAAAACGTGGCATCAGTGCTTGAAGACACTAACCTCTAGTCTGAGTCATGTTGGTAGATGCAGATTACTTGGTTGGGGTCCTCATGACTATCGTAACCAGTTGTTGGAGACTCTTGGTGACATGGCTCAGAATCTATCACAATGGCGTCAGTGCATACACTCCCTGTCTTCCCTTAAACTAAGAGATTAAAATCGCTTGATATCTTTCTTTCTATGAACTAATACTTTCTTCCTGTACTATGTCCTTATATGCAATCTTTCTTATATATTACCACCATTGACTTAACTACTTTTATGAATCCGGTGTTAATCTTGTTGTGTTAATGTGGTATGGCAACTTGGATCGATGCATATATGTGTCTGGTCCTACGTTGTAGCTGACTGACTGACTGACTGACAAATAGAGTTTATGAGTATGATATACTCATCAAACATATTTAATACAGTCATTGAACTGATTCGTAACCTTAATTAAGGTAATACAAGCACTGAGATATTGCTTTGTCAAAAGTAATAAACCAAGATTTTCTTAATCTGAAGCTTGTATTATTGCTTCATATCCCCCATTATTAGACAAAGTATCTTCTAATCAGCTAGACGTAAACCGCTACATATTTTATATAATCAGTTAGTTAAGCATTTATATTTCAAAGAATAAGTGTTAGATTGGCTCTCCATTTCATCTACTTTCTACAAATATTTATAATCTCTCACTTTAATGTGTCTTAATATCAGAAGGGACTTTTGTGAATATTATAGTAATTTCAATGGTTAAGATCATGAGTCAATTGAAGCTAGACAACTATGGAAAACCTCGAAGCACTGGACGGCCATTTCATCCTATTGTGGGACTTCTCAGCAGTGCGCATCCACGACCTCGCCTCGAGAGATTCGAACACAAGACCTATTAGTCTCGCGCGCAAGCGCTTAACCACTAGGTCACTGAGCCGGCATCTAACGGTGTTAATATCTAACCTTGACTAATCCGTTAAATTTGGCGACACATTCATCATTGTCATCAGTGAGTTCCTATCTTACAACAGACCTGGTTGAACTCCACTGGTAATTGCTTCTCACTAGAACTCCAGGATCTACCTCTTGAAGCCAGTCACTAATGAGCATATGTTGATTAATATCAGAAGGGGTTTTTGTGGATATTATAGTAATTCCAGTGGTTGAGGAGTCCCACAATAGGACGAAACGACCATCCAGTGTTCCCAGGTTTTTCATAGTGCTCTAGCTTCAACTGACTCATGATCTCAACTGTTGAAATTAATGTGTTTTGTTAAGTAATCCTGTTGTATTTTAAGTTTACTTTAAACTAATGCCCTGTATTTTTTTCTGTTGCATATCATAGGTGATTATCATGAAAATAACGATCAATTCAGTAATCATTCTTCACCAGTACGTTGTTTTGCACTATCAGGGTGGCTTTTTTACGTTTTGGCTTTTGCACATATTGTGTAGACACTAACTACATCAACAAATCAATTTCTATTGTTTAAACACTGAATAGTTAATAATGGGCTGTAACACAATAGTTATTTCCACCTTCAGTATTAATTTATTAATGAAGATTGGTTATTCCCAGTTTCGGGTACAATTCATGAAGTATTATAAGTGATATATGGATACATGGTATTCCAAAATTTATGGTTTATCGATTATATATCTGTGAGATGTGGTCTTTAGCGACCTGCATTTTTGTTTAAATTAGTACAAAGGGCTACCAAAATATATATGCTCCACACAAACTCAATGATTTGTGCATGGGCCGGGATACGCCATGACTGCCCAAACCGAAACAGGAGGTTTTATTAGGCTGCCACTCCCTAGGTCTTTGACGAAGAAGTGTAATCCGAAAAAAACAGTGAATCGTCCGGAACATCAGTCTCATGGTACCTGATGACCAAGAATAGGTTAGCACACCATTTGTTTCCTTAGAGTACTGCTGCCTATATGCACCATTGGTTTAGAATTATGATTTTCTTACTCCCCTAGATAGATCTCCATCGTACCTACCAATCCGGTTTAAGCACCGCGCAATCACTTTTTGTCTTCTCAATTTTATGAATAACACACCAGCTGTCTGAATCATGAAAAGTTTGTAAGTATGTGAATAAACATTAGGTTTTCACTTTTCAAATCACGCGAAAATTTGTAGATAAGATAAGATTGTTAATGATTTTGTCAGTTTCACTATCTATCTATTATAACCATGTATGGTGTATAATGAAAAGTGTCTTATCACTTACACAACAAAATGTTATACTGTAGTGAACAAGAAGAGACGACTGGGACAATCAAATTACAGAACATCTCACTAAAATTTGACAACAGTACAGTAAATACTTAATTTGAAAAATATCAATCTATTGTCTCAAACTTGACTGTCTCTTCTGCAGATATCAATCCATCGTCTCAGATTTCATTACTTGTGCATTTTCATATCAATTGCTTTCCGTTCTCATACTTTCCTTCTTAATCTTCTACGGAAATACATTCTATTTTTGATCATCGTCATATACTACTTATATGGATATAAGTAGTTCAAACTACCGTACAACTACCAGGAAAAAGGGATTTATTTGTGTTCCTGAAATGTAAATATAATTATTTCTAATTGCCGTCTTTAACTAAAGAACTGAAATTGATATGTACTCCAACTCAAATCAATCCCTAACGAATAAATACATATTAAGTAAATTAAGTTTACAAAGACCCTTAATCAAAACAATCATAAATGAACAATCATACCAATTCCATAGTGTAAATTGTGTAAATGACTTGAAAGTACATAAAACTACTTTAATGATAAGAAAAACATTTCATGAATTATCAAGTATATAAATGTTTAGGTCATTTTTCAACGAAGAACAGAATTTGATTACAGGTAGTTACATAATACAAATAGTGTAATAAATGAAATCGATATATTCAAGGCAAATGTGATAGAATACTCTTCAGACGATATTGTTGTTTGATTCCTTTTTGACATGAACCATTTCTGTATGTCAAAACACTTTTCAACTACATTTTACACTTAGTTCCAAATTTCGCATGACATCATAAGTTGTAATAATAAATAATAGTTGTAGCTTAACTTACAACTATGTCCCATACTAGAACGAAAAAACTCTTCAGTGCTTCCAGGTTTTCGATGATAATCTGACTTAGACAGGTACCTGATATCAATAAAATTGAACAATCTCCACAATCCTATACTCGAAATGTTTATTGTTATTTAATAGTTACAAAAACTCCGTCTGTAACTCTTCTAGTGTTACGGCCGGGGTCGGGAACCCCAACCCGTAGAAAAATATCTTGTTAGAAAACGCTAACCAACTCAAATAAATTAAACCATCTAAACTCTTCCCTTCGAGTTGAAAATAATAATTATGACACCTAATGATGAAAACAGGGATTCCTAGGAAGTCATAAGGCTGATACCCTTCTAACGACCGGAGCAACAATTAATATAGGTACATGGGATGTCCGGACAATATAGGGGACCGGAAGGACCAGTCAGATAGCAGCGGGAATGAGGAGATACAAATTAGTGGTGCTCAAAATCAGTGAAACCCATTGGACCTAAGCTGGACAGCAAAGGTTAGGTACGCAAGAGATGCTATTTTACTCCGGTCACAAAAATGCAAATACTCCGCACACTTGAGGAGTTGCTCTGATGCTATCCAAAGAAGCATGAAATGTACTTGTTGGGTGGGACAAGATTCAAGAAAGGAAGAACAAGAAGACAGCAATTAACAACAGCCGAAGAACAACATAGAAAGTCAAGGCACAGACCGAATACATAGAAGCAAACAAACACGTGAAGAAAAGCATTAGAACTGACAAGCTAAAATATATGGAAGACGTAGCAGTGACAGAGTAAAGAACTGTAAGAGAAGAAAATACGAAACAGTTATATGACACAATAAAGAAACTGGCACAGAAGTATAGTAAATCAGAGAGATCGGTCAATGGCAAAGAAGACAAGCCAATCACTGAGATTCAGGAAGAGGGGAGGAGATGAGTGGAACACTTCGAGGGACCCTTGAATAGATCAAATACATTGAATCCGCCGAATATCTAAGCAGAACACACAGATCTCCCTATGAATATGATGGTAAAGATTAAGGCTAAAGAATACAATTCGCCGAGATTTAGAAACATGCATGAGATGGATGAATAGTAACTGAAACGAGCTGGAGGGGATCGCTTAGGACAGATTTGGATGGAGAATGCTGGTTAGCGGCCTGTGCTCCTTCACGAATGGTAACAGGGGTAAGTAAGCAAGTAAATAACAGTTACAAACTCTAGTTATTCAGATTGTAGTGAACGAACGCTTGGTGAGAATAACCAATTTCTTATTTAATGTAAAAGCATAAAGTAACTTGGTAAAATACAAAAACCATACATTAAGTACATCATTTCTATTAGTTATCTTTTTCGTAATTTCTAATTCCTTCAATTATATTTTTTCATTTCAAATTCTTTGTATTCTCTTCAGTTCGATTTTCTTAGTCTTCTATTCTTAGTCATTCTAGTTCTAATTAGTGTTACATACTACTTATATCTGTCAATATAAGTAGCATACGCTACATGATATTACTAATATATTTATTCTATTTGCTAATATATGTATTCTGTATTCTGTACTTACTTTCAGAAGCATATTGTAACAAATTTAAATACATTACAGAGTATATTAGAGAATAGAACAATTTTTTCTTATCATCAAAAGACTATCAATAATGATATGGAATATTCTGATTATAGTTCCAGGAATTATTATTTCAATACTGATAAAGAAATCAATAATATTGAATTTATTACAATACAACCATCTAATGAGATACCATCAACTAGTCATATTCAAATGGATCATACTAATACTTCATCTTACTATTTATCTCATTCTATATCATCACCATCATTTCAACAAAACAATATAGATATTGAAATCAATCATGAAAATCAATGGAAAATCAATGAAAAATCTAATAATTTATTTAATGAAAAATGTAATTCTATAGAAAACAAATCAAAACCATTATATAATCAAGTTTTATTAACTGAAGAAATACGTATTCAAGATTTTTTCTTAGCTTTAGCTATATGTAATACAACTGTAGTGTCTGTTACAAAGAATACTCCAACAATGGTAAGTTAACTTGCATTTGTTTATTATATTATATTATATATTTGATAAATGATATTTCATAGAAGTTTGCAGATTCTTTGCTTATTGACATTGGTAATAAACTTCAAAAAACTAATCTTACTTACTTACTTACTTATTTACGCTTGTTACTCCCAGTGGAGTATAGGCGGCCGACCGGCATTCTCCAACCCACTCTGTCCTAGGTCTTCTTTTCTAATTCCATCCAATTCTTGTTCATTTTTCTCATGTCTATCTTCATTTCCCGGAGTAATGTGTTCTTTGGTCTTCATCTTTTCCTTTGGCCCCGAGGATTCCATGTGAGGGCTTGCCTTGTGACGCAGTTACGTGCTTCCCTCAATGTGTGTCCTATCCAATTCCAGTGCTTCTTCCTGATTTCTTCCTCCGGTGGGATCTGGTTTGTTCTCTCCCATAGTAGGTTGTTGCTGATAGTGTAGTGTCTGGCCAACGGATCCGAAGTATTTTGCGTAGACAACTGTTAATAAACAATTGTATCTTGTAGATGGTGGCTTTCGTAGTTGTCCAAATTTCCACCCCATACAGTAGAACTGTCTTGACTATTGTATTGAAAATCTTGACTTTGGTGTTGGTTGACAGTTGCTTTGACTTCCAGATGTTCTTCAGTTGTAAATATGCTGCTCTTGCTTTTCCGATCCACGCCTTCACATCTGCATCAGACCCACCCTGTTCATCAGTGATACTGCCCAAATATGTAAAGGTTTTTACATCTTCCAAATCTTCTCTGTCAATTGTGAGTAGATTGGTGCATGCTGTGTTGTGTCGGAGAATCTTGCTTTTCCCTTTGTGTATATTGAGACCTACTGCTGCTGAGGCTGTTGCTACACTGGTCGTTTTCTCCTGCATTTGTTGTTGCGATTGCGATAGGAGGGCCGGATCATCTGTGAGGCTAGATCGCCTAATTGCATCCTAGATGTCCTTTATATCCCGCGCTTTCCTTCAGATGTTGATGTCTTTATGATCCAGTCGATCACCAGGAGAAAGAGGACGGGTGAGAGTAAGCAACCTTGCCTGACACCGGTCTTTACTTTGAACGACTTTGTCAACTGTCCTCCATGCACGATTTTGCAGTTTAATCCATCCTAGGAATTGCGTATGATGTTGACTATCTTCTCAGGTGTGCCGTAGTTTCGAAGAAGCTTACATAGTGTTTTCCTGTCCATGCTATCAAATGCTCTTTCGTAGTCAATGAAGTTGATTTAGAGTGATGAATTCCATTCAGTTGATTGTTCCAATTCCGTAATGTTGCGATGTGGTTGGTACACGATCGATCCTGCCTGTTGGTCTCGAAGTTGGGTGTTTACGGATTCCTTCATTCTGTTTAACTATACTCTGTAGTGGCTGGCTTCTCATGAATATTTCTTTAGCATAGAGCTGTGGAGATTGTTAAGTTTCATTGAAATTATAATTGATTTAAGTTAGATCAGCATTGAAAACCTGGAAGCATTGGATAAATGTTTCATTTTCATATCTACGCATCTACAATGTCGCTCGCGATCCCTCAACACTGAGTTAGCACACAACGATGCTGATATGTAAAATTTATCAATCCATGACATTGTGCGATCATCTTCCATTGTCTTTGGTGAATAACTACTTCACAAGGATTTACTCCACTAGTCATAACTTCACATTAGAACTCCGCGAATTTTCTTCTCGAGATTACTCACTACAGTGCACGTGATAATAATACAGGATTGTGGATGAACACTGATGGTTAGTCTCGTACTTTGGCAAAACGGCCGACCAGTATTTACATGTATAAAATGGTTGTCTAACTTAGATTGGTTTATGATTTCAATGAAATCTCCATAAACATTTTACTCATGTTTCCACAGTGTTTGTAAACCTGTTAGGATAATTATTTTCTAAATGAAAGAATCTTCAAAGATTACCTGATTACGTATTTTTATTAAGAACGAAAGCTTCTAAAGGTTTTTTGATCAGAGGATGCTGTGCATTATCAACATACTTGATCTTGCATGGTTACTAATTGATTGAAGTCGCAACTGGAATCTATTGTAAGTTAATACCTTGGTCTTAAGGTAATGAATTCATCATCAGACTAGAATATATTGGGTTTCTCGCTGTAAAGCCGTCACTTGTCACTACTTTGTAATCTCAAACTAAGACGAAACATTTGTCTAGCACTATTGTTTAAAGCCATTGTTTAAGTAAAATTGTTTTGTGTTTATTATCGTTACCTTCTATATTGCATACATTGAAATATATATTACTTGTTTATAAATAAGTAGTTCAGATGAGAATTCAATTTATTTTATGATCTATGTTGATTTCGAGATATACCATCGATTAATTGACTTCATGAGGTAACGAAATCCGCTAAATGATCAATCGTCGTTGTAGTTACATTCAATTTGATTGTTACTGTATCCAGAACTTGTAAATTTTTGAACAGAACTAGGTACTGTGTTTCTGCTTACGTTGAGTAACGGTTTTATATGCGTTCAACTGATTACTATTTTTCTTCGGATTCCTGAACTCATTACTTAAATTTTTATGTTTTCCGTTGCTTTGTTACTATTATGACTGTACGTAGAATTAAGTTAACCTTTGTTTCTTAACTCTATTTCACTGAAGAAATCAAAATTGCTCACAAGAAATTCGACCAATATTTTCTCTCACCAAACATCCGTTTATAATTTTAGCATGAAATCCTTAAGTAGTATCTTTAATTTGAGCAATGACTTGTGAATGTGACTCAGGATCTGATTATTTCTATAGACGTTTTTGAAAGGGTTCGTTAAGTTTTAATTGAGATTAGATTAAGTAACTTTTCTCTATCAGAAGTGGTTTTTAATAGTTGAGATCATGAATCAATTGAAGCTAAATCACCATGGAAAACCTGGGAGCAAGGCCGTTTCGTTTCGCTTCTTCAGATTCGAACCTAGGAATTCTTAGTCTCGCGCTCGAGCGCTTAACCCTTAGACCACTGAACGAGCATCCAATGGTGTTAATGTTTAACTTCAACTAATCCACAAAATTGAGCTGAAATTATAATTGAAATTTTTAAACTGTCGACCTCAATCACCAGTGTTATAATGCTGTAGTTAATAGATGATTATTTGAATCGGACGTTCAATCTCTGAGATTTATGCCGTTAGTGTTACTCGTTGACAAGTCTCATCAATCTCAATTATTAACAATAAAAGCTTTTTGTAAACGGATATCCAATGCTGACTAGTGTTGGGGATTGTTGGAAGAAAGTTAGGGATGGCCAAACCAAAACGTGATATCATTCCTTGAACTCACTAGCGTCTAGTCTGAGCCATGTAAGTAGATGCAGATTACTTCGTTGGGGTCCGTGTGACTATCGTAATCAATGGTTAGAGATACTGGATGACATGGCTCAGAATCGATCACAATGGTGTAGGTGTACTATATCGTTATGCACAATCGTTCTTTTATATATTACTAGCATTACTAAATTAACTACTTTTATAAATTCGGTGTTGTTGGAGTGGTCCAGAAAATTCTTTGCAAAAGACAAGCAAACATCATGAAACACTAAGAAGCGTTTCACCCAATCAGTGTTCACTTGAAGTTTTAGCCAGAAATATCAAGGAAGTGAAGCGTCACATGCAGAGGTTCTGATTGTGCTACACTACTATGTTTAGTAGCATTCCAGAATCTTTGAGCAACCCAAGGATACCTAAAAATATTATAGAAACCCTATATTTTCTGTGTTAAAATAAACCTTGGAGTAAACTACTTCTCGCATACTTTGAGTCTTTTCTCTTGTGTTCAGGTTGCTGTATAGTCCTAGCTTGGGAGTTACAGAATAGCTTGGGAAACGAATATAGCGTTCAATCCGCAAAACATATCGGGCGTCCATGTTGTTGTGCTAATGAGGTGTGGCAACTTGAACCGATGCATGTAAGTGCCTGTTCCTACATTGTAGCTGACTGACCGATTGTAAACGGATATTGGGATTGTAATGAACAAGAACACCGGTGGAGACAACGGGAAGTACTTAACACAACAATTACAGACTATCTCAATAAAATCTGAATACCATATAGTAAATTGTCAATTTGCAAAATATTTATGCATCAAACCAAACTGGACTGTTTCTGTTGCAAACACCAATCCATTGTCTCCCATTCCATTGTTCATGTGTTTTCTTACAAATTCCATTGTGTTCTCGCTCTTCCTTTCTTGATCTTCCCCATTTTCTGCTGCCAGACATCACGTTCTTTTGACTCACGTTATATACTACTCATATCAATATAAGTAGCTCACACCACAGGATTATATCTGAACAAAATATGAGTCATTTTATATAAACAAACTATTTTTCATACACAATTAATTTACATAATAATAATAATGATAATTTCTTTATTATTATTTTTTTTTCTCAAAAAATTCAGTTTCAAGAACCACCTCCACGTCGTAAAGGATTTCGTGATTTCTTTCGTTCTGGTAAATTCAATTCAGTTACATATCTACATCAGAAGTTACGCAAAACTAAACAGCAACAACAACAACAACAACAACAACAAAGTCAACCTAGTACACTATTAGGTAAATCTAACATCATAATAAAAGATAAAATAGATAATAATGATAATCATCATTTATCACGAGTTAAACAAACAATTAACTTATCTAATCTATTTTCAAATAAATTACGTTCAACTAAAATTGATAAAACAAATACTCAATCAGACAAATTGAATGATCAACATCATCAACATCAACATCATCATCATGATGATCATAATAGTCCCATATCTTCTAATCTCTTAGTTACTAACAATATAAATCATAACACTATAATTAATCATACTAATCTTATTAATCATGAAGAAATTAGTCAAGAAACATTTATCATGGATGATTCCATTTCTACTAAATTAGATGATATAGAAATACAATCAATAAAAACTAATGAAAATTATCATAGAAATGAAATCAATCAAATCGATAATAATAATAATAATAATCAATTATTAAAAATCAATAATATCAATATTAATTCAGCTAGATTATTTAATGAATTAATGAAAGATAATTATTATAAAGAATCTATCTTATATTATTATTCAAGTCGTTGTTTACCACCAGTTATTGAAGCATTAAATTTAGATATAATATTCAAAAATTCTAATCATATATTAAATAATAATAATAATAATAATAATAATAATAATAATAATAATATATACAAATGAATATAGAAAATAAAAAATTTATTGGACATTGTATATTACCACAATATGAAAATAATCATTTAAGTTCATATAATAGTAGTAGTATATCAATGGATGAATTAAATTTACATCATTCATCAATTTATATACAACAATCAGGTAAGTTCTATGTTATAATAATAATAATAATAATAATAATAATAATAATAATAATAATAATAATATAATAATGCCCCCAAATGCCTTGGTACGACTGAGAGTAGGGACAGTCCACTCTCCTTCTCGAAATGCTCTCATATGGCCACGCGTATATAGCATCTATCAGGGAGGTCCTACTCACTGCCTTCTCGTGGCAGGGGAGTTGTTTACGAAAATGAGAGGACGAAAAGCCAATGTGTGGCGCTTTAACCGGATTCCAAACTAATGGTGCACTTGGGCTCCATTATCCTGAAGGAACAAATGGTGTATGAACCAACTGTTGGTCACCGGCTTCCATGGGACTGCATCTCCTCACGATGGATCAGACATTCAGATCGAAGGCTCAGGATGTGGCCCCTTAGGGAAACCATCTGCTACGGTTTGGGCACCCAGGCGGTATCACAGCCCTCACGCATATCAAATGAGATTTGTGTGGCGCATATGTATTTGGTGCCTTCTTGTACCAATATCTATGTGTTAAAATAAATAAATATTAATAATAATAATGCATTGTGAAAATAATAATTAGAAAATTCACGCAAGTTTATAATCAGTCAGTTACAACGTAGGAACAGGCACATATATGCATCGGTCCAAGTTGCCATACCTCATTAACACAACAACATGAACACTGAGTTTATAGAAGTAGTTTATTCAGTAATGGTGGTAATATATAAAAGAAGGATTGTATATAACGATATAGTACAGGAAGAAAGAATTAGTTGGTAGAAAGAGAGGTATAAGACAATTACAATCTAACGGTTTAATGAAAGACAAAGAGTGTATGCACCTACGCCATTGTGATCGATTCTGAGCCATGTCGTCCAGTATCTCTAACTATTGGCTACGATGGTCACGCGGACCCCAATAAAGTAGTCTGCATTTACCAACATGGCTCAAACTAGACGTTAGTGACTTCAAGGTATTGTTAGGTCCCGATATTTATAATGAATGGTAACTTTGGGTTCCTTTTATGGACCAACAATAAATGCATATTTTTATCGTATCATTGTTAAATAACTAAACTATTCATATCCCTCTTATTATAAACTTTATTTTGACCTATGAACCATCATTATACGTTTTACCATTCTTGAGTTATATCTGGTCTATCAATTACTACCTCTCACACCCACAGCCACTTTTGCCTAAATCTTGTACAAATGTTGTTTCATATTTTATTGGTACGTTGTGGTCTGTTTGATTGGTATATAAACTCAGTATGTTTGAAATATAAGGATTCATATTGCAGAGACTGAGACTGGTGTTCTGGACTTAATTGGCTGGGCTAGGCGGAAAGCTGGACTAATCAAGACTCTAGACTGCTCATACGGGCATACGCGTCATTGTTTCGATTGATAAGTCACTGCTCTCTAATCGGCGGTCACAAGTTATAACAAGAATGATGCCACGTTTTGATTTGGCCACCCTTATCCTTCTTACAACCGTCTCTAACACTAGCATTGTGCGTTGTAGTAATCGATGTTCAGGTATACGTAACACTTGACCAAATCATCTCAGTCGATGAAGATTCACAATCTCATCAACTGATTTACCATCATTCATTAATACTGTACGTCTAACCTCATTATTCTTTGTAATTCCGAACAGATTTGTTTCTCTTACTTATAAGCACAGAAATTGTTAAAACCTCATAAATTCTAGATCTTTCTTGTTCAGTTAATACATTATTTATGATAAAACACAAATTTCCCTAATTTCAATGCATTAAAGTATTAGGTTACGAAATATACTTGATTGAATTCTTCTTCTTTATACCTCATATAATAAAGTGGCATAGTGAATACGTTATTGAATTTGTTAGAACTTAAGTTACTAGAAAATCTAAGAAAATTTTTTTTATATCAATCATTCAATCAATTACAGTCAGCGTAAAACATTGTACAACTATGTATCGATCCAAATTGTCATACCGTATCAACACAACTTGATGAAACTGTCAAGATCAAAGTAATGAAAGTATCACTGACAGTAAGGTGGATTACAACCAAAATATGCGATTAGTGAAGAAAGAATTAATTCTTAGTATAAAAGGTTGAAAAAATTTCTATGTCTGCAGAAAACAACAGTAGGTTTTTTTTCTTGAGCTGTTGTTATGTTCGTTAACTTGAATGCTACTATTGATTCGTCTTACTCGGAACGGAACGAAGAATCAAGGATTCAGAGACTCGATAGGCTATACTTGTCCGTTGTCCCCGACTTAGGTAATTCGATCCAGAAGCCTTGGTAAGATGTAGAAAGTGTATTCTATAGACAACCAGAAGACACCAGATCCATCAAGCACACAAATCAAGCGTATTTATTCAAAATATATATATATAATCGATATTGCCACTGAAGTATTTAAACATTTAATCGATAAGTCCGTCAATCGACTATGTAAGTGGGTGGTAAGAAATGCCAAAACATACATCTGTATACAAGTTCCACAAAGATAAAATTACAAAATATGAGTTTTGGGATCTAACGTCCCCAACAGCTGTGATGACAGGAAAGTAATTTTATGACCTCTTTCTCTAGTCTAATTATCTATTAGTTCACCTATATGACCAATAATATCGGTGACTTATTGATCAATTGAAATATCTAACAATAAACCACACCCAATGCGTTAATACTTTTTTAATCCTTGAGCTCCTTCTAACCTAGTGGTTAATCAAAAGACGAAATCAGAAAGCAGACCAGTTCTTTATTGTACGCCATAAGTGGAAGAGAACTGAGTAATATATCTGTAATAAGTTAATGGTGACTTGAGTAAGGCACAAAATATAACGAAAGTTTATGTACCATTCAAAAACTTGTAAGCAGGAGAATATGGAAATACGACAATTTAAGTATTTAATAATATCAGAATGGGTTTTTGTGGAGAGTTTTAGAAATTTTACAGGTTGAAATCATGAGTCAGCTGAAACTAGACCATAATAGAAAGGCGAACATCAAAACAGTACCTTCAGGTTTAATAGTTCCGAAAGTTCAACTTTCCTATTGTTCGTTCTGTTATAATATTTTTCAACTTACGATCTTGGGGAAGACAAGGAGTGAAAGCGTTTGAGCCTTCGCGTTCGATTCCGAATCAAGTCATTTAATGTCTCTAGACACAGATATTAGTTATCGCGCCGACCCTGACCGGGTAGTCTAGGGCTGGGATACTACCCGGGCGCCCAAACCGAGACGGCTGGTTTTCTTTAGGGGGCCATCCCACAAGCCCTTACTCAAAGATCTGATCCTCAAGGCGGCGGATTAATGTCAGTAGATGCAGTCCCATGATAGTCGGTGACCAACAATAGGTCCATACGCTCAGGATCCTGGAGCCCATTTCCACCATTTGTTTGGAACCAGGGTTTCCCAACTGCTCTAGGTGGATCTTCCATATCCACCCACTCGGTTGCAACTCCGGACATTTACTTTTCGTCCTCTGAATTTCTTTAACAACGCCTTCACCGCGAGAAGGCAGTGAGTAGGATTTCCCTGTCACTGGTTGTATGCACGTGGCCATGTGAGAGCATTTGGATGAAGAGAGCTTACTCTCTCCACTCTCGGCCGTACCAGGGCATTTAGGGGCATCCTGAGTCTAATCACATCATTTCCCATCTAATCGTTTCATGTTACACTAGAAATGCTTCAAAGATATTACTGACAAGTACTCTTATTTAACTTTCCATTACTATCAATATTTTGATTTTCAAGCTTCAAAAAACTTTATAATTAATGATAATTTCATCAACTTTTCCCACATTGACTTTGTCGTCTAATTGGACTATGATAGTAGTAACACTTTAAAAATGAGTATTTACTTCATATTTATGAATGCCAACTATTTCAAACGCTGTTTAATTAAAATGTAGTAATTCGGATTTTATAATAAAAGTTTAACAAACATTAATCATATTTTATAGAATTCTGATATTTCCTATATGTATTCAACACCCATTGTAGTGAATGAGAACACAAGCGGGAACAATCGAATGTATTTGAATACAGAATTACAGAACATCTTAATAAATACTTCCTTTGCAAAATGTCCATCAATCGTCTCAGACTTCATTGTTTTTTTTTGTTTCCACACCGGTCATTCTCTGTTCTATCTTGTTAACCCTCTACTACCAGGCCAGGTATTTCACTTTCGATTGATGTTACATACTATCTATCTATTTATCTATCGACATCAGTATCACACACTGTTATGTCTTGCTGATTGGACGCTATATTCGTTCCTAAGCTATTCTGATAACCCGCACGCTAGAACTATACAGAGACCTGAACAGTAGAAAGAAGGAGCAAAGTATGAGAGAAACACTTTACTCCAAGGTTTGTTTTTGGACAGAAACCTTGGGTATTTAACGTTTGTTAAATCAACATCATATTTCGGCCAATCGGTTAAGGACATATTATGCTACTGACCAATAGGTAGCACGCCATGTTGGAATTCTAGAATGCTCCATCATGCTCTGATTGGCTAGGACACTTTAGCTCCTTTTGGGCCTCTGGAGGCTCCGTTGAAGTTCTCCGAAAGCCGACTCAACACATACCACACCAGTATCTATGTGATTATTTGATCAAAGTCTATATGATTTTGTCAGTAATTTGTTTTTAACCATATCTTTCTATACTATAGATTTTGAATCATTAGAATCAGCTAATCATCGTTTCAATTTGAATAAAGATAATAAATTAGATAACCAACATGATAATAATGAAAATCTCACTAAGCTCAAAGATTTAAAACTCAATCTTGTCAAAGAGAAAAGTGTTCAAAATGATAAAAATCAATTGGAAGAAGAATTAGAAATAAATACAGCTAGAACTCTTACAGTACGTATACCCAATGGTAGTTCATTTGAGTTACCTATTGAATCTGATATTTATGCACAAACTCCATCTGAATTAAAACAATGTCCATTATCAGATAATACTTTATTTAATTCTTATGAATCTGAAAGTCCTGATGAAATATGTTTAGTAAAAGAGGCATGTAAACATAATTACAAATTATTACAACGTGGTGTTGATTTCATATTATTATGGTTACCAAGTAAGTTCATGTAATATAATCTCATTTTATTATTTTTTTTTTAGAATTAAAAATTTTAATGTTGCTATACTGTACAACAACATGGAAACAATTTAAGAAAACGTCAAAAATATCGGGGACCATGAGAAATTTGTAACATTCCAAATGTGTATATTAAAACTAAATGTTGTTATTTACATTCACTCACCTGACGTAGTTTATCGTCTTAGCGCCCAAATGCCCTGATACGGTCGAGAATTGGGAGAGTATGCTATCCCTCTTCAAAGGCTCTCATATGGCCACGCGTATATAGCCTCTGCCTGGGAAGTCCTACTCACTGCCTTCTCACACCAAGGGTGTTGTTTACGAAATTGACAGGACGAAAAACGAATGTCTGGCGCCTTAATCGGGTTGGTGGACATGGAGAGTCCACCTAGGGGAGTTGGAAAACACTGATTACAAACCAATGGTGGACATGGGCTCCATTATCCTGAAGGAACAAATGGCGTATGAACCAATCGTTGGTCACCGGCTACCATGAGACTGCATCTCCTTACGATGCTCCACTGCCTTGTGGATCAGACCTTCAGGTCCAAGGCTTGGGGTGTGACCCCTTAGGAAAACCATCTGCTTCGGTTCGAGCACCCGGCCAGTATCTTAGCCCTCACACATATCAAATGAGATTTGTGTGGCGCGTATGTATTCGGTGTCTCCTTGTAACAATATCTATGTGTTAAAATAAAATAAAAAAATAATCGTCATAGTACAAACTAACGTGATCGATTTCTGTTATCAAATTTTTTTTCAAAATGTCATTAAGTCCCACCAAACTAGTTCTACTCACTACATTCATATAGAAAAAACTTTTCTCAAAAAAATGGATGAGTTAGAAGAAGATCACTGATGGTTAGTTAGATCATATTGGTTGGTACTCAAGATCCTTAATAAAGATATGAAAGACTCTAACTCCAACTCAACGATTTATGTCTTCTCTATGATCTTATAAGATCTAGCTTTCCAGTTGCACCATTTGACCACTGGTAATCTTAAGGATTTAAATGATGACATTATATCATCACCTTCTAGATTTCACATCTTCAGGCCAACTAACCCAGAATCAAATAAGTTGATTCATTATTAGTAGATAAATAAACTTACTCTATGCCAGTTTGTATCTGTGTATCGTTTCATTTTTACATCCTTCACTTAAGTTTCTATTATTAAACCCTATTCTAATAACACAGTCTCTTATAGTTTGATACATTGAAATGTTCAATCTAAGTGAGAAGTTAATGTTAAGAGGTTGTATTCTTCCCTTCATTCTGAAAATCCCACAATGGATAACACATAAAATGAGAAATAAATTCTATCACTAAACGAATAACCTTAACTAATTTTGATATTGAGCTAGAGAATTGAAAAGTGAGTGAACGATTGAGCAATTACTATTCATGAATTAAATGACTATGATAGTCTTTTGTATCTTTGTAACTATGTCCATCTTTCTTTTTGGCAAAAAAAGTAACCCGATTAATTTATTTCCGGTACTCTATTTGACGTTCATTCTTTACAACTCTAGCATGAATTCAAACAAACCATCGTGCAATCCACTATCTGATATATCCATGATATATATATGCCCGACACATATCAATCTCGGTGGTCAGAGTCTGGAATATTAACCCGATTCTTTTTCGCTACAGGCGGCTGAGATGCAACAATACTTTGCAGTTTACTGAACAAAGCCCGCGAACAAACACTGTCAGGCACCCCGTCTCTATTCCAATTTACCGGACCATGGTCAACTACTGTTCCCATGGAACCCTTCTCCACCTCGGCCTTCTACATGAGTGAATCACACTTAAAGTCAACTAAACTGAATAACCCAACATGTTGTATCCTATGACCCGTTAAATATCTCGTGACGAAATCGTCATTCAGAATACCAATTTCTTTGACTGTGGTAAACCAACGATGTGTCAACTAACGCTAGCAGCCTTGAGTCAACTCTGGTCCTCCATGTGTTAACTTCTTGCCTAGCCTAGTCTAGCTCAGTCTATTCAGTCCATAACACAAATATCAGTTTCCGCTATATGATACTCATATTTCAGACATACGTGGTTTATATACAACCAAACTTGACCGCATAATGTCATAAAATGAAAAATAATAATTATACAAAATCATGACAAAAGTAACTGTGAGTAAAGAGAGACTGTAACTAATGGATAGAGAATAAATTAGGAATAGTCAATCATTTAATAGTAGTGAATGGATCAAACGAGATCCATATAGATATTTCAATAGATTATTTAATTGTAATTATATGTAATTTCAATGATTAAGATCATGAGTCAGTTGAAGCTAGATCACCATGGAAAACCTGGAAACACTGGACGGCCGTTTCGTCCTATTGTGGGACCCCTCAACTACTGAAATTACTATAGTATCCACAAAAACCCCCTCTGATATTAATCAACATATACTCACTAGTGACTGGCTTCAAGAGGTAGATCCTGGAGTTCTAGTGAGAAGCACTGACCAGTGTAGTTCAACCAGGTCTGTTGTGAGATAATAACTCACTGAAGACAATTGTAAATGTGTCGCTCAATTTCGTGGATTAGTGGAAGTTAGACATTAACACCGTTGGATGCCTGCTTAGTGGTCTAGTAGTTAAGTGCTCGCGCGCGAAACCAGTAGGTCCTGGGTTCGAATCTCTCGAGGCGAGGTCGTGGATGCGCACTGCTGAGGAGTCCCACAATAGGATGAAATGGCCGTCCAGTGTTTCCAGGTTTTCCATGGTGGTCTAGCTTCAACTGACTCATGATCTTAATCATTGAAATTACTATAATATCCACAAAACCCATCTGATGTAATTATATGTCTTTATACTGTTTTTTTTCTTCTTCGTACTTTGCTTCGCTTTTTTATTGTATAGAAGATGGACTTGTTTGTATACATGTACTACGTATTCTACCCTTTGATTCAAAAAGAAAACGTATGTCTATTATATTTCGTCATCCATATACAAATGAACCAATTCTATTTACAAAAGGTGCAGATTCATCAATTATGAATCGTTTAGATAATACAGGTAAATTAATATGAATAATTCTATTAATATCAGTGTTATAGAGAATTTAATGAGTTTCTCTTTTTTAACATAAGTTGTTGATATTATCAAAACAAAGATTAAAGGAATGGTATATTCCAGAACCAGTTTATAGTTATATAATATACTCTTGTGGTCCAGAGTAATTTTACATTGGTTTTCAGGAGAACCAGACACCATCCAGACTTTCATGTGACAATCCAAACACCTACAGCTCAATCCCGTTTAACAAGAGAGCCAGGCACCGCTCAGGCTTAAATTTTATAACTCGAGCAGTACAGCTCAATCCCGCTTCACAAGAGAACCAGACATCGTATAGGCTTTAACGCTACAATCTGAATAGTACAGCTCAATCCTGTGGCGCAACCACACAGGTACCATGCACCCTGGTGGATCATTCGCACCATTCATATACACATTCACGTCATATGTGTAGTTATTCCGATCAATAATCGCGTGAATCAATTATGCACAGCATGAACAGGCCAAAGTTGACTTATTTCGCTTGCCCGACAGTCAAACTCATTAATGTTAGCAATGGCGACAAGCATTACAATGTCCCAATGACAATGGCTATTGAGAACACTGAAGAGCAACCAGTAATATGAATGAAATCGGTTAACCAGCAAGCCAATTTTGTGCATGAATAGTCAGTAAAACTTGTCAAAGCAATACTGAACCATCCACAATAACAATGGCGAATCTCCAGCCTCATATGAGACCTTCAGCTCTACATAGTCATATAGCTTATACTGTATACAACACATATGTAAGGTAGTAGACGAAATAGCCCAGCCTGAAGCGTTAGGGTTTAAATAACGCTTAAAACCCGCTGTCTGATGCCGGAGTACTATAATTAGACCACTAAGATCATTTTTTTCGCATTTGAGAAAATTTCATTTTTCCGACTTTTCAGACCCTGAGTTAGGGGTAGTATCCCTGTAACCAATTTATAGATCATCGTTATTATTGTAGAATTATTCTCTTTATTATAAGCTTTTGATTGGCCTGTAAACTACTATCATAAAACTTACTATTCTTAATTCTTTTTGATCATGAACCGATTGATTATGGACCACCATCGAAAACCTAAAAGCACTGAACGGCCGTTTCGTCCTCCTCAGCAGTGCGAATCTACGATCACACAGGCTGGACTCGATTGGTTGAAGTTAGATATTAACATCGTTGGATGCCTGCTCAGTGGGCTAGAGGTTAAGCATTCGCGCGCAAGACTGAAGGCTCTGGGTTCGAATCCCTCTGGCAGGATCATAGATACGCACTACTGAGGAGTCTCACATCAGGAAGAAATGGCTGCACAGTGTTTCCAGGTTCTCAATGGTTATGTAGCATCAATCGGTCCATGATCTCAATCAAAAACTTAATAATCTCCACAACCCTATTCTGATATTCTTGATTCGTTGTCAGTCTTATTTACAATATCGCCTATTCACAGGCACTTTTGGTTCGTTTATGCATAATTTTTATTTTTCATTTTATGGTGTAGTGCGGTTTGGTATTCCTATGTATAAACTACGGCTGTTTAAAATGTAAATATAGTAGTATTTATTATTATTTCCTTGTGAAAGCTTGGACCGGATTGCCAGGCGAAACGTTGGATTGACTTCAAATTCTTTCGCTGAGATTTTGGAAATACATTCTTCCTCTTTAATAGTAGTAATTAGTTGCTGACTTTTGAACTGAAGATAGGATAATAAAAAGAGGGTTGCGAATAACGGACTAGTGGGAAGTTAACTGTCGGTTTGAGGTCATTAGTGCTGGTGGTGCGTGTAGTCGGCTAAGTTAGAGACACTAAACTTTAGAATAAATAGCAGGTGCGAAATAGACCGAATTGTCATGTGATATTTGTCAATAGCCATAACAGGTATTGAACTCAGGATCCTATCGCTTCACATCTTGGACGTCACATGCATACCGCTGAGTTAACATCCAATGATTCAGACATCTAGTGTTAATCAGTTATGAATATGACACAATGATCATATAGTCCATCAGTGATGACTATCTTTGTTCCGATAAGCCTGAACTAATTTATAGATCGCCGCCCACATAGTATATGTTTTTGTATTTAAGTTGATTGATTATTGGTAGTTACGATTGTTTCGAAACAGTTATCACTTTTTGTGGACAGTGAGGACGAATATTGTTCACACAACACGCGCATAGTTTTCGTACAATATATTTCAAATAACTGGATAAAGTCACGTATGCATCTCCCTTATTTATATATAAATCAGATCACAAGTCAGACATGATTGTGATTTGAAACTGGTCAGTTGTAGAGGTTATTATAGGGGTCAAATCAAAGCGAAACTTTTAAAATCAAAATTGTATTACGAGCAAAGATTTACTGTGATATTAAACCACTTAATATGACTAATACACTTACTAATCTGACTGTGAAACGTAGTCTTTGAAATTAGAGGATATTCGTAGGTTACAAGCATTTGTCTTCGAAGCATTACTCTCGTACGTTGGGACTAGTGAACACGTAATAATACTAGGCGAAGACAACAAATCAATTAATAAGATTGTGAATCATCATCTATCGAGGTGTTCGGGGCTCTTTACTACATAGATGAAGCGCTCTAAAGGTCAAGTTAACAATACAACAGTTATAAATACATCTCAGTCGTACAGAAGGACAATCGTGCCCTGGATAGCTCAGTGGTAACGTCTGTGATTTTGAAGCTGAGTAACATGAAATCGAATCTATCAGGGGACATCATTTCATGCAGTTGGTTCCCTTTATGAATTTAAATAAAGCAAGAACATCATTTCGTTTAATATTACAAGGATGTCTTGCTGATGAGTGCCAAATAACACGAAACCTGGGTTCGGCGTTACTTGTTAACTACATCCAACTCCTACCTTGTTTTCATTGTATTCTGAGCCCAGTTTTATTACTTTATACTAGCTTCTTGTACTTCCTTTTTAAGTTCTGTCGCTGAATCCCTACAACAGACTGCTCAATTTTCAGCCCATTCGAACTCTGTTCCATTTTTAGAAGGTTAATTATCTTCTATGTTCGGATGAGCGGCACCAATAAATTGGCTAAAGCCTCTATACTATCCCTCTATCACAATGCTCATTTTAGGGAAATCTTTCATAATAAAAATGTTAATGCTTCATAAAACAATTCGAAAAATTGAACCGCTGCGGCTTTGGCTTCTTGTTAACTTCCTGACATAAATCTCTTCAAAATAATTTTTTGATACTCTGATTTCTTCTTCACTCTCTATATCGAATGGTGACTCAGAATGTCAAGAGTAGTTATAAATTCTATGATTTGTACAAAATCTAACGCTGTCAACTAACGAATTTGTTAAGCAAAATGTTTATATACCATATAAGCTGTTGAAGGTTTGTTAATTGATCTTGTCTCTATCATAAACATCAGACCAAATTAGAACATGAAACTTTCTTTAATTGCATTTGAGTCTACTCATGAAATGCTAAATATTCATGATCAATCATAATAGTTGATGGACTCAAACTTATGTGCAGTTCATTCAGTTTGTTAAAGACTGGCACATACGAATTCGTACTTTTGTCGTTCACCGAAATGTAAATCGAAAAAAATAGTATTAAAATTTGTAACTTGATCAAAGGCGATGAGTTCTGGAGTGTTTCATATGTATACCAAACAATTCCAGCTTCTAATTTGTAGAAAAGATTCTCTTTTCTCACATTGGCCTTATATTCAGAACATAGATTTAAAGCCATTCAATGAACTTGGATTCAGTAAGAGTGCCTGACATTCATGGCATAAATGCCAAATTGTCGGCTTCATCGTAATCACAACTGTAAATTGAAGTGATAATGTATATAAAACAAAACAGACAGACGTGTTATTTCTGTTGATGAATGTTCAGTGTTTACCGTGAAATTTCAAGGTTTTAGGCTTGACCTCTACCGGAGTAGTAAATGGTCATTATTGAGGAGTTCAACATATGGATGAAACAACCATTCATTGCTTTTTGATTTTCAATGGTTATGTAAAGAAAAATCAATCATTCAATTGAAAATGTTTTGTGTAGCTTCTCAAGTTCTCATCATTAACTTAATTGACTTTTTGATTTCTTTTATAATCTATAAACTTTCTTGTACCTTAAAAGGAGGAAGAATGTATTTGTAAAACCTCAGCTGTTTCAAGGATAATTCCTTGAAAAAGCTTAGATCAGATTGCCAGTCGAAACATTGGATCTACTTCAAAATTCATTCGCTGAGATTTTACAAATACATTCTACCTCTTTAATGTCTCATACTAATTTGGTGCCAAAATACTGTGAAACTATTCAATCAAATTTAGACGAAAGTTCTTATTTCTTGTACCTTATTTCTATATATCTATATACATGTGTATAACTAATAGATTGAATCCTGTTTTTTTTTCAAGGATTAAATTCACGTGAATTAATAACTGCTACACAGGAACAAATCGATCATTATTCACGTTTGGGTTTAAGAACATTAGTTATAGCTGAACGAGTAAGCATCATTATAATGTTATATTGATTTGTTTGGTTAATGTCTTTTGTGATGATTTTGTTTTTAGTCTATACTGAAACCACTTGTTGAATCCACAAGCCTTCTACATATAAGTCTGATCCACAAGGCAATGGAGATGCAGTCTCATGGTAACCAGTGACCAACAATAGTTTCATACATCGTTTGTTCCCTCAGGATCCTGAAGCCCATGTGGATTATTGGTTTGGAATCAGTGTTTTCCAACTCCTCTAGATAGATCCTACGTGTCCACCAACCCAGTTAAAGCACCAAATATTCTCTTTTCGTCTTTCCGATTTCGTAAACAATACCTCTGCCTCAAGAACGTAGTGAATAGTACTTCCTTGTTAGTGGCTATATACACGTGGCCATGTGAGAGGCTTTTGAGAGGGAGAGCGGACCCTCTTCACCCTTGACCGTACCAAGGCCTTGGAGGCGAGCTTCGAGTTATAATAACACCATGTCATAGCGTAGATTTTGACCTACTACATAGATAATATAAATAAACGAAATTGAGCAGTTTAATTAAACAAGAAAAGTCATTTAAGCAACTAACTGATTGGATCAGAACAGTTTTTCCTAGGTATAGATCTCGATTTTAACTGAACTTTGCTAGTTACAATAAGCTAACTAATCACGGCTGCAAGATATACGTTCTGATTTATCAACCCATTGAATCGAAAGAATTCTAAATTCCAACTATAAGTTTCATCTTGATAATTCAACGTAGTCATGAAAACAAAGAAATGTAACTAATCAGGTCTATGTGAGCATTATGTAACTCATTCAGATGAAAATATATATATATATATATATGCAAATCAAATCCAAACATCTCTTTCTTAAAACTTCTAGACAAAGCCATCATTCACTCACATTACTTCTAAATTTATCTGCCTTCAGTTAATTGACAATATAGGTAGTTTTCAAGTATAAGTAGTATACACCACAATAGACCCAATGTAGTTATTCGAGGAAGTCGCACTTCTAACCATTAGTTTACCACCTAATATCTAGTTGGTTCCTATTGAAGTATACATTAAATTCGACGACAGTCTATGTAATACTCTCGAGGATATTTTATTATTATCGGACGTGAACATGTACCCTAACGATCATTTTATCGCATCAAAAGATCTATTGTTTGGATGCTTTTCAGAAAATCCTTTTCACTGTCAGGAAAAGTCAACGTTGTATATTACCATACGTATTAATAAAGTTGTGTTCACTTTGAACTTAGATTAATGGAAAAAAAACGAAAATAAGAGATGATTAAACACGTATATTATAATGTGTAGACTTTTAAAAGTATGCACCATTGATCACTTGTGGATATAAATACATACTCCTGGTAATACATCAAATATATCCCTGTTCAGCTCTTGAATAAAACTTTTTACCGACAAATAATTTTCTTCCTTATAACTTTTATTATCCACTACTCTTTGGTGACCTTTTTTTCAAGACGAGTGTTTTGCATCAACTACCTAATTGTGAACGAGAATAAATGGTAACCGTGACATTTCGACGGGTAGATTCCTAAATGCCTCAGTAGTACTATAACCTTAGAAAATCGGAAATATTTTAGGTTCAACAATGTATGGAGTAGTGAATGTATCCTCTCACAAAGTCAGGAATTAGTCAGAATAAACTGTCTTATTGATATAACGGATGGTTTTAAAATACCTTTTCCCTATCTCTGAGGTATACTACTTAATTTTTCTGGTTAGCGTTTCTTTAGCGAATTAGTTTTCTACGGGATGGGGTCTCTAACCCCATGTCCAACCCTCCTCCTTTATCCGGGCCTGGAACCGGCAGTAGCCCCTGAAGGGACTTTAGGCGGAGTTCTGAGGTATACTACGATACTACGTTAATACAATAATGAGACCAGATCATGTTATATCAAATCCAGGATTCACGACTCAGAATAGGGAGCCAAATTAACACTAAATAATACTTTATTCGACACAGTTACACTTAATCACACTCAGTGAGTCCGGAGTTGAAATCAATAAATGGAAAGGAAATTATTTATTGAATTGTCCATAGGCCTAAGTACGTGTTTGTCCACTTACAGTGACCAGTCATATTTCACTTTCACTACTACATATCACTTATACTAATAAGTGTTCTGCAATCTGATGAATGGTATATCTTGAATGTTCCAACTACTATAAAATACTTTTTGTTAATTTTCTCCTAACCTATTGTTTTATAACAATCTCTCGATTCATGAATTTGCTCAGTCAGGACATTTATTCCACCGAAATATTAACAAATATTTTTTTAATAGTTGAATTCATGAGTCGACCTAAGCTAGACCACCACTGAAAACCTGGAAGCATTTGACGGCTTGTTATGACGGGTGTGACTGCAGGTTTTGATAAGCAGCGTTTATTGATCGATTCGGTGACAGTGTAAACACGAACGAACGGCCTACAGTTCTGATTGGTCCTGCTCCCCTGTCTAGCCCAGTCAGTTGAGTCCAGAACACAAGCCACAGCCTCGGAGATATGAATCATTATATTTCAAACATACTTTGTTTATATACCAATCAAGCATACCACATCGTACCATAAAATAGAAAACAACATTTTGTACAATATTCAGCGAGTGAGCAGATACCGACCAATAGGAAATGTCCATTTAAAGTCCAAGGACACCATTGGACTTAACATGATAATTATTGGTCTATTCCTCCGCATCCACAACACGGCTGTTTCGTCCTAGTATTAAATTCATCAGCAGTGGGCATTCACGATACCACAGACGCGAATTGAACCCAGGACTTTTGGTCTCACGCGCGAACGGTTAAGCTCTATATCACTGAGCCAGCATCCAATCATGTTAATGCTTAACCTCAATCGATTTATGATCTTGCCCAACCTTTCATTCATTGCTTGCGGTGGATAACTATCCCATATCCAAAATGGTTGAACTCTCACGTTAGCGCACGAGATCTAAGGTCCTGGATTTGAGTCCGTTTTGATGCGTGGCCGCGGATGCGCACTGCTAAGGAGTCCCATACTAGGATGAAATGGGCATCAAGTGCTTCCAGATTTTCAATGGTGGTCTAGGTTTGATCGAATCATGAATTCAACTATTAAGCATTACTACAATCTCCACAATCCTCCATTCTGGAATTTTTTTAATAAAAAGATTTTATATTGTAATCACCTTATCTCATATTTCAAGTAGCAAAACAACATACAATACTGATTTGTTTTGAACAGTTTTGCGAATTGATTATTCAGACAAATTTAACAAACTATACCGTTTACAAAAGTGCTCAAATTCAGATTGACAAACCCCACTATAGCTCGTGAAAAGATAATCCATAAGTATCAAAAGAAATTATATCATACAAGAAAATCTTTAGTCCGAATTGAAAAGAAAGGAAGTAGCCAGACTTTTAGAATTCCTGTGATGAAATATGATTGTGTATTTGCACCAGTTTTATGGGTTCTTAATTGATTTCTCACTTACTTACGCTTCTAACTTCTAATGGAGCATAGGCAGCCGACCAGCATTCTCCAACCCACTAAGTCTTGTATCTTCCTTCCTAGTTCTATCCAATTTTTGTTCATTTTTCTCATGTCTATCTCCATTTCTCGGTGTAATGTGTTCTTTGGTCTTCCTCTTTTCCTTTGGCCTTGAGGATTCCATGTGAGGGCTTGCCATTAGACGCAGTTGAATGCATGCCTCAATGTGTGTCCTATCCACTTCCAGCGTTTCCTCCTGATTTCCTCCTTCGTCGGAATCTGGTTTGTTCTCTTTCACAGTAGGTTCTTGCTAATAGTGTAGTGTGTTGCTAACGGATCCGCAGTATTTTACATAGACAACTGTTAATAAACACCTGTATCTTGTGGATGGTGGCTTTCGTAGTTGTGCAAGTTTCCACCCCATACAGTAGAACTATCTTGACTATTGTATTGAAAATTCTGACTTTAGTATTGGTTGACAAACAGCTGTTTTGAGTTACAGATGTTCTTTAATTGTAGATTTCTACTAAGGTCATTAACCAATTATATTCTATTATCCTGAAGTTGTGCAGTATCTATATCAGTTTTTATTTGTTTACAGGTTTTCGGCTTATAGGATTATTTCCGCACAGTTCATTATAAATATATATCAGTTTTTTACCAGTCTTTTCTTTGCAACAGTTATTGACAGAAGATGAACTTCATGAATGGTTAAAAGAAGTCTATGAAATAGAAACTGGAAATGAAAATTCAACAGAAGCCATGATGATAATGATGGACAAATTAGAGCGTAATTTTATTCTTTTAGGTAAGAAAACAAAATTTATTTATAAACCTAACTTTTGTGTGACCATTGTAATTAGTACAAATTTCAATTTTCTAAAAATGAGGATTAGTACACTCTAAACTTTGCTGGAATTATCTCAACAATCAGGAACTGTACGTAATTTCTTAGAGTATCGGTATAAGATATGCCAGCTGTAGTCTTTGACTTATCAACTTTTATGATTACTTACTTACTTACGCTTGTTACTCCTCGTAAGGGAGCATAGGCCACTCACCAGCATTATCCATCCAACCCTGTCCTGGGCAATCCTTTCCAGGTCTTTCCAGTTGTTTTTCATCCTTTTCATATCTGATTCCATTTTCCGACGTAATGTGTTCTTTTTCCTTCCTCTTTTCTGCTTCCTATTAGGATTCCAAGTTAGGGCTTACCTTGTGATGCAGTTTGATTATTTCCTTAATGTATATCCTATCCACTTCCAGTGTCTTTTCTTAATTTCCTCTTTAGCTGGAAGTTGGTTCGTTCTCTCACATAGTAGGCTGTTACTGATGGTATCCGGCCGATGTATGTTGAGTATCTTGTGAAGACAACTATTTATAAATACATTTACCTTCTTGATGATGGTTGTAGTAGTTCTGAAAGTCCCGGTTCTGTATAGTAGAACTGCCTTGACGTTGGTATTGAAGATTCTAACTTTGATATTGGTTGAAAGTTGTTTTGTGTTCTATATGTTCTTCAGTTGTAAGAATGTGACCCTCGCCTGTCCAATCCTCGCATTTAAGTCTGCATCAACTTTTATAAACAATAAGAATTTGATTATGACATCAGCTTTAACAGATAGATACATTTTTCATCAGCGATGATCATATTTTATGCGTGGCCTACAATTAAAACAGGATATTTTTCGCTTCTAATAATTTAATTGGTGGGTGGTATTTTTCATAAACTAACTTCAGTTTAAGTGTGGTCAAGTGTTTACCGATAGTTTTAAACGTTCTGGTTTCGATCCTTAGAGAGGTCGTATGTGTACAATGCAGATATGTTTCAAACCATGATGAAATAGCTACTGAGTGTTCTCTAGTTTTCAGTGAGATCTTAACTGAATTCAATTTGTAATGAATTCCACTGACAAATTAAACCAATCTTCACATAACACTTTATTAGTACTTATCTTTTAATCTTGAAGTTTCTTGTTATACTTTCTCAATACTGTTTGGAGAACTCATTTCTAATGAACAGTTCATAACTAGATCATATTTAGATCACCAGTTGGAAGATTTGAATTTTCATTAATATTACAAATGAGTAGCATTTTTTCTGGTTAGCGTTTTTTAGGGAGTTAGTTTTCTACGGGATGGGGTCGCTAACACCATGCCCAACCCTCCTCTTTTATCCGGGCTTGTAACTGGCAGTGGCCTCAGAGGGGCTTTAGATTAGCATTAAATTCTGAAAAATCAGTTTCACCCTATTTGAAACTGAAAGATTAACCTAGTATTCACATTTAAAATTTGATAGAGTCAATCACTATAACTCTCATTTCGAACCTTGTTGGGAACATGAACGCTATAATCCATAAATATTCAATCGAGAAGTTTGAATAATTATTATGTAAAATGTTATTTATGGCTTAAAATCATCTAAATCAATCTGTTGAGTTTCACTTGCTAAACATTTAATCATCGTTTCAAAGTTCAGATAAAATCTCATTAATAACAAAAATTTTCAAAGATTATTTGTTAAACTTTTATCAGTGTCCGAATTATTTAGACACTAACACCGTTGGATGCCGGCTCAGTGGTCTAGAAGTTAAGCGTTCGCGTGCGAGATCCGAGGTGCTGGATTCGAGTCCTGAGTACGGGATCGTGGATGCGAATTGCTGAGGAGTCCCATATTAGGACGAAACCGTTGACTCGAAGTTACCCCTGTTGGCTTCCAATGGACAGATTTATCAAAAACAAATGACCCGACTGTTCGTCGCGTCTGCAAGCTGCTAAAAGCCATCCGAAATGTAAACCACAACCTTTTGGACCCTGGGAGAGACTTCACTCAGATTTCGCTGATCCAGTCCCAGGTGTTGTTTACAAAATCGAAAAGACGAAAAGCGAATATTTGGTGCTTTAACTGAGTTGGTGGACATGGAGGATCCATCTAGGGGAGTTGGAAAACACTGATTCCAAAACAATAATCCACATGGGCTTCAGGATCCTGAGGGGACAAATGATGTATGAAACTATTGTTGGTCACTGGCTACCATGTGACTGCATCTCCTTACGTTGCTCCACTGTTTTGTGGACTGGACCTTTAAATCAGAGGCTCCGAGTGTGACCTCCTTAGAAAACTACCTATTTCGGTTTGGGCACCCGGACAGTATCACAGCTCAACCACACATCAAGTGACTTGTGTGGCGCATACTTATTCGGTGCCTCTGTGTGCCAATATTTATGCGTTTAAATAAATAAATAAATAAATAATGTTGCTAGTTATTGTGGATGCATCTAGGCAATGGCCAGACGTATATAGTATGCCTATCTGTACAGCCCCAGAAACAACCATCAAGTTGTCTACTTTGTTTAGTTGTTTCGGAATTCCAGAGACCTTAGTGACAGACAATGGTTCACAATTCATTTCGAACTCATCCAAGCACTTCTGTGGTATTGATGGAACGACACATCTACGCTCTCCATCCTACTATCCCTAATCGAGTGGACGGGCAGAACGCTTTGTCGAGATCTGAAAGTTTTCATTACTTTTAATTTTAGCGTCTCGTATAAGTCCATTAATCCTATGCCGTTTGCTGATGTTTCTGTTTCAAGTTTTATGTCTTTTCCTTTGACGTTGCAATGGTTATTGTGTAAATCCTGACTTAGTCTGCAGTTAAACTCGTTTAGTATTATTATAAAGTGTCTATTTACTCTTACTTTTTTTAATCGCTTGTTGAAGTTTTTGGTAGAACTGTTTCTTTCTGATATCTTCATTAGAAGACTCAGTTGGTGCATAACATCCTATGAGACTGATGGTTCGATTTAAGTTCTTACAGTGTATTTTAATGGTAGCTATTCTACCACAATATTCATACCGAATAATCTTATGTAGTCTCCAGCCATAGTTGCTCTGACTGGCAACACGTCGTACCTGCACAAGATAACAATCGGAGACCACTACGACCATCTGCTATTGTGTTTGAATGATTAGACAGCTCAGCTGGCGACAACCAGTGGATTCGCAGAAGACAGTCTACTGTCTCGTAACTGGGAGACTCCGGAAGAATGGTTTTCTGTGCCTGAGTTCATTCAGCTTTTAGGGTCAAAACTTCACACTCGATTTTACCTCCTCACTTTGTATAACTATGGAAAGCGGGTAATATAAGTGAATCAGATGGAAGACCATAATAACTGATTTGGTGGTTTTTCACCCTAAACGCTGTAGTATTATTCAACCATCCATTCCGAATTTATATAACATTATATCCTTATTTTGAATTACAATCTCCTAGGTGCTACAGGTATAGAAGATCGTTTACAAAATGGTGTACCAGAAACTATTGACGCCTTACGTGAAGCTGGTATGCATGTATGGATGTTAACAGGTGATAAACAAGAGACTGCAGTGAATATTGCTCGTTCGGCTAATCTGATTACACCACAACATAGAGTAATGTATATTAATTCACGTTCAGAGGTATGAGTTTATTAACAACATGATTGTTTACATTACATGGTTTTCATATTAGTGTTTAGACACAAATTAAACAACACAAATTGGTTGAAATTAGACATTAACACGGTTGGATACAGGCTCAGTGCTCTGAAGGTTAAGCGTTCGCTTGCGCACTGCTGAGGAGTCCCGTAATAGGACGAGACAACCGTCCTGTGCTTTCAGGTTTTCGATGGTGGTCTAGCTTCAATTGACTCATGATCTCAAACATTGTAATAAAAATCTATCTGAACTTTCATTTCATCTACATAATCCTAGAGTTAAATGTTATCCTAGTAAACTTCTAATCATAATAATATTTATACTATTGAATTATATATATGAAATATGGAAATCCTTCCAATTCTCTATCCATACAACATCAATTAAACAAAATAACGACACATTTTCAACTTAGAAGAGCTGTATGTAAAATGCTTAGTTGTTGATATTATTTGACAACAGGACGAACATTTCTAACACTGACTCATCGTGAATAATGAACGAAGATAATTAGTTTCTTTCCATGTACTATTAGCTACTCCTAAGTTGAATAGACCACATTTTGCAGAATCATCATTTAACTGATGACATAAGGAGACCTTTAACATCGGTTAAGAACAAGGAGTACTCATGGTATACAGATTTAGATCACTAAATTATCATAAATCTCCAGTAGATCTCACGAACATCATGTTAAGTTGTATCTATAGACACAATACTTCATTTTCATTCTAATCGCTTGATACCGTGCCAAACATACACACACGAAAATTCATGTTTGTTGATCTACTTTAACATAGTGATAATATTCAGAAAACTAAAGTGAAATGTAAAATGGTGGTTAAAGATAGTTGACAAGAAATACTACTTGACCTAGTTTTCGTGTTATTTGCCACTCATCGGCAATGTATACCTGCAATATTGAGGGCGGGTTTCTAACGATTTTCTCTAACCACCATCACTACCTTACATCTCAATGTAATTCACGTAGTTTCAGATCGCAACTAGATCAGTAAGATTTTATAAGCGCTGAGAAGGATTTCACATCCATCACATTGGTCAATACTCAGTGATCAAAAAGTTATAGAATGGAGTGTAAAAAAGAGAATTCCCCCTCAACTAATCATATTAATAATGAAGGAAAGTGGTAATTTGTTTGCCGGTTTGGGTTTGTTATATCTAGAGCTTATAATCTTGATATTCCGCGTATAACTTTAGCACTCGAACTCTAGAACCCTCTCAAGTCGCAAATGAGGAGACAGAAGACAAATGAAAGGAATGTTTTTCCAACCAGTGTCACTTATGGTACAAAACTGTCAAGTATTTATAGTTTTTAGTAAAAACGAAATCATCATTATAGTTATCCAATCCGCATACAGGGGGTTATTAGCATTGTCCAATAGGGAAGCTACATGTAGTGATTTTGGAATATTCTTCCAAAAGATGATTGGATAGAACATCATCGGCTCTTTCTGAGGTTCTTAGAGCTTCCTCGGGTTTACCCGTGGACCGCCCTCACACGATTATATGATTATAAGACGAAGATGATCAGAATTATGCAATATATATCAGAGCAATATATTTAGAATAATCTGATCACATATATACTTGTATATATTATGAAAAAAAAAAGATCAACTAGACGAATGAAAGGTTAAGGAAATTTCGATGGAGTTTTGTTCTCTGAGCTGGATGGTTTGGTCGTGTATTTTCAGATCCTGTAGTGTTCATCCGTTATCATTAGATGTACCATTTTTCTTCCAATTTGCTCAACTATCCTTCATCCTAATGGGTAGTTGATTGGAGGTCTATATCTTACACATATTGGTAGAGCATGCTGGTGAAGACACTCGTGGAGAAAATCCAGTTGTTCTTGAGTGGAAGCCTGACTTTTGGCGAAATTCTTCCATTTTCGATTAACGAGAAACGTATTACGCTCATATGATTTTTTGATGTTGGAAAAGATTTCTAGCTCAGGTGGATGATTTTGACAGAGTTTTGTTCTTTGAGCTGGATGGTTCGGTCAAGGAAATAAAGATATTAAGGAAAATAATATGATAAAACAATGGAAAACACACCATGCTCTATAATAAATCAATATTAACAAGGTTGAACAAACTTTTTGAATACACAAATAGGGTTTGAATTTTCGTACGACATATAAACCCTAGACAATTTTTTTTGTCGAAAAACTACCAATTCTGAATTAAGATCAATTTTATCATCTACTTTACTTATGTGTTTCGCAATAGACGAAAATGGATGTTTATCATCTACTCTTATTGAATCACTTGCTCTTATTTGGTTCTTTAACAATTTTGGAACATGTTCAAAGATCCCTTTCTTGTAAATCTCGAATACTATTCCCTAATTATGTTAAGACACAGACATGTAAATGTGATGCAATTAATTACATGTAATTTAGGTGTTTGGTAAAGCATAGACCTTGTTTATTCAATGATAATGATGTTTACTGCTTAGTACATTTTACCAATAACTGATTTGAGCTTTTGTTTCAACACAAGGCTATTTGACTTACATCTTAATGTTAGGGTGATGTAGGTAGGTTACATCGGTGCTAAAAGTATAGGTCTCACCTTATGTGACCTATCAATCGATTTATGAATGTTAGGGTATAATCACTCTGCATTAAAGTTTTGTTTAATAGTCACATTCTTAATAATGTCATATTGTTAATCCTACTCAGTAAGCACTTTATCAAGCCTTTCTTGTACTGAACTGTACAACAACTATAAAAACTAAGATACTGATCTGTCCAAGTTGACTTTCTAAAAACGTGTTATTTTTGTTTGAACCATCTTCTTTTCAACTTTTAAGTGCATCTAGGATAGGAATCTGGTTATTCTTCTATTCACATGATAGACTGATTTAGTTTTGCTGTGTTAAATTTATTCAACAAACAATTTGCATCTTCCGTCTTATTTTAGATAACTAAATTATCATCCTTATAACTCTTATAAAGGCATATTATTTTACAATAGAACTGACCATAACAACCCCATCAATCTATTGAACATCTTTGCTTTCAAATGTGATTCCTAATTTGTCGGTGCATTTATAAATATTCTTAATAAGTATATATGTGATTAGATTTAGATGGTGGTTGGAGGTAGTCAACAGGAAACCCTGGACCCGGGTTTCGTGCTACTTGGCACTCGTCAGCAAGGTGTACCTGTAATCTTGAGGGAACTGATGCCCCCTGACAGATTTGATCTCGTGTCACCCAGCTTCACAGTCAGAGACGTTACCACTGAGCTATCCGAGCCGTGACTAACCTCCTGTAGGACTGAGATGTAATCACAATTGAATGATCACTGGGTGGTGATCAATGTCATGCTTGTCTAGTCCTTATTAGTGCAGATCGAATGCTATCTATCATGTTGCAATGTGGCCAACAGTCTAGGTGACTCGACACTGCTCGGACACGGCTCGGACAGCTCAGTGGTAACGTCTCTGACTGTGAAGCTGAGTGACACGAGATCGAATCCGCCAGGGAGCATCAGTTCCCTCAAGATTACAGGTACACCTTGCTGACGAGTGCCAAGTAGCACGAAACCCGGGTCCAGGGTTTCCTGTTGACTACCTCCAACCACCATCTAAATCTCAATACATAGTGCCCGCAGTGTCGAGTCACCTAGACTGTTGGCCACATTGCAACATGATCGATAGCATTCGATCTGCACTAATAAGGACTAGACAAGCATGACATTGATCACCACCCAGTGATCAATCAATTGTGATGTGATTAGATTGTTTGAAACGTATTGTGCTAATATGTTACATAGTTCTGATAATCTTTGTCTTCTTATTATACTACCCAGATTTATCAAAGAGACTAACTGTTTTGGTATGTGTTTACATTATTCTGTTATCGTTGTTAAGGCTAGTATATATTGTCATTTGTGCGTCCTGTGAGGATTGCCTTGATATTGTTCTTTGTCATAAAGTTGGATTTTTACAAGTAACGTAATCCTAAGCTTGCCTTTCTTTTGAAATACTGAGCAAAACGATCGTAAATCTCATCATCCAGCTACGTTTAAAACGACCCTGGAGCATTGATTGAAGTTGAAACAGTGTACTATTAGATCCCAACCCACTGATTTGATAACTAATAAATCCCCACAGGACCTGAGGATTGTACTTTCGGCCTCCGAAAAGGTCCGGGTTGCGCATCCCTGAGTAATCTCATACTTGGAAGAAACACCTGTTCAATGGCTCATAACTTTCAGCGGTACGCTAATTGAGATTATTAAACCATAAATAGCAGTTACAATTTATAAGAATTTTCACAAAATCACTTCACTGAAAATACTTATTATATTTATTCGGACACAGAAATATTGGTACAACGAGGCACCAAATATATATGCACCACACAAATCATTCGATTTGTATGACGGCTGGAATACTGCCTAGGTACCCAAACCACAGCAGCTGGTTTTCCCAGCCTTTGACCTAGAGGTGTAATCTGCAAGCTGGAGAAATGACGTTAGGAGTTGCAGTCTTATGGTAGCCGGTGACTAATAATAGGTTCACATGCCATTTTCCCTCCATGATCCTGGAGCCCATGCCCACCATTTGTTTTGCAATAAGCGTTTTCCAACTCCCCTAGATGGATCCTCCATGTCCACCAACCCAGTTAAAGCACCAGATATTCACTTTTCGTCTTTTCGATTTCGTAAACAACACCCCAGTACCACCAGAAGTTAAGTGAGTAAGACTTCCGTGATAGTGGTTTTATACGCATGACTATGTGAGAGCATTTGAAAAGGGAAAGCGGAATCTCCCCAACCTCGACCGTATCAGGGCATTTGGGGAGTTTGTTTCCCATTTCCAAAATTTTGATGTTTAAATAATATCACCTTTGTCATAATGACTAATTTAATATTAATCAAGGTTTACAAACTATACATTTGTTCATATATCATTAGACATTAACACCGTTGGATACCGACTCAGTGGTCTAGTAGGTTAAACGTTCGCGCACGAGACTGAAGGCCCTTGGTTTGAATCCCGCTAGCGGGATCATAAATGTGCACTACTGAAGTGTCCGACAATAGGACGAAACATCCATCCAGTGTTTCCAGGTTTTCAATGATGATCTGTTCATGATCTCAATATAAAAAAAATCATATCTTATTCGTTTAATTCATCATTTTAACTAGTCAATTTATTTCACATAATTATATTTCGATAATGATATTAGAAGACGAAGATTATCAGAACTATGTGATATATTAGCGCAATACATTTCGAACAATCTGGTCACACATATACTTGTTAAGAGCATTTATATATAAAAATAAAAGGTCAACTAGACAGGATGTGTTCATGGCACATGTTGAAAATCAGACTGATGAATTAATCGGAAACATGCCACTTTATAAGAGATATGTGGACGATATCTTAGTTGTTTGTGAGAAAAAAGAGGATATGTACGGTTTATTAAATAAACTCAACACTCTCCAAAACCATATTAGTCTCTCATGTGAAGAGGAGAAAAACGATCAGCTTCCCTTCCTAGATATACTCCTGAGTAGACGAGAAGATGGTTCAGTAAAGCGATCTATTTTTAGAAAACCAACGTGGACAGGTCAATATCTTAGTTATTATAGCTATTGCCCTGTGCAATACAAACGTGGTTTGATCAGGTGTCTTTTCAACAGACTCGACCGTATTTGTACCAATGATGCCATTGATGATGATGTTAAGTTGTTAAATAAAACGTTAATAGAAAATGGCTATCCTCTGAAATTCATAAATAGATGGAAAGACCATGGTTCAGCGAGACCTACTATAGCCTCGGTAGAGAAAAAGCCTGTCTACATCACCTTACCATTCAGAGGTGATTCAAATAGCCTTTTACTGAAACAACGACTTAAATCAGTCATCAATAAAACCTATTGCGCAGCAAAGGTCATCATCAAAGAAAGAACAAGGTGCATGCTTCATTCAAAACCTAAAGTACATGGAAACGATTGCGTCACATCCCACTGTGTTTACCAATTTAAATGTGTGTGTGGTCACACATACATAGGGAGGAGCAATCGTGATCTCAACATTAGGGTGAGTGAACATGTACCCAAATGGCTTCAGAAACAAATACAATCAAGTGACCCGATAAGAGCAGAGGATAAACATCCGTCATCCTCTATTGCTAAACATATAATTGAAACAGGTCACAAGATTGATCTAAATTCAGCTTTTGTAGTGCTGTATAAAAGTGTAAAAGGGCGTATACTAAGGTTTATTGAAGCCTTAGCCATACGAAAATTCAAACCCCCTTTGTGTGTTCAAAAACAGTTTGTTCTTACCTTAAACCTACCCTGGTAATATTGACTTATTATCCAGAGTGATTAGGTTTCAAATTGTGTTCACATTATTATTATTATTACTCTTATCATTATCCTTATCTCCTCTTACCCCGTTTCCTGTCTAGTTGACCTTTTATTTTTATATATAAATGCTCTTAACAAGTATGTAATGTGTGACCAGATTGTTCGAAATGTATTGCGCTAATATATCACATAGTTCTGATAATCTTCGTCTTCTAATATCATTATCGAAATTTATCAAAGGGACTAATTGTTTTAAACATAATTATATATTATCTCTTTCTTATTATATTTTAGGCTCGTATAGAATATCTTTTAAATTCATATTTATACAATATTATTAGTGGACATATATGGGATTGTTCTAATGAATTAGATGATAAACTTGAAAAATTTACTAATCCACGTTATTCTAATGCTGAACATCATCAACAACAACAACACAATAACAAAAATCATCAAACTAATCATAAATCTAAAAGAAAATCTAATTTGCATCGATCATTTTCACATTCACCACATCGTAGTCGTACTATACATCGTGTACGTATTATACCTACACAAAAACCATCTTCATTACCACGTGATATTACTTATTTTCATGAATATAATAATAATACTACTACTACTAATAATAATAAAACAAAACAAAAAAATTTTTTTAATTTTTCAAAATTTCTTAAATATTATCGTTTGTTGACAAGACAACAACATCATTCTAAACGTAAAGTAACTAATTATAAAAGGCATAGCAACAATAATCATAATATGGATAATTATATTCCATTAGCTTTAGTAATTGATGGTGAAAGTTTAAATTATGTATTAAATAATGAAAGAAATAAATTACAATTTATTAAATTATGTGATATGTGTACAAATATTATATGTTGTCGATCAACTCCTGGACAAAAAGTAATTTCATGGATTTTTTTTTTGATGTTTGTTTTTATTTGTATTTTTCCATTGTTATTTAAGATTGTAATGAATCAGTTTCTTGGTGGAATACAGTGGTCTTGAGTGTTGTTAGAGGTATGAGGACGGCGGTTATCACTTCCCGATTGCTCACACTGTGGAAGGTTTCTTATAGAGGTACCTGAAATGGAAATTGGATTAGAGGTGGTCTTAATGACCTAAGAGCGTGACCGAAGTGCAAAAGGAACAACTGCTTGAGGTCGGTCACACACGACCTTTCCATGAGTAATTTTTGTGTTATCCGTGGGATAAGGCGAAGTGTGCATTTTTAGGATCGACCTTTTCTAAACCCACCGCTCCTTGTGGGAAGGCAGCATCGCTGCCATGCTAATTATCTGAAAGAAATACCTTACTGCTGTCACACCTTTGTACAGTGAGCAGTACGACTTCTCCTTCAGACCTTTGGTTTGCTGCTTTTAGTCTTACCGTTCTTCAACCGACCCGTCTGACATGATAGGACCTTGAGGAAAGATTGTTGCAGCCAGTATAGCTTGATTGGTTCATGACGATAGGCAAGCCCGACCACCGCGTCAAGGTAGCAACAACGGCTCAGAATCGATTGCAATGGCGTAAGTGTATACACTCACTGTCTTCCCTTAAACTAAGACATTGAAATCACTTCATATCTTTCTTTCTACGAACTAATTCTTTCTTCTTGTACTATATCCTTATATCCAATCTTTCTTTTATACATTACCACCATTACTGAATTAACTACTTTTATGAATCCGGTGTTCATCTTGTTGTGTTAATGAGGTATGGCAACTTTGACCGATGCATATATGTGCCTGGTCCTACGTTGTAGCTGACTGACTCTCTTGTTGGTACATGTGCATTCTGTGTGGATTGTCTCGGTTTAGCCTTAAGTCACAAGCTTTTTTTTAAAGTAAATATAGATAGTGACTAGCAATGTAATCCAGGATGCAAGATAATTGGTCATATTTCGGGACTTGTCAGCTGGATGGATGTACCTGCATCTCAGAGTTGATGTTCTTTCTGGGACTCGAAACAAGTACTGTTCGTTTTTAAATACTATCACGTTATCCATTTAACTACTGAGTCCTGATTTTGTTTCTTTAATTGGTTTGAAAGTAATTATCACCATGAATTAAACTTTTTAAAGTAGTTAAAAAACTGTTTACCATGGTGTGTAAGTATAATATCAATAAACTTGCTCTTTATGAAGTGTGATCTTTCGAAAGTAAAAGATATCTGATCATATAATGCGATCACTGAATAAGTCATCCTATAGTCATACAGTAGATCAACGAATAGATAACGGCAATCGTCTATGATAATTATCCATAAACAACAGTTTATTCTTGTCAATTAACAACTTTTAGAGTAAGTGTTACATCCGCTTGGCTTAAAACGAGAAATCATTGTAATTCCTATGATGCGAAGTAAAAACACTAAGACTGATACAAGTAAAGATTCATTAATTCCGAAACATAACAACGACCATGATCGAAAATACATTTATTTATATATTGATTGTATACTCATTTTGATTATTAATTAGAACAAAATCATATTTATGAAAACTACTTAGAGTTATAACACTTGAACTGATGATGTGAAGTGTAGTGAAATAGTTGAGCTCGTCGACCATTCCAATTATCTCAGGAGTCTTATCAGCCCCATTGGGTTTTATGAAGAAATCTACCGTCTGTTTCGACGCACGATAATGGGGGATGTAGGGGTAAGTTGGAAGAATTAATAAGTAGTATGTAGGTCATGTTCGGTATGACTCATCAATCGAGTACACATTGGTATTTAAGTAAGGTGTTTTCTTGTCAAAAAAATATTGATATTGTTTAATTCCTTCTAAATGAAATGACTAAAACAGAACGTAAACGAGGGAACTTGATCTTTAGACATCAAGCGCTTTATTCACCAAGCTACTGCTCTATTCCCTCGGATATTAGTGTTCTTATGTATCTATGCATATTGACTATTTATTTGTTTTAAAATGTCATGAATACATACCATAATACTTTAAAGATTGTTAATGATTCAGAAGAAATATCCCTATATCTGATCATAGACATTTTGTACTCTGTATCACTTAACAAATAAATAAATAGTAGTTGACACTAATAACGTGATCAAATTGAACTAGTAAGATGCGAAATTCATTTGATATTGTTTACTTAAATCTTCTCATTGATGTGTTAGGACTGTAACTGATCAGTTTCTTGTTGGTATATGAACATACTGTGCGTATTGCCTCGATATTGCCTTAGTTTACAAGTATTCTAAGCAAAGATAAATATTGGCTAGCAATGGAATCCAGGACACGCGTTTCGTCCTGTTTGGACGTTTGAAGCGAACGGTACAGGGTTCGAGTCCCAGAGTGAACATCAACTCTGAGGTGTAGGTACATTCGGATGACGAGTCCCAAATAGGTCGAAACTCACGTCCTGGATTCCACTACTAATCTTTGATGAGATGAATTGAAAAGACTAAACGAAGATAATTGAGGACTGAAAATATTTGCTTTCTCATATCTTTATTGTCTACTTATTAGACATTGATTTGAAGGAACAAATCAGTTAAAAATTATCTGAGTAATTCAACTGCATGATCTGAGTTTTTCAGATTTACTTTATACTGATAGACCATGTCCTTAAAAATCGAATTAGTTAATGAGCTTTAAAATTATCAGAAAGGGGTTTTGTGGATATTATAGTAATTTAATAGTTGAGATCATGAGTCAATTGAAGCAAGACCACTATGGAAATCCTGGAAGCAGTGGACGGCCGTTTTTTCCTAGTGTGAGACTCTTCAGCAGTGCGCATCCACGATCCCGCCTCGCGAGATTCAAATCCAGGACCTATCAGACTCGCGGGCGAGTGCATCTGGAAAAATCGTCAACGTCATCCGGAATTCATACAATGAACTACACCGCAAGGTGGTGCATGGAGTACAGCTGACAAACGCATTCCAAGTGACAGCCGGAGTCAGTCAAGGTTGCTTACTCTCGCTCTTTCACTTTCTTCTAGTGGTTGACTGGATTGTGAAGACCTCCACATGTGAGGAAAGGCACGATATACAATAGACAGACTGGATGTAACTAGGCGAATGGACTTTACAGATGACCTGCCTCTTCTAACCCATACATACAAACAATTGCAGATAACGACAACTAGTGTAGCAGCAGTGTCTGAGGCATTAGGCATCAACACCCACAAGGGCAAAAACAAGATCCTCAAATACAACCTGGAGAACACCAACCCAGTCGCATTTTATGGAGAAGCTCTGGAAGATGTGGCAACTTTCACGTACCTGGATAGCATCATCATCGATGAACAAGGAGGATCCGATGCAAACGTAAAGGTGAGAACTGGCAAAGCAAGGGAGGCATTTCGGCAACCGAAAGACATTTAAAACTCAAAATGACTGCCAACTAATATCAATGTGAAAATCTTGAATATGAACATCAAGATAGTTCTGCTGTACGGAGCTGGAACGTCGAGAACTACGACAACCATCATCAAAAGAGTACAAGTATCCATAAATAATTGTCTACACAAGATACTAAATGTTCGTTGACCTGATACCACCAGCACCTTCGAGCTGAAGAAAGAATCAAGATAAGACCCTGGGGGTGTACAAGACATACATTGCGGGAACCATCAAACTGCATCATGAGGTAATCTGTTAGTTTGGACCCTGAATGGAAACGAAAAAAAGAAAGGCAAAGAACACAGTGCACCGAGAATTGAAACCACACATGGAAGGTATGAATTACAACTGCAACCAACTGGTGGGTATTTCTTAGGACAGAGTTGGATGGCGAATGCTAGTGAGTTGGCCTATGCTCCTTCATGAGTGGTAACAAGCGTAAGTAAATCATCATATCAATCTTCTAGAAATATTTCGCTTTTTATATAAAAATGAAAAAAATATTATATCTGATAACAAATTTTTATTTATTTATTTATTTAGGCCGCTGTAGTTAGTTTAGTTAAAGATCAATTAAATGCCCAAACATTAGCTATTGGTGATGGTGCAAATGATGTAAATATGATACAAGTAGCTAATGTTGGAATTGGTATTAATAGTGGTGAAGAAGGTATGCAAGCTGTTATGGCATCGGATTTTGCTATTAGTCGATTTTATTTACTTAAACAATTATTACTTGTACATGGACATTGGTGTTATGATAAACTTGCACATGCTTCTTTGTATTTATTTTATAAAGATGCAGTAAGTGATTATAATTTCAATGAATATTCCGTATTATTATTATTATTATTATTATTATTATTATTATTATTATTACTAACTTATACTATAATTCCTATATACAGTAATGTTTTTAAAGTTGTATCGTAATGAAGGAGAACATGGGCGAGGATAACCGGATTCAAGGTAACACGACCATTATCGAGTCACTTGGTAAAATAGAAAGACCATACTATAATACTTAATTTCCAAAATGTTCAATAATTGTTTTGGACTTCATTGTTCTTGCATTTCCATACTAATTGCTTTCTATTCCCGTTCTGCCTTTTTTGATCTTCCCAATCTTCTGCTGCCTGACATTACATTCCTGACTCATGTTATATGCTACTTATGTCAATATAAGTAGCACGTACCACAGTATAACTTTAGGTATTCATTCAAAAGGGCATACATTAATAATGGTGATCATTGATATAAGGAATAACATTTCAAATAATGTGAAATATGTTCAATAGATTGAAAACGAATATTCTGTTAAAGAAATCCAACAAAAGAAAGTTAAAGAAGGTAGTAGTAGTAGTGTGATGCGTGCTACTTATATCGATGTAAGTAGTATATGATGCGAGTTTAAACGCAATGTCTGGCAGCAGAAGATGGGGGAAGATCAAGAAAGTAAGAGCGACAACTCAATGCAATTTGTAAGGAAACGCATGAACAATGAAATGTGAGACAATGGATTGATGTTTGCAACAGGAACAGTCCAGGTTGATATGATGGATTAATATTTTGCGAATTATAGATTTGCTATATGGTTTTTCTATTTTACCGAGTAACTTGGAGAACTACAACAACCACAATCAAGAAAGTACAAGTATTTGTAAATAGCTGTCTACGCAAGATACTCAACATCCATTGGCCGGATACCATCAGCAATAGCCTTCTGTGGGAGAGAACAAACCAACTTCCAGCTGAAGAAGAAATTAGGAAAAGACGATGGAAATGGATAGGACATACATTACGCAAATCGTCAAACTGCATCACGAGGCAAGCCCTAACTTGGAATCCTGAAGGGAAGCGGAGAAGAGGAAGGCCAAAGAACACATTGCGTCGGATAATGGAAGCAGATATGAAAACGATGAATTACAACTGGAAGGAGCTGGAAAGGATTGCCCAGGACAGGGTTGGATGGAGAATGCTGGTGAGCGGTCTATGCTCCTTTACGAGGAGTAACAGGCGTAAGTAAGTAAGTAGTAAATTTTACCGAGTAACTCTGTAATTTTGTGCTAAACACAATTCGGTTGTCCTCACCTATGTTCTCCTTCACAACATTTTATGTCGCTGCCTCCACCAATGATGGAGATTCCATAGCCTAAGGAATTTGAGGACGGAGATGTGCTGAGTTTCCTGAAGGAATTCGAGGCCGTGGCGGAGCTGGTGGGAGTGAAGGAGCCAAAGGCGAAGTTGGTGGTGCTGGAGACGCTGCGAAACTGTTCACTGGAGATGGGTAGCCGTATGGATTTTGTGACAAAGTAAGCACAAAATCCCGATAAAGAACGATCGAGTAAATATATTTGCAACACGTCGTGTCCGGGGCATTTAGAGGCCGAGGTAAATCGTCAGGTCCAGGAAATGTTGAAAGAAGGTATAATTGAGGAGTCGGACAGCCCATATAGCTCACCGGTATTCTTGGTAAAGAAACCAAACGGGAAGTATAGATTTTGTGTCGACTCCAGAGAATTGAATAATATAACGGACCCGAAACCTTGTGCAATGCCAACAGTGGTGGAAACATTAGATCGGCTACAGAATGCCACGGTGTTTACAGTGCTGTATTTACGGTCAGGTTATTGGCAACTGCCTATAAAACAGAGCGATCGAAGCAAGACAGCGTTTACTGTACGTGATGAACAGTATCAATTTAAACGAATGCCGTTGGGGTTGTCGGGTGCACCGTTCACGCTCAGAAGATTAATGACACTACTGCTCAAGAATCTAGATAATGTCGAGGTATATGGCGACGATATAGTTGTGTACAGTCAGACAGAAACAGATCACGTCAAGCATGTGGAAGCGGTCTTAAAGCGAATTGACGAATTCGGACTTCGAATTAATAAGGATACGTCGCAGGTAGCGAGAAACAGCGTCACATTGTTGGGATATAAAGTGGGGAATGGAGAAATAAAACCATTGCCGGAGAAAACTCTTACCATAAAATATATTGCGGTACCTAATTCGAAAAGGAAGTTGAGACAGTTCCTGGGAAGAGCGGCGTTCTTCAGTCGGTTTGTCAAGAATTTCAACGAAGTAGCGGCATCCCTGTATGAGTTGTTGAGTAACAACAAGTTTACGTGGACTGAGACTGCCGAACAAACGTTCAACCGAGTCAAAAACATGCTAGACGATCGTCAGATGACACTCAGACTGCCTGAACCCGGAAAACTGTTTACAGTGGCCACAGACGCAAGTGATCATGGTATAGGTGCTGTGTTGAGTCAGGCTGATAGAGTAGTGGAATACGCGAGTCGCGTCCTCACACCCGCTGAAGAGAAGTATTCAACGATCGAAAAGGAGTGTTTAGCGATCGTGTGGGCAGTAGAAAAATAGAGACCGTACCTTTTAGGTAGAAGATTTAACATTGAGACTGACCATAAACCCCTGCAGTGGTTGAAAATAGCGAGAGACTCCTGAGGGAAGTCGGCGCAATGGATGATACGTATACAAGTGTGTGACTTCAGTATCGGGGATGTTCCAGGAAAAGAAAACGTAATGGAGGATTACTTGTCAAGACCAGACATGGAAGCCGACTTTCCATTAACAACATACGCGGTGAATAGTTTAGACGGAGACCCATTAGAATTCGTCCGGCAGCAGAAAGCTGACCCTAACCTTCGGGAGGTAATCAGAGTGATAAAAGAGGGAGCTGACGTAGACAAACGAACAATGGACAAGGAGGTAATAACGCTGCTTCGCCAAAAGGAACTACTGAGAGTGAACGCATATGGAGTCCTGACCTGGCAGGACGATGACGAGAATTGGGTGGCTGTGATCCCGAAAGGCTTGCGGCGTAAAGTGATACACGCGTGTCACCAGGTAGCACATACAGGCATCACAAGAACGACGGATTTACTACGACAAAGTGCATACTGGCCGGGCATGAGAGACGATGTGGCTAAATACGTGTTAACTTGCCAACAGTATCAACTAATGAAAAGCGATCGATACACACAACCGCCATTACAGTCAATCCCAGTAACCGCAGTCGGTGATCTATGGTCGGTGGATGTGATGGGACCGTTTCCACAGACGGCAGCAGAAGATGGGGGAAGATCAAGAAAGTAAGAGCGACAACTCAATGCAATTTGTAAGGAAACGCATGAACAATGAAATGTGAGACAATGGATTGATGTTTGCAACAGGAACAGTCCAGGTTGATATGATGGATTAATATTTTGCGAATTATAGATTTGCTATATGGTTTTTCTATTTTACCGAGTAACTTGGAGAACTACAACAACCACAATCAAGAAAGTACAAGTATTTGTAAATAGCTGTCTACGCAAGATACTCAACATCCATTGGCCGGATACCATCAGCAATAGCCTTCTGTGGGAGAGAACAAACCAACTTCCAGCTGAAGAAGAAATTAGGAAAAGACGATGGAAATGGATAGGACATACATTACGCAAATCGTCAAACTGCATCACGAGGCAAGCCCTAACTTGGAATCCTGAAGGGAAGCGGAGAAGAAGAAGGCCAAAGAACACATTGCGTCGGATAATGGAAGCAGATATGAAAACGATGAATTACAACTGGAAGGAGCTGGAAAGGATTGCCCAGGACAGGGTTGGATGGAGAATGCTGGTGAGCGGTCTATGCTCCTTTACGAGGAGTAACAGGCGTAAGTAAGTAAGTAGTAAATTTTACCGAGTAACTCTGTAATTTTGTGCTAAACACAATTCGGTTGTCCTCACCTATGTTCTCCTTCACAACATTTTATGTCGCTGCCTCCACCAATGATGGAGATTCCATAGCCTAAGGAATTTGAGGACGGAGATGTGCTGAGTTTCCTGAAGGAATTCGAGGCCGTGGCGGAGCTGGTGGGAGTGAAGGAGCCAAAGGCGAAGTTGGTGGTGCTGGAGACGCTGCGAAACTGTTCACTGGAGATGGGTAGCCGTATGGATTTTGTGACAAAGTAAGCACAAAATCCCGATAAAGAACGATCGAGTAAATATATTTGCAACACGTCGTGTCCGGGGCATTTAGAGGCCGAGGTAAATCGTCAGGTCCAGGAAATGTTGAAAGAAGGTATAATTGAGGAGTCGGACAGCCCATATAGCTCACCGGTATTCTTGGTAAAGAAACCAAACGGGAAGTATAGATTTTGTGTCGACTCCAGAGAATTGAATAATATAACGGACCCGAAACCTTGTGCAATGCCAACAGTGGTGGAAACATTAGATCGGCTACAGAATGCCACGGTGTTTACAGTGCTGTATTTACGGTCAGGTTATTGGCAACTGCCTATAAAACAGAGCGATCGAAGCAAGACAGCGTTTACTGTACGTGATGAACAGTATCAATTTAAACGAATGCCGTTGGGGTTGTCGGGTGCACCGTTCACGCTCAGAAGATTAATGACACTACTGCTCAAGAATCTAGATAATGTCGAGGTATATGGCGACGATATAGTTGTGTACAGTCAGACAGAAACAGATCACGTCAAGCATGTGGAAGCGGTCTTAAAGCGAATTGACGAATTCGGACTTCGAATTAATAAGGATACGTCGCAGGTAGCGAGAAACAGCGTCACATTGTTGGGATATAAAGTGGGGAATGGAGAAATAAAACCATTGCCGGAGAAAACTCTTACCATAAAATATATTGCGGTACCTAATTCGAAAAGGAAGTTGAGACAGTTCCTGGGAAGAGCGGCGTTCTTCAGTCGGTTTGTCAAGAATTTCAACGAAGTAGCGGCATCCCTGTATGAGTTGTTGAGTAACAACAAGTTTACGTGGACTGAGACTGCCGAACAAACGTTCAACCGAGTCAAAAACATGCTAGACGATCGTCAGATGACACTCAGACTGCCTGAACCCGGAAAACTGTTTACAGTGGCCACAGACGCAAGTGATCATGGTATAGGTGCTGTGTTGAGTCAGGCTGATAGAGTAGTGGAATACGCGAGTCGCGTCCTCACACCCGCTGAAGAGAAGTATTCAACGATCGAAAAGGAGTGTTTAGCGATCGTGTGGGCAGTAGAAAAATAGAGACCGTACCTTTTAGGTAGAAGATTTAACATTGAGACTGACCATAAACCCCTGCAGTGGTTGAAAATAGCGAGAGACTCCTGAGGGAAGTCGGCGCAATGGATGATACGTATACAAGTGTGTGACTTCAGTATCGGGGATGTTCCAGGAAAAGAAAACGTAATGGAGGATTACTTGTCAAGACCAGACATGGAAGCCGACTTTCCATTAACAACATACGCGGTGAATAGTTTAGACGGAGACCCATTAGAATTCGTCCGGCAGCAGAAAGCTGACCCTAACCTTCGGGAGGTAATCAGAGTGATAAAAGAGGGAGCTGACGTAGACAAACGAACAATGGACAAGGAGGTAATAACGCTGCTTCGCCAAAAGGAACTACTGAGAGTGAACGCATATGGAGTCCTGACCTGGCAGGACGATGACGAGAATTGGGTGGCTGTGATCCCGAAAGGCTTGCGGCGTAAAGTGATACACGCGTGTCACCAGGTAGCACATACAGGCATCACAAGAACGACGGATTTACTACGACAAAGTGCATACTGGCCGGGCATGAGAGACGATGTGGCTAAATACGTGTTAACTTGCCAACAGTATCAACTAATGAAAAGCGATCGATACACACAACCGCCATTACAGTCAATCCCAGTAACCGCAGTCGGTGATCTATGGTCGGTGGATGTGATGGGACCGTTTCCACAGACGGCAGCAGAAGATGGAGGAAGATCAAGAAAGTAAGAGCGACAACTCAATGCAATTTGTAAGGAAACGCATGAACAATGAAATGTGAGACAATGGATTGATGTTTGCAACAGGAACAGTCCAGGTTGATATGATGGATTAATATTTTGCGAATTATAGATTTGCTATATGGTTTTTCTATTTTACCGAGTAACTCTGTAATTTTGTGCTAAACACAATCCAGTTGTCACAATTGATTGATCATTGGTTGGTGATCAATGTCATGCTTGTCTAGTCTTTATTAGTGCAGATAGAATGCTATCGATCATGTTGCAATGTGGCCACCAGTCTAGGTGACTTGACACTTTATTTGTGAAAATCCCTTCTGATATTAATCAACATAGGCTCGCTAGTGACTGGCTTCAAGAGGTAGATCCTGGAGTTCTAGTGAGAAGCAGTGACCAGTGGAGTTCAACCAGGTCTGTTGTGAGATAGTAACTCACTGAAGACAATTGTAAATGTGTCGCTCAATTTCGTGGATTAGTTGAAGTTAGACATTAACATCGTTAGATTCCGGCTCAGTGGTCTAGTGGTTAAGCGCTTGCACGCGAGACTAATAGGTTTTGTGTCCGAATCTCTCGAGGCGAGGTCGTGGATGCGCACTGCTGAGAAGTTCCACAATAGAATGAGATAGCTTTATAGTGCTTCAAGGTTTTCCATGGTGATCTGGCTTCAATTGACTCATGATCTCAACCATTGAAATTACTATAATATCCACAAAACCCCTTCTTATATGAAATATATATGTATTTTTATTCAGGTTTAGGTAAGTTTGAAGTGAATTTGTATTTATATACTGACATATAGAAGTCTTGTACAAGATATATATATTCTTTATTATTTTATAGATTTATATATTTCTATTATTCTGGTTTCAAATGTTCAATGGTTTTTCCGGTAGTAATGCAATTGATCAATTATCACAAATATTATTTAGTGTTACAATGACTAGTTTACCACCATTTATTATGGGTATTTGGGATAATCCATTAGATGATAAAACTTTATTAGCTAATCCTATATTATATAGATCTGGAATAAATGGTAATGTAAGTATAAATAGTGTCTTAATTGTTATCATGTATTTATTATTATTATTATTATTATTATTATTATTATTATTATTATTTGGATTTGGCAAGACTATATTCTATGGATGATCTTTGAAGGAATCCTAAGCGACCTTGAGAAATATCAGTCAATCAGCAGTCAGTATAGAGTAAAAATATGTTAATACCAAACCAAAGAAATAAAGTGGATACACTTCTTAGACGTGGTTCAAAAACTTGTTAAGGTTAGAAAGAAGTTTAGAGGTTCTAAAATTGTAATGAATATAGTAGAGGAAATTATTCATATGGCTACAGTAAAGTCTGCCTCTGGAGCCATGATAAAGTTTCAAAAACTCTTACAGCTTCGACCATATAGTTTAAGTATTTTTTGTGTGCATTCCAGTAGCTCGGTTCACAAAATGTCACTTATGGATAACGACACGATGCACATAACCAAGCCTATGTACGATTCTGTACGCTCTCCAAACATCCGTATATATTGTAGTACCTGGTAGCAGCCAGTGTTACTGGTGCTTTTATTATCCAGTTCGCAACAACTGTCATAATTTCCCTTAGTTCCAATATGGATCGGGAGAAGAAAATTCTATTCTAGCAGACTTCTTCCTCCAATACATATTACATCGAGAGACAACATCATCACGGTAGTCTGTACAAGGTCCACAAGTCATTTGATTACAACAATCACAAATCCCTGAGGCGCTTCTGATTTGCCCGTCTATAAATTATAGTCTCGCCACATTTCATTCTAATCAATTGGCTTACCTTAACTTAAGTGATTTTGTATTCGCTAACTTTAATGCACCCAGAAGTTCAAAGTACTTGTCGAAATTTAGCAAAATATGTTGAACTTTTACAGTTTCTTAATGGTAGTATATTTACAAACTTCAATATGGTATTTAAATTGGTAAGTTGAATGTTTTACAATGTATTCACAAATAAGGATTCCGAAAATTTATGAAATTATCATGTCGTTTCGTTGGCCCCATTAAACATAAGTGTATACTAGTTTATGCGACTGTTGAGTTTTATTTCTGCAAACAATTAATGGAACCTTGAAGTAGGTACTATAAAAGTTCCTAATATCAGTAGTACAATTCACAAAGACATAAGTTTTCTTCTATAGGACATTCGGTGAAAATTACATAATGATGAAATTAGTATACACAAATTTTAGACCTTATTTTTAATATATCTGCTTGTTAACAAAAAAGATAGGTTCTTCAAACTATTCAATAAAAGGCAAAAGAATTAGGAACGCGTAATAGCATAAAGCCAGTGATTGCAACGAGTGAAGTCTTTACTTCCACTGAAGTGTAACTAGATGTCATATATTAATTTTAAAAAAAAGAAAACATTTAATACGGCCCGATATCTGACTACAGTTCAATCGTATTATGATTGTCATCGAAATATACATCCTGGCTACTCTCGTATATAATCATCGACTTAAATCACGTTAACGAATAACGAAATTAAATAAATCAAATAAGAGGATGGATTTGGATATGTATATTTCATACAATCGTTGATCCAGACAGACGATCAAAGAATTTTGTTTATTTATTTATTTAAACACATAAATGTTGGTACAAGGAAACACCAGATAGATATGTACCACACAAGACACTTGATTTGAGTGTAGACTGTGATACTGCCCGAGTGCCCAAACTGAAGCAGGTGGTTTCCTTAGGGGGCCACTCTTCGAGCCTTCAACCTGAGGGTCTGATCCACAAGGCAGTGGAGCATCGTCAGGAGATACAGTCCAATGGAAGCCGGTGAGTAATTAATACACGTACGATCATAAAAAAACAATCAGGATTAACAACCAAATAAGTGATGTGGTAAAAATGTGCCTTGAGAAGAACGAATAGATCGATCTGTCCAGAGGCTAGAATAACCTATGTGGGCTTGACATAGTACCAGCTCCTACACATTCCAGATTTAGTCGTTTTTTAAAATACGATTAATGTATGAATTTTATTCATCCATTTTCAAATAATTCAGTAATTCGGTGAAAAAATATTCAGGAAAATCTTTTTTAAGTTTTCAGTATGCAGATATATAGATTATTGAATTTCATTGAGATCATGAACCGATCTAACTTATATCGCCATTAAAAACCTTGAAGCATTGAATAGCCGTTTCATCCTAGTATAAGACTTCTTCAGCTTACATCCACGATCCTGTACTCGAGAATCGAATTTTCTACCTCACGAGCTAACGCTTAACCTTTAGATTATTGAGCCAGCAAGACTAAGTTACAAACTAGTTGTCCCTTAATTAAGTTGACAGAATTGCAACTATCCTACAATACTGCTCTGCTGAAGATAACCAATGATAAATCATTAGTTGTTTCAAATTTTCAGAAATAAACTAGAGATTAAAAGCAAAGATGGATAGTGGCTAGCAGTGGAATCCAGGACGCGCGTTTCGTCCTGTTTGAGACTCTTCAGCTGGATATACTTGCATATCGGAGTTGATATTCACTCTGGGACTCAAACTCAGTACCGTTCGCTTCAAACGCCATCGCGTTATCCACTTAGCTACTGAGTCCTGATAGCCACTTGCTTGTGCAATGAGTTGAAATTTAATTCACTTTATATTGAACATCAACTCTGAGATGCCGGTACATCCAGCTGACGAGTCCCAAACAGGACGAAACGCGCGTCCTGGATTCCACTGCTAGCCACTATCCATCTTTGCTTATAATGCTTGTAAATTAAGGCAATATCGAGGCATACGCACAGTATGCACATATGCCAATAAGAGACTGATCAATTTCAGTCCTAAAAACATCAATGGGAAGATTCAAGTAAAGCAATATCAAGTGAATTAAACTTAAATTAGAGATTATTATACATTTATTTACACATCCTAGCTCTATTACTTAGGATTAATACCACTTTGTTGATTGATTTCTTCAGTTTGATGGGTAATGTTAGGAACTCAATGTTAAACATTTGAATACTGTTACCAAAATATTTCAAAACTTTATTCTTTTTTTCACTGACGTTCATGATCATTATCCTGTTAAAATGTTAGCATAAGTTTTCAAAGAATTCTTCATTAATAGCTAATAAGAATAAGCCTGAAACCTTTGTTAGGAATTTTTTCAACTTACATCAATATTGGGAAGTATATTTTTGAAATAACAGAATATATTACACTTTCATAATTGTTCCAATAACTTAAGATCTTGAATAAGTAATCAGTCAGTCAGTCTTGATTGCTGTTAGAGGTATAAGGGCGGTTATCACTTTCTGATTGCCCACACCGTGGAAGGTTTCTTATGGAGGTACCTGAAAAGGAAATTGGATTAGAGGTGGTCTTTATGACCTGAGAGCGTGACTGCAGTGCCCAAGAGACAACTGCTTGAGGTCTGTCACATACGACCTTTTATGGGTTATTTTTGTGTTATCTCCGTACTTATTGAGACCTTACCACCAGAGACGGATATCTGTGGGATAAGGCAAAGTGTGCATTTCTAGGGTCGATCTTTTCTAACCCCACCCCTCCTTGTGGGAAGGCAGCATTGCTGTCAAGCTGGTTGTCTGAAGGAAACACCTTACTGCTGTCAGCAGTTCGACTTCGCCTTCAGACCTTTGGTTTGCTGCTTTTAGTCTTACCGTTCTTCAACCGATCCGTCTGGTATGGCAGGACCTTGAGGAACGATTGTCGTAGCCAGTATAGCTTGATTGGTTCATGACGATAGGCAAGCCCGGCCACCACGTCAAGGTAGCAGCAATGGTCAGGTGAATAATTAATAATCATTATTCGAAGATTTCATACAGTTGGTCGTCTTTACAAATTTGAATCAACCCTCAATTGTTGTTTTAGCTTTATTCAAATTATTATTGCTTCATAATAATCTAACACAGAACTAATCACTTTTCCTATTAGAAAAGTAGTGTTGGATAGAGCTAGTCAGTGGCTGAAAACTGTATTTCAATGAAAATTAAGTTTTCGTTGTAAGCTAAGTCTACTACTATAACTATCATTAAGAAATTACAGATATTTATATACAGTTGTCTACGCAAGATACTCTATATATGATCAGAGAGAGGGTTTTGTAAATATTATAGTAGTTTAATAGTTGAATTCACGAGCCAATTGAAGCTAGACCATCACGGAAAACCTGGAAGCACTGGACGTAGTCACACACTAGGACGAAATGGCCGTCCAATGCTCTCAGGTTTTCCATGGTGTTCTAGCTTCAATTGACTCATGAATTCAACTATTAAAATTCTCTTTATGCGTTGGCTGGAGATAATCAGCAACAACTTACTGTGAAAGAGAATAAACCAACTTTCAGCTGAATAGGAAATTAAGAAAAGATGCTAAAGGTGTATAAGATATACTTTGCCGAAATTATCAAACTCCATCAAATATCAGGCCCTAACGTAAAATCCCCGAGGCGAAAGGAAAAGAGGCAAACCTCAACACATACTGAGCCAGGAATTGAAGGAAGAAATCAAAAGAATGAATAGGTCTTAGAAACAACTGAAAATAAGAACCCAAGACAAAGTAGATTGAAGAGTTATCAGTATAGGATTTGTGGAGATTATTAAGTTTTTGATTGAGATCATGAACTGATTGATGTTAGATCACCATTGAAAACCTGGAAACATTGGACGGCCGTTTCGTCCTAGTATGGGACTCCTCATCAGTGCTCATCCACGATCCGAGAACCTATCAATCTCGCACGCGAACGCTTAAACTCTAGACCACTGAGTCAGCATCCAAAGGTGTTAATGTCTAACATCAATCAATCTACGACATTGCGTAACCATCTTCTACTGTACTGAGGTAGATACCTGTCTCTACCGGACATGGATTAGCTCCATTAGATTAGAAAGATCTGGTCGGCAACCTATGCTCCTCCACGAAAGGTAACAGAAGTAAGCAAGTTAGGAACACTTATGCCTAATAAAACAAAAAAGCTTAAATTTTCTTGTCTTATTTATTTTCTTTTTTTGTAATATTAATTTTATTTTTTTTTATTAGGCCTATCGTCCATGGTTATTTTGGATGAATATTTTCGATGCATTATGGCAAAGTTTAATTATATTTTTTCTATCATATTTTACTTATTCGGACGATAATATTGGTTTATGGGAATTTGGATTATTTCAAACAAATGCAACAATTCTATGTACATTATTTCATTCATTAATAATCACTAGGACATTGGTAATTGATTGTTTGTTTGTTTGTTTGTTTTTTAAATAACTTTTATAACAGATTCACTTGGTATTGTTTTAACTTGAATCTTTCCATTGATGATTAAGACTGTAATTGATGAGACTCTTGTTAATATATGTGCATCCAGTGTGAATTGTCTCGATATTGTCTTAATTCACAAACAGTGGAATCCAGTTTAACGCGTTTCATTCTATTTGAGACTCTTCAGATGGATATACTTGCATATCAGAGTTGATATTCACTCTGGAACTTGAACTCAGTACCGTTCGCTTCAAACGCCATCGCGTTATCCACTTAGCTACTGAGTCCTGATAACCACTTGCTTGTGCAATGGGGTGAAGTTTAATTCACTTGGTATTGTTTTACTTGAATCTTCCCATTGATATTTTTAGGACTGAAATTGATCGGTCTCTTATTGGCATATGTGCATACTCTGCGTATGCCTCGATCCACTATCCATCTTTGCTTATAATGCTGGTAAATTTAGGCAATATCGAGGCATACGCACAGTATGCACATATGCCAATAAGAGACTGATCAATTTCAGTCCTAAAAATATCAGTGGGAAGATTCAAGTAAAACAATACCAAGTGAATTAGTATTAAAATAGTTCAATCCTGAGTTGAATAAGCTAAATATAAAGTATTGAATTGCTATTTAAAGACAATAAACCTTTCAATAACGTTGTAGGTATGTCCTGTGGCTATGTAAACTTGCATGAAACTTTCAACCACGGTTGCATATTCACTGATATTGGCAATCTGATATTGAACGAATTACACTATGCTGACGTAATATCACGTACTTGTTGAGCGTACCGTCCTTTGTAGGAATCTTGATCTTTTTCAGCATTCCTACGCTCCTGACTAGTTCATTATTCACTGAATCATTAACAAAGTAATTTGTTTGGTGTTTTACTAGTGACGATGGATTAAAAATCGATTTGTGTTATTATTATCTACAAATCAAATAGAGTTTGATACGTTTCACAGTTATTTCCATTATGATGACAAAAGTTGATTCTTCCTATTCATTATACAAATCTTGAGCATAATATAAACGTAGTTCTACAATCTTTTCATTTGATATAAGATAATAGTTTTTCGCAAAAAGAACAGAAGTCATATTCTTCATTTTGACTTTCTTTGAACTGTAGTTACTGATAAGTCTTGCGGATTGAACGCTATATTCGTTTCCTAAGCTATTCTGTAACCTTCAAGCTAGAACTATACAGCGACCTGAACACAAGAGAGAAGACGCAAAGTATGCGAGTAGTTTACTCCAAGGTTCACTTTAACACAGAAAATATAGGGTTTTTATAATATTTTTAGATGTCCTTGGGTTGCTCGAAAATTCTGGAATGCTACTAAACATAATAGCAGTGTAGCAATCAGTCAATCAGAACCTCTGCATGTGACGTTCCGCCCCCCTTGATATTTTTGGCTAAAACTTTAAATGAACTCTGATTGATGGAAACGCTTCTTAGTGTTTCCTAATCCTTGCTTGTCTTATGCGAGAAATTAGCCGAATCACCCCAACAGTTACATCAACTTTACTATGAATTAGTAACATCGTTGTAATGACTTTTTTTTCGCTTATGCTCATTAACAATGAGTTGATTTACTCAGTTACTGAATATACTAAACGATTAGGAAGCTATACAAAACCATTTGTTCCTAATCTTCAAATCAGAATACGGTTTACTGATATTTATAAACATTCAAAGATATATCAACGTTAAAGGAGTGAAATAGAAAAAGTTTACAATTACAGCAACAAAAACAAATTAATATTGTGAATGAATTAATATCACATGGGTTTTGTGGAATATTATAATAATTTCAATGGTTAAGATCACAAGTCAATTGAAGCTAGACCACCATGGAAAACCTGGAAGCACTGGACGGCTGTTTCGTCTTATTGTGAGACTTCTCAGTAGTGCTCATCCACGACCTCTCCCCCTGAGGGATCCGAACCCAGGACTTCTGGTTTCGCGCACGAGCACTTAACCACTGGACCACTGAGCCGGCATTCAGTGGTGTTAATGTCTAATTTCAACTAATCCACGAAATTTAGTGACATATCCACCATTGTTTTCAGTGAGTTACTATCTCACAACTGACCTGATTGAACTCCACTGATCACTACTTCTCATTAGAACTCCAGGATATACTGTATATATATTGTTTGTAGAATTCCTGACCAACATAACATTTGAAAATTCTGTTATACTTTCTGTAGATGCTTATTAAGTGATTGTATGGCGAACGAGAACACAAGCGGGGATAACTATATGTATTTGAACACAACTTTATAGAACATCTTAGTAAAATTTAAGAATCAAACAGTTAATTCTTCATTTGCAAAATATCAATCAATCGTCTCAAACTTCATTGTTCCTGCATTTCCATACCAATCATTCTCTGTTCTTGTTCTTTCTTATTTGATCTTCCTTAAACTTCTACCGCCAGACATTTCACTTTCGATTGATGATACATACTATTTATATCTGTCGACATCAGTAACACACACCACGGTTGGATATAACAAATAAAATTGAATGATCATCAATTGTTCAATCACTTCTATCTTCATTTATAATGAGATGACTTTTTACATTTTATATTGTTATAGCTTATCAATCTCTAGCTAAGCCACTAATCAGAATCCTGATTTCTATGGCGTGGTGTCTAATCCGCGTCAGTGACCTTGAGTCAATTGCTAAGTTCTTATTAGCCCACAATTCTATATCTTTCCTTTATCTTACTCTTTAATCCAAAAGTTAGTAACTAACTTCTACTATTTTATATTTCAAGCAGATATAGTTGATTTACAGACATATCAGACCATATCATAGCAATTATACAACATGATCAAATCAATAGGTGTCTGTGAATAGAACAGACTGTATAGTAATAAACTGGCAGCAGATTAAGGATAGTAAATCACATATTAATTAATCGGTCAAGATTTGAAGATCAACTTGATTTTTGGTTATTTAGTCACTTCATTATTTTATCAAGTAATATGTGCTTTTATAAAAGAACTAATTATAAGCTGTACTACTGTGTGGTGTGCTACTTATATTGATATAAGTAGTATATGACGCGAGTTAAAAACGTAATGTCTGGCAGCAGAACATGAGGGGAAGATCAAGAAAGAAAGAACGGGAACACAATGCAATTTGTAAGAAAACGCATGAACAATGAAATGTGAGACAATAGATTGATGTTTGCAACAGGAACAGTCCAGGTTGATATGATGGATTAATATTTTGCGAATTATAAATTTATTATTTATTTATTTGAACACATAAATATTGGTACAAGAGAGCGCCAAAATATATGCGCCACACAAAACAATGAGAATTCGAAGAGAAGTAGAAAGAAAGAAAAAAAACTAAGGAACGCAAAAGAAAAAGAGAACAATGACGAAGAGATTGGAGTAAGGTAGTGTGGTAGTAACGACGGAACGAAAAGGTACAGTCAGAAGAAATCTTTCAGGTAAAGGAGACACAACCAATTTTTATGAAGAAAGTAAAAGAAGGTTACAGCAGGATCGCCACTGGCTTCTATTCTGAGCCATATCTGATAACGTCTCTAGCCACTGTGTAGCACCATCTCTCGGACCCCAACCAGGGAGTCGTGAAGGACCAACACAAGCCAGTCCTTTGCAGCTTTCTTTCATGCCACGACATCATGTCATGCACTGATCACCTCTCCGCTTCTTCCAACCAGTCCCAGAGTCGGCAAATAATGCACGACGTGGAATTCTCTGGGGCGACATTCGGAGAACATGTCCAAGTCACCGAAGTCGGTGTTTCAAGATGGTGACACCAATTGAGTTATAGATTTGCTATATGGTTTTTCTATTTTACCGAGTAACTCTGTACTTTAATGCTAAATACATTCGGTTGTCCCCACCCGTGTTCCTGTTCACTACACTACTACTTCTACTAATGTACAAAGTACTATTCCATATGGAATGTTTTATTAATAAAAGAATATAACGACGGTTGTATACACTTGAATCTAACAGCCTTTCTTTTTTTTTCTCTCTTTGTTATTAGGTTATATTACATGCAGTTAGCTTTTTTGTTAGTTATATTCTATCATATTTAATATTTACAATGATCTATCATACATTTGCTGTTACTGTTGTTCCACCTGAATGTCCTTATCGAATTATATTTCGAGTAATGAATGATATCAAGTTTTGGTTATTAACATTGGTTACTATTATTTTGGCATTATTACCCAGGTGAAGTAAATAATATTGTTAAATATATATTGAAAATAGATATATTTTTTTTTTAAATTGAATAGTTGAATTCATGAATCACTTGAAGCTAGAATACCATGGAAAACATGGAAACACTGGATAGCCATTGCATCCTAGTGTAGGACTCTTTAGTTAGTTGAAGTTAGACATTAACATCTTTGGATACCGGCTTAGCGGTCTAGAGGTTAAGCATTCGCGCGCGAGACCGATAGGTTCTGGGTTTGAATCCCATTTGAGGCGGAATCATGGATGAGCACTGCTGAGAAGTCTCATACTAAGACGAAACGGCCGTCTAGCTTTAATTGACTCATGAATCCGACTATAAAATAATTAAAAATATTAGAAGTATTATTGTTTAGTTTATTGAGTATGAAAACCGTGTGTGTGTGTGTGTGTGTGTGTGTGTGTGTGTGTGTGTGTGTGTGTGTGTGTGTGTGGTTATTGGACATTGAGGTCAAGTATGAACTATTGATTTGTTAACGCCTATGTGTTGTACAAGTTGTTAGTTTATACTTTTTTCAAGTCTAATTATTTGACCTTGTAGATAATTTTGAAAAATATTTCTAATAGTGCAGTGTAATCATTAAAATACTCACATTTGTTCTATCTTTTGATAAAGATACATATATATGTTTATATATTTGATTTTCATACTGTAAAATAGGACAACATATATAAGTGAACAATACTGTTTTCAATTAAATTCTTTCCTTTAATATATTTATCGTTAGTATAGAGGATTCACGTGCGCCACGATAGGTAATGGATAAGGGTTGGGAAATATTACGGATTGGTTGAAGTTGGACATTAATACCTTTGAATGCCAATTCAGTAATCTAAAGGTTCGGCATTCTCAGTTGAGACAAAAGATCTTAGATTTCATTCCGTTGTGTAAGATCGTGGATCATCTACACTGCTGAGGTGTTCTATACTGAAACGAAATCGCTGTCCAATGCGTTCAGGTTTTCAATAGTGATCTAGCTAAGATTAGTTCATGAATTAAACTGTGAAAATATTCACTTATTGAAACATTAAAAATAGAAGTTGAACGAAGAAATATTTCCTTCGTAGTCAGTTATATAACATACCCTTGTAGGCCAGGGTAATTTTACATTGGTTTTCAGGAGAACTAGACACCATCCAGACTTTCACGTCACAACCCAAACAATACAACTGAATCCCGTTTAACAAGAGAGCCAGACACCGCCCAGACTTAAATTTTATAACCCGAGCAGTACAGCCCGATCCCGCTTCACAGGAGAACCAGACACCGTATAGGCTTTAACACTACAATCTGAATAGTACAGCTCAATCCTGTGGCACAATCACACAAGTACCAAGCACCCTGGTGGACCAGTCTCGCCTCAAGGCTGTATATTAATATACAGATTTTTAAAAAATCAATACTAGATAAACAGTGACGGATTGATATACCATTTATCTCAATATTTTCTCTAAAGACAATAATAATATCAATGGTTGAGATCATGAGTTAATTGAAGCTAGACCGCCATGGAAAAGCTGGAAGCAATGGACGACCGTTTCGTCCTATTGTGGGACTCCTTAGCAGCGCGCATCCACGATCCCGCCTCACGGGATTCGAACCCAGGGCCTATCAGTCTAGCGCGGAAGCACTTAACCAATTAGACCACTGAGCCGGCATCCATTGGTGTTAATATCTAACTTCAACTAATCCACGCGACACATTCACCATTGTCATCAGTGAGTTACTATCTCACAACTGACCAGGTTGCACTCCACTGATCATTACTTCTCACTAGAACTCCAGGAAATACCTCTTGATGCCAGTCACTAGTGAGTATATATTGATTAATATCAGATTCTGATAGATACATTCATTTTTATCTATTATTTTGTTGGTTTTTTTTATTATTTATTTATAGATTACTTATAATTATCATTAAAAATACTTTCTATCCAAATATGGATACTATTGGTAATTTACTAGCAAAATATTTAGGTCGTGGTAAACATTTACCATTAGAACCATATTTATTACATATACCATATTCATTAATGATGAGAAATCGATTTTCTATACAATCAACAATCAATCATTTATCATCTTGTATATCTGAAATCAATTTAAATAATCAATTAATCAATAAATCTTATAAAAATAATAATTTAATAGAATATAATTCATCATTAAGTCCTATATCATTATCATCATTATCATCATCATCATCAGATATTCAATCAAATTTAATTAAATTAAATGAAACACCAATACATTTAATAAAACATTTACATCAATTACTGAATGTGAGTAGTCAATTAATGAGAGGTGTACAACCTATTCATCATTTATATGTTGAAGATATTTCAAAGAATTCAATAGGAATAGATCATCTTCATCAGCAACCGCATCAATATCATCATCGTCAACGATCTAGTACTATACCTAGAATTATAACAGATTATAATAATTGTCAATATGATCAAAATGATATACATAAACGTCATCATCATCATCATCATCGACATTATCATACATTTAATGGTAGATTATTAATAAAACAACAAAATAAAACTGATTTTGATGATGAAACTAATGATAAAGATTTTGATAAATCAAAAATATCTTCTATTTGGCCAGCAATCAATCCTAATAATAGAATAAGTAATAGTATTCAAGCTTCAAATAGTTCAATGAATATTGATCTTTCAAGTAAGAATCTTTTTTTGTTTTAAGAGAAAAAAGAAAGTAGCTAAGATTTTAAATTATATGATTGAAATTATTTTTGCTCTCAAATGTTGTGATACGACCGAGAATGGAGAGAGTCAGCTCTCTTTCTTTAAATGCTTTCACATGGTCATATGCATACAACCATTACCAGGGAAGTCTTATTCACTGCCTTCTCGTGAGGACAAAAAGGGAATTTTTGGTGCTTTAATGGGGCTAGTGGATATGGTGGATCTACTTAGGGGAGTTGGAAAGCCCTGATTCCAAACCAATGGTTTACATGGGTTCCAGGATCCTAAAGGAACAAATGGCGTATGAACCAATTATTGATCACCGGCTACTATGGGACTGCATCTCCTTACGATGCTCCACTGTCTTGTGGATCAGACCTTTAGGTCGAAGGCTCCGGGTGTGGCCTCCTAAGAAAACCACCTGTTTCAGTCTGGGCATCCGGGCGAAATGTGGTGCATATCTATTTGGTGCCTCCTTGTACCAACGTTTGTGACTAAATAAACTGAAATCATTTACTTAACATGTAGTTTACTATTTAAAATACAGGAATGAACGGATGTTCGTACTGAGAAGTGAACCCAAGAAAATCCAATCCTCAGGTACTTTCTTACTTATCTACGCCTGTTACTTCTCATGGAGGAGCATAGACCGCTCACCAGCACTTTTCATCCAACCCTGTCCTGGGCAATCCTTTCCAGCTCTTTCCAGTTGTTATTCATCCTTTTCATATATGATTCCGTTTTCCGATGTAATGTGTTTTTTGGCCTTCCTCTTTTCTGCTTCCCATCAGGATTCCAAGTTAAAGCTTACCTCGTGATGCAGTTTGATTATTTCCTTAATGTATATTCTATCCACTTCCAGTGTCTTTTCTTAATTTCCTCTTTAGCTAGAAGTTGGTTCGTTCTCTCACATAGTAGGCTGTTACTGATCGCATCCGGCCGATGTATGTTGAGTATCTTGTGAAGACAACCATTTATAAATACTTGTACGTTTTTGATAGTTATTGTAGTAGTTCTCCAAGTTTCAGTTCCGTACAGTAGAACTGTCTTGACATTGGTATTGAAGATTGTGACTTTGATATTGATTAAAAGTTGTTTTGAGTTCCATATGTTCTTCTTCTTGCTTTTCCAATCCTCGCCTTGACGTCTGCATCTGATCCTCATTGTTCATCGATAATGCTTCCCAGGTACGTGAAGGACTCCGCATCTTTCGGAGACTCGCCATCAAATGTGATTGGGTTGGTACTTTCTAATTTCACCAAACTATTCAGTTATTTCGTGTTAACAAAATGTTTTGTACCAACTACCTGACTTTCTTTAAAAAACGTTTGCACCATTGTCGAGGATGTTATGTTTGTAATAATTTCCTGTTATGTTCACTGTCAATGAGTACACTTACAATCACTATGTGGGTTAACTTCTATTGACTGCACGAAATGCTAATCTATTCTCAAATTCTCAATCAAAACATCAGAAAAATTAACCAAGAATCTTGAATTCTTCAGACCTAAAACCTCATGTGATTATATGCAAAAAACACATTAAAAATAAGAAATCTAGATCTGTACGTTTGTGACACATATTTGCAAGATAAGATTATTATCAGAATGGAGGTTTGTGGAGATTGTAGTAATTTTAATAGTTGAATTCTACTTCATACAATGGATGAACGATTGTGTAAGATCATGGATCGATAAAAGTTAAACATTAACACCATTAAATCCCTGCTCTGTGATCCTGAGGCTAAGCGTTTGCACGCGAGACTGAAAGCCCTGGGTTCAAGTTCCACATGCGGGATCATGGATGCACACTGCTGAGGAATCCCATACTAGGACGAAATAGTTGTCTAATGCTTCCAGGTTTATAATGATGGTCTAGCTTAGATTGACTCATGAATTCAACTATCAAGATAAGAATATAACTATTTAACTAAAGATTAACCAAATCTTAATAGTGTGACTTGTTTCAAGGTAGACATGATTGAAGTTCTATTGGGAATTCTTGTTTTAAATTGTTACCCTAGTTGAAGGTAGATATGGATATATTCTTATATTGCTGAATAGTATTGTGTTAATCAAGAAACTATCTTCTTTTATGCATACTTTTTTGGTACTTTTGCATCAATAACTTAACACCACCACCTTATAGGGGGGGAGTAATGCATTCCGTTAATTCATGGGAAATATGTGACTAAACCAATCTAACTATTCAATACACTTTCGATACTTGGTTTATAATGGTTGAAAACGATATTTTATAGTGCTGTGGAGGTTGTAGAATTTCATAGTTGACATCACAGATTGATCTTAATTAAACAACCATTGAAAACTAAGAATCCCTGGACATATATTTCATCGTTGTATGTGACTCCTGGTGTGATATATGCTACTTATGTCTGTCGACATTAGTATGTAGCATCAATCAGAAGTGGAATTCCTGGAAGCAAAAGGTTGAAAAGATCCAATTAAAGAAGACAGAAATACCAACAGAGAATAGTTGTATTCTACGAAAACATTCTGTAATTTTGTATTAATTAATTGATTGGTTATCCGCAACAAGTCTCTATTTGCTACACTAGATGTGTACATTTAAGACCCCACTAAACGTCGAACCTAGAACCCTCAGTTCTCGTGTCTTATTTATTTCAACACATAAATATTGGTACAAGAGGGCACCAAATATATATGCGCCACACCATATTTGTGTGTGTGTTGGCTGTGATACTGCCCGGGTGCCCAGACCGAAGCAGGTGGTTTTCTTAAGGGGCCACACCCCGAGCCTTTGACCTAAAGGTCTGATCCACAAGGCAGTGGAGCATCGTGAGGAGATACATTCCCATGGTAGCCGGTGACCAACGATTGGTTCATACGCCATTTGTTCCTTTAGGATACTGGAGCCCATGTGCACCATTGGTTTGTGATCCGGTTAAAGCGCCGGACATTCGCTTTTCGTCCTCTCATTTTCGTAAACAGCACCCGTGATGCGAGAAGGCAATGAGTAGGACTTCCCTGCCAGAGGCTGTATACGCGTGACCGTGTGAGAGCATTTCGAGAGGGAGGGCAAACCCACCGCACTCTCGGCCATACCATGGTATCTAGCTAAAGTTAATGCATAATTTGAAGTTTCATATTACTTGCATTTTCCAGTTGATTTAATAATAGTAAGACTATTTTGTATTTATTACTTTCATTAAAAATTAGACACTATATCAGTATCATGAATCCTGATTTCACATGTTTCTTCACTTTCATAGCTATTGGTCATAGGAGTAGAGGATCAAAAAGTCAAAAACAAACACAACAACAACAATACTTCACATATCCTTCAGCTCGATATTCATCTGGACATAGACCACCATTATGTCAAAACGGACATTTTCCTTTTGAATTAAATCCAAGAGAATATTCGTCCACTAATCAATCTCAGGAAGAAATTAACAAATCTTAAGAATTATTTACTCAATAGACAATATTTTACAAAAACCTTTGTGCCTCTTTGTTTTTGTTTTTTTTTTAGAACTAAACGATTTTAATTAGATTCGGTTTCTTAATTTTTAACACTTTTAATCTGTATGAAATGTTCACTTCTTGTAAATAAATTCCTTCTCTTTTTTTTCTAAATGGTTAATTCTACTCATTTGCAACTATATATTCGCTAACTTCTTGTCTATTCCTTACACGCAACATTGTACAGATTAATATTATTATAGTGTGTATAGCAATACTATTCATACTGCTTTAGATAATATTCTGAGGATGATATATATGCTAACTAACTAAACTAACAACCATTTGTGTTTGTATCATTGTGTAGTAGGTATACTCAGTCACAATTGATTGATCACTGGGTGGTGATCAATCTCATGCTTGTCTAGTCCTTAATAGTGCAGATCGAATGCTATCGATCATGTTGCAATGTGGCCAACAGTCTAGGTGACTCGACACTGCGGGCACTATGTATTGAGATTAAATGGTGGTTGGAGGTAGTCAACAGGAAATCCTGGACCCGGGTTTCGTGCTACTTGGCACTCGTCAGCAAGGTGTACCTGTAACCTTGAGGGAACTGGTGCTCCCTGGCGGATTCGATCTCGTGTCACCCAGCTTCACAGTCAGAGACGTTAGCACTGAGCTATCCGAGCCGTGACTAACCTCCTGTAGGACTGAGATGTAGTCACAATTGATTGATCACTGGGTGGTGGTCAATGTCATGCTTGTCTAGTCCTTAATAGTGCAGATCGAATGCTATCGATCATGTTGCAATGTGGCCACCAGTCTAGGTGACTCGACACTGCGGGCACTATGTATAGGTATCATTGAGTGATATTAGTGTGGACAGAATTAGCTTTCTAGTGTTTCTTGATCAGAACTTGTTGTTATTACTGTCTTTACACTGAATATCAGGAGTTTGTGTATCTGTCAGTGTCAGAGTAATTTGTTTTCTGTTTATGTAAGGAGTTAGATATTTTAAAGTCTCTTATGCCAAAAATCATAAAGTGCTTAGGAAGCATCTGTATTCAATGATACATACAAATCGGTAAACCTAAGAGCGTCATCTTTACAGCCTTCGAGATGAACTAAAGGATAAGTTTTACAGAAAGCTTTCTCTTCTACCATAGAACGTTAAGCCCCCTCAAATCTTTATTGTAGCAGGAGATTTTAGCACTCAAGTAGATAGTTTAAATCAGGGTAAAAGATGCCCAGGTGGCTCTTACAGTGTCCTAGCTCGACGAACAGAAAACGGAAACCTTGTACAGCGATTAAACATAGACAAGTTTATTCTTGCCAAGCAATAACTTTCACAGTAAGGGAAGATATCGACTAACACGATGACCCTCAAGACCGACCCAACTATAGACCCAGATAATCCTTACTTCCATTAGCCATCGTTGGTGGCAGAAGACTCCCATCTACTCTGGGGTACATAATTCGGTTTCGATCATACTCTAGTGCGAGTGTGTTCGTCTGGTTGCAGAAAAACCATGACAAGAATCTCAGGAGTGTATTTCAAGAACTAGAGACAGTCTGTTTATCGAAATGATCCGCTGAAAGACTGGGACTATGGGTTGAATACTGAAGGATAGCTTAAGTGGTCTCCAACTACCTTCCTGTTGCCTACTGTTACTAAACAACCTAGTCTGAACAACTGCCCATTCGCGCATGAAGTTGAAAAATCCATAAGATGTCACAACCGGGAAACCACCGGTCCACGATTTACTTCCGGAGACGGTTGTCCGGTTTTAGCAGGTAGACTGACACTACTCAAAACCAGGAAAATAAGCACAATCCCACTCGACTAATCTTGATCGCCTCTATTTACAAGATAAGAATCCCACTTAGATAATCACACAGGAATCAGTTTACCTAATCGTGTCTACAATATTAGCCTCATTAATGACGCAGCGCTCAAATAGGGCTCATCAACAGAACAAAAAAAGTCGATTTTAGACTCAAAAATCGAGACCAAACATTCGCCCTTTCTCAGGTCCTGGAACACAGACATAACCATTGCCAAACAGCCACACCTGTATTTACCGAACCGAAGACGTTTAAGTATTTAGGTCGACAGGTTTTACGTCAATTCCTGTCATTAAAAAGCGTAACAAGAAAGTCCACTAACCTTGCGCATGCTCTACTCGAACACCAGTAATCAAATCAGAGCTCATCGTAAACCGTCATTGGACTTGACGAATTCAATCGGTGTTTGTCAAACTTGTTAATGTTCCCTATCTCAATCCAAGTTTACTGTAAATTTGCTTTTAGAAGTACCACATTTATCATCCATATCAGGAATCGATCTCCTACCAGGAGGTCCACTCGTTGACTCCGAATACACAGACGAGATAGTTCTGGTCGCTACAAGCAACAAAGGGAACAGATCTGGTACGCATTTCTCTCCCTTCAAATGCAAAATTTTGCTTCAAGACAGGTTTTATGACGAAACCCACTTCCCATTTTGACGCAGAATGATGGGGGTAGTAGGCTGGAATAAGGCTAGGGGTGATTAAGCCTTAGTGTTACATTAATGCATGGAGACAGACTACGGGACTGAGTTATGTCAGTAGGTATAGACTATCTGGTTTTGACCTACGCAATTATTGTAAGCAATGATGCGACTATCTGTCATGGATGAGTCATCCACATTGATGCATGTAAACTTCTACCATTCAGTTCGGAAGTTCTTATTTCCCTTATATACACCAGTTATCATAACTTCGTATTTCAACCGTATTCGATGCTTTTCTTTTACTATTACCACTGCTAGTACACGGGAATGCGCCCCGATAATTTCATATCACTTGTCTAGTGAGGTGTGATGGTTTGGACCGATTTACAGAAGCGGCAGGCTGTATATAAAACTTGAATATTGGATACGCTTACATCAACGTAAATGTATGACATCGGTCGGAGTAGCACGTAACTATATCACAATAAATCTAAGCGGCGATTATTTAGAAGTGGTGAATCTCAACATTTGGATCAGATGCAACTGGAAATATTGAACTTACTCTTGCAAAATTATAAATTAATCGGTCTCTTTTCCAGTTCATAAGTATTAGGCGACTAGATACTGAAATAAAAAGATGTGATGACGTCAAGCGACATATATTAAGTCAAATACTGTTTAAATTACAATTTAGGGCTTTAGTGCTCGCAGATGTAAATAAAAAACTGTAATTGCTAGGGTGCTTATAGTAATCTATTCTTGATTTAATAATAATACGAAAGCAGTACAACGACTACGTAGTGGAATGTACTGAGCATCATATATGCAACCATTCGGGTAAGATGTTTTTACTCTAAGGCCAAACAATAAACAACTTATCCAATGTCTTTTATTAAGTGGAAAACATTAATGGTAGAAAAAATTAACAAAACACAATCGCACACGAAGATAAGGACTAAAAATAAAGTCAACACAAAAAATTATACACATGAATCATATTTGTTACTGCTAGAGGCATTCTAATATTGAATCTATCCTGTAGATTATATCAGCTTTCTTGGAACATAAATCGTCATTTGAGGACTGATATTGTGGTTTTGTCAACTTGCCAGTGAGGAGTTTTTCTGCCAGTTGGATACCTTCTTGAACTAGATCACGATATTGTTGATCCAAATGGTTGATGTCGTTCAACTAGAAAAATAAATATGACCGTTTTAATTTCTAACTTGAAATCCAGATATAAGAAGTAACTCAATAATATAACTACTGAGTCAACTTTTGGTAAATACTTTTTGTAGAAGGTATGAGCTTGATACATAGAATGTACGGATAAGTCGAAACACCCTACTCCTAATACTTAAACAAAATCAACTGAATAGAAGCAAAATGGGACCTACCTAGTACTTTACGGATGTGGAATAGATAATAAACATTCCTAACTCTATTTGGCGTGATGAGTTCGAGGATGAGACTAGTTGGGAACAGTGAAAGTGGTCAGTGTATGATTTTGTGTCGTGATATGGAAAAAAGCTGTACACGATTGGTATTTGTCGGTCCTTCATGAATTCCTGGTTGGGATCCTAAAGACAGAGTATCACAGTGGTTTCAGATGTTATCAGACATGATTAAGAATAGGAGCCAGAGATGATCCTAATGTAATTTTCTCTTACTCTCTTTATATGAGTAACTTCTTGAACTGAAACGATTCTTTTTGATTGCATCTTTCTTAACCGAACTACACTAATTATTCTTCAATCTCACTCAATTACATATATTAATTGTTTGCGGCTTTTGTACAGATCTTTATCTCTTCATAATCTCATTTTTTGTGTTGCTCATATATACTTCGGGTATCCTTTTGCACCAACATTTGTCTAAATAAGTATCATATGCAGTGAAGATTATGTACATGACAAATCTCACCGTTCGTCGGCTTGATTATGTAGTGCATAGACTAATGTAACACAATTTAGTGACTATGTATCGAATAAATGACCAAACAAAGTGAAAATCCAGTCATACTCCATTACACATTTGAAGTTTGAGTAAGTCAAGTGTTAAACTTTAAGGTAAGAATATTGACTGAAAACAAAAATTTATACTAAGAAGCCTACTTTATCTACTCCGTCCGGATATAAATCTCCCATTTTATTCTGAACTGACATCAACTGTTGATTTAGACTTTTATATTCCGCTTCTAATTTACGGCGATCAGTTGTGAATTGTGCGCTATCTTTAGATCCTTTATATTTTGTCAGGGCATCTTCATAACATTGATACAAAGAAGAACGACATCTTAGCAAGGCTTGAGTTTCATCTACTAGCGTTTGTATTCGAAGGCGAAGTTCATTTTTTTCATCCTTCGGTAAAATAGAAAAAGGTTCATTAAAATAAAATTGCATTCAAGATAGTCAAGTAAATATTCAACCAGAAACACTAGATTTCTATACATGTTGAAATTTCAAGGATCACATATTAGTCAGCGGGGAATTTGTGCAGTGAGAAAAACATTCCTGAAGAGTAAGTCCCAACAAATTAAGTAGTAAACCTTGAGAATTGTGACTATCAACTAATCAGTTCCTAACTTACAGATTTGAGAAGTCTGATGGACTTACCAACCCACCAAAATATCTTAGATACATTTAAAGTGCATTTGAGACTCATTTAATAAGCACAAATGGATTTCTATATACCTTTTAGATATAGAAAACAGAACAGGTGTTGATTGGTTTTACTCATAATTCGTAAAAATATTCCTGCGAAAGCGACAACGGGAACATATACCAATAAGGTAGCCAAATTCAGGTTCAGCTAATAGCTGAGAATTATAAAAAAGGCGATGAATAGTGTGTACAACCACAAGTCAACACATGAATACGAAACTACGAATTGCTTTTTGATCAATAGACCATGGCTTTAGGTGATGAATAGTGACAATGGAAAATACTGACAATCACAGTTTAAATGACGATGAGACAAAATACAGGTACAAAGACAACTAGTCAGTTCAAGAGAACAATGCATAAATTTAATGGTATTGGACCTAAACAAATTGTATTGTTGATCAGTAGGTCTAAACTTTAGTGGTTGACTTATCTTGCTGTTGGGATTTTGTCGGAAATTTGGTTAGTTATAGTTATAACCGCTATATAAGGGTAATCTGCATAGGATGCAAAACCGTTTAATAAAATTGAGTCGCATACTTTTTATCAGGTGTCCATCTGGACTCAGTAACTAAGAGGATAACACGATGAAGTTAGAGGCGAACGCTACTAGATTCGCGTTCAGGAGTGAAGATCAACTGTAAAACGCAAGTACATCCAACCGACCAGTCCTAAACAGGGCGAAACGTGCGCCCTGAAGTGCACTGCTAGCATCACTTTATATGTTCCTTAACTTGTTGGAATTTATTGACTTTATCACAACTAATTGCTATGGAGTTTCGGTCTATTTACATAACAGACACACAAGCAATGGAAGCCATCGGAATGTTCAAAACAGTCAGTCAAAACGTAGAACCAGTGAGTATGTACAACTTGCTTAATTTGCTACACCCCATTAGCACAAAGATGTCAGGCCAAATCACAATAGTAGGGGTATTAAGAGTATCAGTGGTAATAGAGAAGATTGGGCATCGAAAAAAATACAAATTGGTAAGGTAAAAACAAAAAATGGGGCATAAGGAATTTAGAATTCGGGAGGACACAAAAAATGGATGCACTTGGGCCATTGCGAACGATTTAGAAACATATCACTCAAGGTCTCTAACCATTTGTTACGATAATCAAGAGGACCCCAACCAGGTAATCTACACCTATGAACATAACTCGGTCCAATTGTCAACGACTTCATGGACTGATGCTACGTTCTGGTTTGGCCGTCCCATACCATCCTATACCAGTAAACACCGCCCGTCGAGGAAGGCGGTGATTGGGCATACTTAACACATGTCTCAACCACAGCTGATGAAGACTTACTAACTCTTCACTAGATTCCCTATCCTTATCTAGTACCCTATTCCTAGTCCAGGCATTATCTACTCCGTGGTCCAAAACACAAGAGCAATGCATCGTAAATGCCTATGATCGAATATCAGTAAACTACGAATATCCTATATCCCCAGTGGCCATGTTTCAGATCTATAAAATAGGACGAAGCAAACTCGTTTTCTGGTTAGAAGATGGATATCTTGCAAAAGCCAATCGAGCTTTCTGAATCCATGCCAAAATCTCGTTAGTCACCAGACCATCAATACTGATGAGACTACCGAGATAAGTGAAGTAGTCGACACGGTCAAACTCTTCACTCTTTATCATCAATTCAGGTGATGGTTCAAGTCAATCCCGAAGTAACATTTCACATTTAGACGGAGAGAACCGCATCCCAAACATGCTTGAATTGTTGATTGCGGTGGTCAGAAGACTGCATTTTACCAGCGTCTTCACTAAACAGAACTAAATCATCTGCACATTTAAACAAGTGGATCTCCACGTAAACGATGTGTTGAGTCTGATCATCTCGGGTTTACTATTTACGAGCTTAAATCAGACATCAGTATTATTGAGACTAATATTTTTTAGTTAAACTGGTTCCTCTATGACTGTCACAAGAGGGTCTTTGTTTTTTATTATAGACTAGTGATTGGCACAAATCGGGTGAGACTGTGTTCAGTTCCCAAATTTTAGCTAAGATTTCAGTTATTCCGGCTGCTAAAAACTGGACTATCAACCTTAATAATCTCAGAAATTAGTCTACTAAGCCCTGTTACTTTGGATTACTTATGGCCTTTTCAAACTCAATAACAGTTGGAGGATTTACACCAGTCTGCCACTCAGGTTGCTTGGGGATAGCGGGTAACGAAAGCGTGGATGAAGGTTAGTTGAATCAAAGTGTTCTGCCTCCGCTCTTTATTGTGTTCAGAGTTAGACGGGGTTAAGTTTCTGAACATCAGTTAATAGATGCTGCTGAAATCCATTGATTCTTCATAACCCTTCGGTTTAAGTTACTAGTAGATATCACTGCAGTTTTCACAACTTTTTGGATATCATCCCAAGCTACCTTGGGGTGTATACCACTTATGTTTGACTAACTCCTTTAGTTGTTTCTAAAATATATTCCTGACTTTTTATAATTAAGTTGAACTCGAATGGCTTTTTATGTGTGGACTTTCTACGTCCAGCAAGATGCAGACAAATACGTACTCGAACTATAGCAAAATCTGAGTTTATATATGTGCCGCAGACTAGGTAGAAGTTTTCAATCGAGCCCCTGGCTAGTGGCTATGTGATCTATGAGTCCATCAACGAGTTGTGAGGATAGCCACGTCAGACGCTATTTCTCCTTATGCTTAAAGTTATTTACCAGAAATAGACAGTTATCTGAGCGACAGACAACCATCATTATCTGTTGACTGAGCTACAACACCGGAAGATCCACCCAAGTGACTTTCGGTTTGGTTAATCTTACCTGTGATTATTAAAATCATCTGCCATTATGACTACGCTAGAGCGTCTAGCTTTTTGAAGGTTAGACAGCTCCCCATAGGATTCATCTTTAATTTTATCTGAGCTGCAATCAGTGGGAGCGTAGGCAAAATAGCTCGGATGAGCCACCACTGAGTCAAGGTGACAGCTACGATCGAGAATAATCAAGCGAAATCAACTGGAGTTTCGCGTTGGCTCGATTTTACATTTTGATGAATACTTATCAGATACTTAGCAAGTGGGTTTCATTAAGACAAGGTCGCTGAGACTTGAAAAGTACTTGTGAAGACGTGCTGCCTGTATTTGCTTTATTCTCAATTTTACACAAATGCACCAGTTTGTTTGTGATCTTAAGACGACTAGTCGGGAAAAACACAAGGTATCTCAGACTCTCGTACTTGTTCAATTATTAAATGGATAACCACAACATGGGAGCCAAAAAACTTTCCAAGAAACTTACCTTGTAGATCGAAAAGTCCAAGCGGACATAAATAATTACAGCACCGAATATACATAAGAAAGCTAAAATCAGCATCATAGGTTCTCGGAGGAGCATTGGCAGAAAGAAGCGATAATTCACCTAGGTATTAAAAATATATCATTAGGTTTTTATAAAATGGCTGAATAATTATTGTACAATTAACGACACAGTTCATGCACACCCAAGTTTTTGCTTTGACGCACACGAGATAATTAAGCTCTAATACATTGATTTTGGATAATCCAAGGGTGACTACAAGTAAACTGTCAAGAATTCAAGTCTATAAAATCTGGGGATTGCATTGTACAGTGATATATTGGTTTGAAAATGGTTTTGTAGTAGTCAATGCAGAATCCTTTGACACGTTAGACAATCAGGTATAACTAAGAGTAAAACTCAAATTACCAATCTCCATCGCGAAAACGACCCAGGATGTCGACCACACAACACTTCAATTGCTGTCTGGTCGCTATTATGGTGTATACAAATCTTAAGAACACTTATCTAGGTAAATCACTGTTACTTCAAAATACGTCTAGAACAAAAATGAAAATCTCGTCTGAATCACCTAGCACAAACAAAAATACAGCTAAGATGCAAAGGAAACGATAACAATAATACAGGAACTACGTACATTTGCACTCATTTCACGAGCCACTAAATTCCCTGGTACGTTCGAGTGGGAAGTCAGCTTTCCCTATTCAAATGCTCTCACATGGTCACGCGTATACAGCTATTGACAGGGAAGTCCTGCTCACTGTTTCCTCGTGGCGGGGGTGTTACTTGGGAAATTAAGAGGACGAAAACCGAACGTCCAGTGCTTTAACCGAGTTGGCTGATACGGAGGAACCACCTAGGGGAGTTGAAAAACCCTGACTCTAAACCAATGGTCCACATGGGCTCCAAGATCCTGAGGGAACAAAAGGCTTACGAACCTATTCTTAGGCACTGGATACTATGGGACTGCATTTCCCTACGTTGCTTCAATGACTTTTAAATTAGACCTTTAGGTCAAAGGCTCGTGGAGTTGCCCCCTAAGGAAACTGCATGTCTCGGTTTGGGTGCTCAAGCAGTACCCCAGAACTCGCACACAAAACATTCGATTTATGGTGAATATATTTGATGCCTTCTTGTACCAACGTTTGTTTAAATAAATAAATAAAAATACTCATTTGGAGAACGTGAATATTCGTGAGAAGAGAACTGTCCTTATACATATAGATATACATATATACACACAAGTTTTTACCTTGAAATCTTGAATGTGTTCATCGACAAGATTTGCAGCTTTGCAGACAATAACGGTTCGGCCTGATGTGTCTAAGTATGTTTTCAAATTTTCAAAATGCTGTTCATGAACTGGAAAAGGTGTTTCGAACTGAATATCGTCAGAAGTCTCGGGGAGAACAATTTTCAGCGTTAAGTTGCGAATGAATTGATCCTTGTAAACACGGTCAATGAACGGCATTACAAGAACAAACTTAGAACCTAGTGAAAGTAATCAGACAATTTGAAGCCAGTTTGAAAGGAGTAATTACATTATTGTGGAGTTATCCACGGAATAAACTGAACTCTAATAACGGACATAATAGCAGATCCAATTGCTTTAATACAATAATATTGATGCGTATATAGATGCAGTTTATCTCTTGGAAAAGATGACTATTTAGACTGGCAAGCGCAACCACAGTTACATGATCCCCCTAAGAAAACCACTTGCTTCGGTCTGGGTACCCTGGCAGTATTACAGCCCACACACAAATCAAGTGACTTGTGGCGCATATGTATTCGGAGTCTCTTTGTACCAATAGTTGTGCACAAATAATTAATCCACTTCAAATATCTCCATGTGGATTTGATGGACAACTAAGCACTATTTTATAATAACGATGCTGAGACCTACGCATATGAGCAACAAACTTACCACTGTGATAGAGGAACTCATAGGCTGGGATGTTGTATCCTATTGTGTAGCGCGTTTTCCATCCACCCATCAACGGGAAGCGCGGAACGAGAGTCACCTCCACGGAATCTAGCAGGTTTTTGACTGTGCTTGTGCTTATATTGCCAATCTCATCGCGATAGTAAATGTCCTTTGCAGATGGTGGTAGAACTGTCTTAAGGGAGTTGACTGCTACCTGTTGTCCAACTCCATAATCAAAATCCAAACGAGAAAACGAACCACGCAACTTCGCACCCGTGTTCACGATTTCAAGCGTTTCTTCAACAGCAATATTTCCCCAATGCGATACTTCGATGAGACGAGTCATATCAGTGACCGTGAGGAATGGAACGTAATACTCGAAATGTAGGACAAGTGGCTCCTAACAACTTATTAGTGATAATAAAAACTCACCGTCGAGAAGGCTGGACGGCTTTCGTAAGTACCATAGACTAAATTATTTCCATTTATGACAGGTGGGATTGACGTAGCAGTGTGAGTTAGAAGTTGACCCTTTGGCAAGTGAATGTACGTTAGCTGATTGTCAGTCAGATACGGGGAATAAAAGTAAGCATTGCCACTAAACTTGACGAACTGCTTATCAGCTTGATAAATCTCAGCAGGTCTTGGTTCTAACAATTCAGTTAATACAATGTCCACAAACAAATGAATTTGTTCGGTCGACGGTTTTCCAAGATCTATAGAGTACGTATAAGGCATACCGGTTGTTGGCTTTACAGGGACTTTCCGCGATGACTTCAGGTCTCCACACTGAAGTATCAAAGTATGAAAGTAATACTAATTACCGATGCACCGATGAAGGACAGATGTTTCCATTCTCTTTCTTCAATGACAAGTTGGTACTTAGCAGGTGTTTCACTCAGTAGAATATCATGATGTATCTTTACAATGTTTCCTTTAAAGCGTATCGTACGAGTCACATTGGTGTTTTTCAAGCCTAGAACAGGTACTACCAACAACAAGAAAACGAACAGCATCAGTAACTGAGAATTAACACTCAGTGAACAACTGACTGAGGTGGATGCATACAAACGAATATCCAAGATCAAATGTCCAATATTTCAGTGGAGAAAGAATATAAACTAATCGATTGTTTTGAACTCTCACCTCAATACTTAAGTACAGCTCCAAGTACTAAGAAGTGTCTAGCAATCAAAGACAGCAGTTTAGCCGTCAAACTGAACTGATCATATTGAACTCAACCGTTATTTTCCGTTTGTGTTTCTTGAGTACGGGTAGATTCGTTTTCCCCATGAAAACAGCGATTATGTAACTAGTGGTCACCATCTAATGCAAACCTGCAAAGGTTAGACCCAAAAACGTTAAGAGTAGCCAAGCGGAATTTCATGGTTTAATGTAGCTAAGGGTTTTGAGGCTATAGCGATAAATAAATAGACAAAATCAGTAGCTCTGTAAGCCTTCCACATTTTGGTGCTGACCGCATTGGTTTAGCTAGACTTACCCAGCTGAATGTGCTTGGCTCCTCATCCTCAACAGAGGATGAGTGGGTACGCCATGCTGCACATCAACAACCGCTAGCCACTTCCCCATATATCGATAGTCTACCTAATATATCTTCCAACTCCTTCAGTCATTATTTCCGATTTGACCATGTTGACACACTTCGATTGTAAAAGTGTTACTGGCTAAAGCTTTCAACAACAAAACAATGGCTGACAGATATCCGATACCATACATCCACAACTTTGCTAATGGCATGGAATATGCCGCCAATTTTTCGAAGACTGACCTGGTTAGACCTTATTATGATATTCCCATCTTCTCATAAGACATATCAAAAACAGCATTAACTATGCCATTCGGTTTGTATAAATTTTGGCTCGCCGGATTGGCTAACGGAGCACAAACGTTTCAGCGATTCATTGACCATGTCATAAAAGGTATGGCAGTAGATGCGTATACCGGGGGTTTGCCAGTATCCAAAGCCACGGGGGTGATCAGCTTCCACAACTGAGACAGTTATTCAAGAAACGTCATAAGCGTAACATCTCTATGAGCGTTGAGAAATATGGATTCGGAAGAGAATTCCTCCAATTCACAGGTCAAAAGGTAACTTATCAAGGCACCAGACCAGTTCCCGCAGAATTTACTGCTATCCGCGACTATCCGTTACAGACATTTTAGAACTCCAGGTGAGCTATAAACGAAAAGATGATGCTGGTTCGGTGAAAGAAAAAAACGCCACTAGCCATCATAACTGGTGCATCGATCGTGGCAGTGACAGCCGTATTTCAGCCTCTAGTATATAGCACACCGGAACCACTTTCATTTTTCTCAAAGAGACTGAATCCTACGTGGACGAGAAATGGTAAGTTCAAAAGAGAATTGCCAGCGATTTACATGTCAATAAAGCATTTCCGACAAACGGTGGAAGGTGCAATCTTTATTGTGTACACATATCATAAACCTGTTGCGAAAGTATTAAATGCCAATCAAGACAATTATTCACCAAGGGAAATTTGATATAGAATCTTCTAGTTTGTTCAGTGTAAAATATGTTAAAGACGATGATAACAAAATATAGGCCACGTTTCCTAGAAAACGATAAACGCACCCACTCCAGACGGAATCGTCTGTCACTACTTACTTACTTACTTACGCCTGTTACTCCCAATGGAGCATAGGCCGCTGACCAGCATTCTCCAACCCACTCTATCCTGGGCCTTCTTTTCTAGTTCCATCCAATTCTTGTTCATTTTTCTCATGTCTATCTCCATTTCCCGGCGTAATGTGTTCTTTGGTCTTCCTCTTTTCCTTTGACCTTCAGGATTCCATGTGAGGGCTTGTCTTGTGACGCAGTTGGGTGCTTTCCTCAATGTGTGTCCTATCCACTTCCAGCGCTTCTTCCTGATTTCTTCCTCCACTGGGATCTGGTTTGTTCTCTCCCACAGAACGTTGTTGCTAATAGTGTCCGGCCAACGGATCTGAAGTATTTTGCGTAGACAATTGTTAATAAACACCTGTATTTTCTGGATGATGACTTTCGTAGTTCTCCAGGTTTCTGCCCCATACAGTAGAACTGTCTTGACATTTGTATTGAAAATCCTGACCGTGGTGTTGGTTGACAGTTGCTTTGAGTTCCAGATGTTCTTCAGTTGTAAATATGCTGCTCTTGCTTTGCCGATCCGCGCCTTCACATCTGCATCAGATCCACCCTGTTCATCAATGATGCTGCCCAAATACGTAAAGGTTTTTACATCTTCCAAATCTTCTCCGTCAATTGTGATTGGATTGGTGCATTCTGTGTTGTATCGGAGAATCCTGCTTTTCCCTTTGTGCATATTGAGACCTATTGCTGCTGAGGCTGCTGCCACACTGTTTGTCTTCTCCTGCATCTGTTGTTGCGTTTGGGATAGAAGGGCCAGATCGTCTGCGAAGTCTAGATCATCCAACTGCATCTTAGATGTCCATTGTATCCCGCGCTTTCCTTCAGACGTTGACGACTTCATGATCCAGTCGATCACCAGGAGAAAGAGAAAGGGTGAGAGTAAGCAACCTTGCCTAACACCGGTCTTCGCTTTGAACGACTTTGTCAACTGTCCTCCATGCACGATTTTGCAGTGTAATCCATCATATGAGTTCTGTATGATATTGACTATCTTCTGAGGCACGCCGTAGTGTCGAAGAAGTTTCCATAGTGTTGCTCTGTCCACGCTATCAAATTCCTTTTCGTAGTCAATGAAGTTGATGTAGAGTGATGAATTCCATTCAATTGATTGTTCCACAATGATCCGTAGAGTTGCAATTTGGTCTGTACACGATCTATCCTTACGGAATCCTGCCTGTTGGTCACGAAGTTGGGCGCCTACGCAGTAATCGTCTGTCACACTCTAGCTGAACTGCAAAAAGGCGGATGCTGAATTAAGGTTAAGATCCAGTAATAAAACTTCTTTGTTGTTTGCAGACGTTCAGTTAAGTATAGTGAAAGTTAAAACACGAAGTTCAGCGAGGGGATCTCTTTTCAACAAATCTGCATGTAATATGTTTATAGGCCGTCGACGGCCGATAATCTCGTGTTGAATAATACGAAAAATCTCGTAATATATGAATAATATATTGCATCCTGAAATATAAATCGTAATCAGACTTTTCGACAAACGTTTCGTATGGCTCAACATGAGTCGTAATGTAATGTAATGTAATCGGACACAGTCATCAATGAAATGTCAAAACCGATCGTCCTGTGATAGGTTTTCCCATCACCCCGACACTAAATTTGAACATAGACACATACATACAAATTCGAATGGCTAAAACTGTATTTTCACCTGCATCGGTAGATTTAAGCAGTGGCCTGTAGCAGTGTCAATAAAGGACACCCAGGCTGGAACTGTAGCTAAAACCTTAGTTGGCAGTTGGGTCTTTCGTTATGGAGTGTCAGCAAATACTACAACAGATAGATGAGCTCGAATCAAAAGTTCCCTATTCCGGCAGCTCACAGAACTTATCGTTATATTTCCACCTCATGGCGAATGTTATGGTTAAGCGACTGTGTCGGTAATTAAAAGCCTTTCTCAGGACTATCCTTGTCAATGATGATTGGGCCAATAAGTCTCTTCTGGTCATGATATGTTTGAGAACACCAATAAATCGGGACATCGTATGTTGTCCTGAATGGTCGGCCTATGGAAATACTTTATGTTTACCCGTAGAATATTCCGCTCAAAATAAAAGCACTTTGAACGATGTGGTTAACTATGTACAACATATAAAGAAGCGCGTGAACAATTAGAAAGTAACACTGCCAAGACTAAAGTGACAACAACTATATGTACTGTAGGAACTGCAATAATAGCGTTCATCATAACACATAATATACAATCTCCTTCGCAGCTGAATTATGGCGGTTCATTTAAAGTGATTGGGAGCAATGATAAAACGGTGAGTATGGGAAAAGCTGGTAAAACGGACCCAATTAGTATCGACGGAGGTAAATCAGCCTTCATTGAAAGTGATCATCAATGGACGAACGCAGATCCCTCAGAAACCGTCACATCACCGAGACGTGAAATTCAGCCGTTAACGACGGGGATTAAGAAGCGACTCCAGTAACGATGTGGTGTGGTCGAAGACTTAAGTGATCGCAACGGCAAATAACCACGATTTTGAATTAAAATTATCGCTCACTGTTTTTAATATCGATGATTTTAATTCCTCTTAGTTTTACACGCGGACATCGTAAACCTTACATTGTTTATCATGAAATTCATCATATTTCGTATACTTCGATGCTTATATATATAATCCTTTAGAAACTCTACCATATGAGTTTGATCCTCTGTCATTATTTAATCTGGCCTGACCTGCACACGAGAACTCAGACATACAGGTACAAATAACAGCTTACACGATATTTCTATCCTGCACGTTAATTTGAATAACCCAATGTTTTCTGCATATCAAGACTATTTTGTCCAGTTCAGCACCATTTGTAGATACAGACATTTTTTGAGTCTTGATTTACAAGGAGGAGATATTACTGCGTCACACCTACGCTTAGGTCTGTTTACGTCTAATATTTTCAAGCCCTTAAAGTAACTTGTCTGTGTTGTTCAAACATTAACAATTAATCTGTTATTATTGTGCCTGAATGACCACGTGATACAGTTTACACACATATCCATGTTTCTAGCTTCAATATTAGTCACTTAAACCGCTTGATGATATATATATATATCCTGAAATCTTATCAGTTCATACTACTCTAAATTCGCTTATGTATTCGCTTGTTTTCATTTACTTGCATTCTCACTGATACTCGTACTCACGTTATCTGCTTGGAGCCTAATGATCTGCGTTGTACAATGACAAACTGTGGTCAACGCTTCATATTGTTTTCTGAAATTCATACACTGTTGGGTTTTATCTAATAACGGTTATAAGGACGAATAACATACTAAGCAGTAAGAATTAAATTGATGATATTCTGCTACGCATGGATCTCTGGACAGTCTGACAAACATCACCTAGGTTAAAAATGACTAACAAGGACT